CCCCAGCACCGGACCCAGGCTTATCTGGCCGTCCAGTATTGCCGCCTCAAAATGCTACACTGGTTAATCATCAGGGTTAAGAAAACTGCCTGAGCATTTTGTCTCGTTATATATAGGGTGTCTGAAATGACGAGGCTCCATCCAAAATGGGCCGTAAAAATCGGCGCCTGCACGTAGCAATCGAGACTTTTCGTCAAAGGTGTATTTCACAGGTGGGTTTTACCTTGTAAAATTACAAGGCGTAGCTCCCCCTAAGCTACGCACGCCTTCATATTTCACAAGGTAAAACCCACCTGTGAAATACGCCTTTGACGAAAAGTTTAGATTGCCACGAGCAGGTGCCGATTTTTATTGCACATTTGACATCGAGCCTCGGCATTTCAGACACCCCATAGATTATCTTTATCACAGTTGGCGAGGTGTTTGATAAGATAGGGTCCATATAGATACATTAACGAATATGTATCGGCTGAATGTTGAATGCATAGAACACCCGTGACATTCATCGCAATTTCTATCCTGTTCTGCGACTATTCACCCGAACATTTTTTGTACTTATTTGCGAAGCATAGGCAACTACACTCTAAAAAAAGCCCGTGCATCTACTTTTTCGCACAACACTCGTAGAGCCAATCACCGCAACTTACGGAGGCAGCTCAGGGAATGACGATGCCGAAACGTACGTTTAGATCAAAAAACGCAGTCTGAGTTGTGACATTAAGCAATGCAAGCGTGACGTTTTGCATTGCTTAATGTCACAACTCAGACTGCGTTTTTTGGTCTAAACAAGTTTCGGCATCGTCATTCACTGAGCTGCCTCTGTAGGTTGCGGTGATTGGGTTGCCGAGTGTTGTGCAAGAAATTAACGCAAAAGCTTTTTTTTTACGTGTATAGCCGTTTTGCCATTGTGTTTAAAAGTAGTACCCGACAAGGTAACACAAATGCTGTGGCAAAGAACCATACTTTGTTTAAAGAGCCCACCACTGCAGCAACCACTTTTAAATGCGATAGCATTTCTTTCTTTTGTTTAAACTATCGAGGTTTTCAACAAAAATGTGCAATTGATAATTCGTTTATTTCCATCTACATTGATGGTGGAGGTCGAGGGGAAAAGCTGTGAAATACAACTTAAAAAGGCCCTCGACCCCCTACATAGGCACAACAGCAGAGGTGCAGGAAAAAAATAATGCTACTTCATGCGAAAGTACAAAACGGGTGGATAGTATACGCACACAACACACAAATAAAACAAATTGAATAATCCTGGAAACATTAAACAAACCGCAAGACCACTGGTATTTTACCTATCTAGGTTTACAAAATATTCTCTAATTGTTAATTCAGTTAAAACAAATAAAGCTGTCGTGGTTTAATTATGCCCATGAACACCTTCTTTGCGTGTAGGCATAGTTTTATAATGATACAAAATCATAATTTGAAAAATAAGTTTGCTGGATCTACATTTTATTGACAGTACCATCGAAATCTTAAAGGGCTGCATGGAGTGGTAAATGAACAAGGTATCTGACTCAAAAATTAAACCTATAACACAGCGCAGCTACACCTAACTATGGGGATTCAGAAATCATCTTGTTATATCAAATGCTCATCATTAAATCTTGAATAAAAAAATGGCGCAAGAAGCTCTTCATGGCATCACGGTCTATCATACACACTTTAATAATTGCTACGGTTCAATATTGAATATTAAACTGTAAGGGTTGTAACATCAACATTTACCAAGTTTTTCATTTGACGTGGGCGCGTGCACCATCTCACTGTGAAGAAGTGTTTTTTCTCTACGCAAGCGGCTGCTCTGCAGCAAAGCGAGATGTGCAGGATCACTGTGGCCACACCTTTGAACTTTGAACTTTATTATAAGAAATTTGTGACGAAGACACCGGACAAAACAGCTTCCAATAGAAAGCTTGACCGTGTACATATACGTCCGTGGGGTGTCTCTGCACGTACGGAAGACAATACACTTAGAAAATAAAACAACACCCTTCGCCCAAACAAAATGAGCGTACTGTTTTTTTTTTTTTTTTGAGCCATGAATATTAATGTGGTCGAAGATGAAGTTGCTGAGCAATGTGGACAGGTTAGAAACAAGGGCGTGGAGTACGTAATTAGTAAGGAAATGGGAAACGATCCAGAATTCCTTGTGTCAGATACTAATGATAGATTCGCGTTTATTCAAGTTCCTCCACATCGTCTGTGATAACATGTACAACAATAAGCTATTAACTAATAGGGATGTTTTTACAATAACCACTTTATATATCAGGAAGAGCGAACCACCTAGGCAAAATCCAACCCTACCCCTATCACACTAAATGTGTTTGCGTTTTCTTCGTTTCTTTGTCCAAGAATTATTGAAGGGTGGAATAGGCTGCCTAAATATGTATTTTTGACGAATTTTCAAAAAAAGTGTTTTATAGATAGTTCTGTCGGCTAGTGTTTGATAGATAGTGCTTTCCATAATCCAGTTGTGTTTAATAGATACCTTTTCCAGTTGTTTGATCAATAATGCCTTTTTTATATCATAGTAGTGTTGCGATATATTTTGGTTGCACTACAGGTGTGCTTGGTGAAGACTGCAAAAACCCACCCTCTGCAATAATGCCTAGCGGCGATGCAGGCTTTTTTTTTTTTTAATAGTAAATAAATCTCCGTGGTGCAACAGTTCTTTGTGAGAACAGCAGACGACGGAGCTAACTAGCCCGCCAAAACCTACGTCGAGTACTATCAATGCTCAGTGGGAAGGTCGACTCAGATAGTACGTTATTTGATTCAGTGCCCGAAAGTTCTGAAAATTCGCACAAGCCTAACGACCTGCCAGTGTAGCGGGGCCCGAGTTATTAGTGTCAGTCTTGAGAAAGAAAAATTAACTTTGATCACAATATTGGCGCAAATAGCTCGTATTTAGTGAAATGTATCCGAACGGAGCATGTCATAGTTTCGTACAAATCTGCTCAGTAATCATATCACTGGACTGAACAAGGATCTGCCAGACCTGAAACGTTTAGACTATTTCCGGTAATCGCCAGCCTATAAACTAAGGTTTTTTTGTTGTTGTTGTTGTTTTTTTAACACAGAATGTGTTCATATGCTGAATATCATGCAAAGTGTAACGCTCGGGTGTGACGAAAAAGCGTTACACGCAGGCCAAGGCAATATACAGTATACAAAGCCCATCGCAGGCAATGCATAACTTCCGAAGCATCAAAATATTCATAACTCGACACAACCACAAACAGTGAGATTTACCAAGGGGTAAGCAAGAACCGGACAGCGGAATGTGCGATCCGCAGTCCGACGTCTTTGCTCGGCGCCACGAGGGGATGACAGAAAGCGCAAGCAGCTGGACTAAGTAGGACTAGGTCACCTGCGGTAGCACGCGACTGTCTGCGGCGAATAATACTTAGTACAACATACATATAGTCCGCAGACGACCGTCCGCGGCAACTCCAGCCTACTTCATCCACAAAGGACCGTTGGCGGTGAGTCAAACTTAGTCCAGCAAACACAGTTCGCAAGTTACCGTTGGGGCCAGTCACACTTAGTCCAGCATACTTAGTCCGCAGGCCACCGTCGGCGGAAAGTCATATATATAGTTAGTTCAGAATAATTAGTTCACAGGCGATCGTCGGCGGCGAGTCATACCTAGTCCAGCAATTAGTCCACATGCCATTGTCGGCGGAAAGTGATACTTAGTCCGCAGGCGACCGGCGCAGCGGGCGTATGGGGTCACAACTTCAAACAACCGCCAATAAATAGAGTAAAGGGTGCGATAAACCTCTAACCCTTGCTATTACTTCTGTTACCCCAAGGGATTCATCGCAATCCAAGAGCACTAAGCATTCACGGGCCCACACGCACCCACCAAAGAAGCAGAACCATAGACAACTTCTCGTTAAAGTATGCTCGTACCACACTCCACTCCTGAACAAATTTAAAATTGTCTTGGTCATTCTGATAAACCCGGAGAACACAAGAATGTGTCGTGTGCGCAGCGCATCAGAAACCACCTAAAGCTCCCCGTAATAAAACACAAATCGTAACGCACGCATAATGCACGCACAACACATTCTGTGCTCCACGGGCATATGAAAACGATCAAGACAAAATTAAATTTTGATGTACATTATGTATTTGCAAGAGCATGCTCTACACGCTAGTTCACATTATACAGCTGTATGTTCCTTTTTCTTCCGTACACATTTAAAATAAAAGCCGTGAACGCTACACCAGGCCAGGCAGACATTACCTGGCCTCACCTGCAATCGTCACAATAAGTGGGATAATGACTTAAAATCTGTTTATATTTAAATTTATGATTGGGTAAGTGGGTCAATATCACATGAGCGAATGACGTTTTAGTGAACAGCGGTCATTTGAGCGAATCAGGTGTCCCAAGTAGCGGCCAGGCTCTTTAAATCGCCGCTTTTGAGTCGAAAAGATCGTCTGCTAAAGACGCCGGCTCTCGGCGCCGTATGCTCGAGTTTTTACTCAGGTAAGTTCGCTCTTTGCAAATTTTACAAAAAAAAAAAAAATCCACCATCTGTTGGCAACGCTGCACAAAATCGTAGCGCGATAGGCAAAGAAACCGCATTTCGCGGTCGATTTAAAGAGCCTGGCAGCTACATGAAACACTCTGTATATATATATATATATATATATATATATATATATATATATATATATATATATATATATATATATATATATATATATATATATATATATATATATATATTTCCTATTAAACTGAGGGAGTTAGGTTCAATATAATTTGACGTAAAAAAAAAAAAAAAAAAAAAAACTTAAAGCAGAATGCTGTCATTTGATACCACGTGATAGGAGGGAACTGTTTGGTCACAATTACATTGCTGAGATGCTGAATCGAGACATGTGGCTATTCGGGCATACTGTGTAGCCAGTCCAGTAAGAAATTAATAAGTGGAATGTCCAATTATTCCGAAATTTTGTTCGTGCAGGTGCGCCAAGGAAACACAGCTTCAAAAAGTGCTCAAGGTGCATGGAAGCACTTTAAACAATAAGAAACCTAATTGCCCGTGACTTCCAGAATTGATATTCGTACGGCTGCAAGAAGGTGATGGCAGTAAGTCCGATTTCCTTCCATATATACATTTTTTGTTCAACTAGGGTGTGAGTATAGAAATTGCTGCATGTTGATTAGCCCTACTTAGTGAAAGTCCGAAAATAAGTGATGTCTAAGCTGTGTCAACTAAGAAAGGTGACTCAAAAATGTTTCTTGCAAGGACATCCACACTTTCGGGAAACATTATACTTGACAAAACATGATGGCACATTGAAAAGCTATTACAAGGTGATACCACGACAGGGCACATGTTTTAAGGGTAGAACCTGTTTCTTCCTCAATACGATCCAAGTACGATATCGTCAGCAGCACACGGAAAGAGGAACTCCGTGTACAACTGATTGCAGGTGCATGATCATATTTTCCCTTGTGAAGTCACTGTCATAAAAATATTTATAAAGAAAGTTTCGGGGGTACCACAGTGGAATGGATATATGCAACCATTGCTCTATTCTTGAAATGAAGTATGTACAAAATTCTGAAAGTAGACCCAGATTCGACCCGAAGTCTGGTAGCACAACATGCAAAGCAGCCTAAATATAGAACAAGTGTCTGCATGAGTGACACAGACAAGATCTTTACTTCTGAATGGTATTTCAGGGGTTATTTTCCCAAGCAGTGTGTAGCGTACAACACCCTGAAGTATACCGAGCCAGGTAGTAACAGCGATTTTTTATTCACTTCTGGTGTGGCAGAGCTGGACGAGTCTCCAAAGTTTGCTGTTGGACTCTGGCTGTGTATACATCAGAGAGGGAAAATATGTAGGGACAATTTTTATGAAAATGTCCAAACCTGAGCAAAAAAGTGAATTTAAGATGACAAAACATCCAGTTGGCCGCTGATTTCAGTTAATGTGTCGTAAAATGGTACACTTTAAACTGAGCTTGATTTGGACGAGGCCAATGCACAATCTAAAAGGAGAAAACCACTCCTCGATTCTTTGTCCCAGAAAAGAAGACACCTTTTCTTCTGCGATCATTAGGTGCCGGATCATATGCATTCGCATAAGGAGAAAGCATGAAAACGTAACGAGAAAAAGGGTTTTGAGCGAGGCTGAAAAATATGTTGCAAGTCATCCTCCCAATTTTGAGGATGCGTGGTAAGTCATCCTCCCAATTTTGAGAATGCGTGAAATAGAAGATAACAAGGTAAACCTATTCTTTGAAAGCTTGGCTTGGATTTATAAATATTTCCATTTTTGCAGGGATTAGCTCCAAGATCTACAACATCTGGGTGACAAGGAGGGCAGTGTGAGAAGAAAATTGGGGGAAAAGTTTGCTCACACGGACAGCCAACGCCGCCCTGGTGGTTCAACTAATGTCTTGTTCAAGATGGCTGCCGTGGTACCGCAGCCTTTTATCATACGAGTACATATATTTACTCATAATGAAATAGCTGATATTATAATAAGCCTGATATCTTCAAAGGCTTCATCGAAATTTAGAAATATTCCACCTCCTGCAGGGATGAGCTCTTGATCTGTTCATTTGGGTAAGAATGGAAGAGCATGAAAAGGACTGTTTTTTTTTTTTTTTTTTAGACAGGCTGAAGACAATTTTGTAAGTCATACTAAAAATTTTGTAATATGCAAAATAAAATGAGAACATAATAAAATAGCAAATATGGCAATATATTTATTATCATTAAAAGTTTGCTTTAAATTTATAAACAGTTCTAGTTTCAGGGTCACTTCATACTGACTAGTAGGTTTAACCTATCCCTTACATTTCCATAAAACATGCTGTATACACAATTTATAATGATTTTTATTCTCTCACACATGTTATTTCTTGCTAGTATTTGTCTTGGCACACGAGAGTTCAGATAAACTTCAGTGGCAGTAGTTGCACTTTGGGTGACATTTCACACCATTCACTCCACACTTGCAGCCAGCAGAAGTATCTCCTTTCCCCTGAAAGAAGAAGTACCCAGACTAAATTGCTTGCTTCACTTTAGTGTCTAGCATAGTCATTCTTATAGAGGAATTAGAATACTGTTAGTGACATGCTATGACATGCTAATCATTTTATTTAATTTTTTTTTTTTTTTTCAGCCCATTCTGTGATTAGAGAGAGAAACCTCTGAACCTGATTCATCCATGGGTGCAGCCTCGGCTTAAACTATGCAAGCTGAAAATGCAAGCTCATATGCTTATAAAATCTCTTCCATAGCATGAGTATACACAGACACGTTTTTTTTACGATACAGGCTGTTCTCCTTAGGCGTTACAGATTTGTTTTTAAAAAGCCAAAAAATCTACTTTAATGTGGTCTGTGCAGGTGAGTTATGCGGCTAGGCAGACATAATATAGGGGGCTAATCAACATGACAAGTCGAATAATTTACTAAAATTTGGTAGTTAACTTTTTTATTGGTGAAATTAAACATATGGTTCCAATTATAAACGTGCTGAACGTCATCAAAAACCACTAAATCAACAATTTTTAGAAATACTGAGTGCGTGGGAAGTGCAGTAGAGTGCCAAAGTTAGCACTTGTGCAACAGCCACAAGGCTGGCGGTACGAAAACACGGATGATAAAAGATAAAAAAGCGCTCGGGCGCATTATTGCACCCGTGGCCTTGTGCCTGCTGCATGAGTGGTAACTTTAGCACTCCAATGTGCTTCCCACGCGCGCTAAGTCTTTCTAAAATTAACTGATTTAGTTGTTTGCAATGATGCTCGGCAAGTTTCGATTTGGAACCATTCATTTATTTTCACTAAATAAAAAATCAATGAGCATATTTTAGTTAATTAGCCAACTTATTGTGACGATTAGCTCCCTATATTATGTCCTCCTGGCCATATAACTCGCCTGCACAGACTGCATTCGTGTAGCTTTAACAGCATAAAAAAAATGCTATTTCTATTTGAAAGAAAGCAGCATTCAAAAATATTCCCAGAAAAAAGCCAATTTTAAAACTACTTCATAGCCAAAGCACATTCTAATTTTTTTTTTTCTTTAAAGACATAATCCTATGAAAGTCAGCACTTTTTCCTTGAGTATAAATTAACACCCGCCCACTGCAGCGGCGTAGCCAGGAATTTTTGTCAGGGGGTGCTAAAATGCCTGGGATGTCCAAGACTTGGGGTGCAGATGGGGGGGGGGGGGGTTCAAAATGTATGTGTACATTAGGGTCGGTTGGATTTTGGGGGGCGGGGGAGGCTGAAGCCCCATAAGCCTCCCCCCCGGCTGTGCCACTGGCCTATTGTAATTCATATGTATATCCTGGAAGTTTAATTTTACTTTCTGTCTTATTGAAAAGGCTGCACTTTAACCTAATTGCTACATAACTCACATTAGGACCCCAGCGAGGTCCCTTGGTGACCCAGCAGATTTCCATCTGGCAAACAGAACACTTGAGCCAATCACAGCCCCACTTCTTCATCACAATAACCTGGCACTGTGGGCAATGCATGGCCTGGCCTTCTTTCACCATGTTCTGCAAAACAAGCAGAGGCATTCCAGTAAGACAATGACACCTTGAAGACATCCCCAAATGGCCAGGATGCCATTGGATGTAATTTTATAGGCCCCCTTAAGATAAGTGTATCTGGTTACCTATGGACATCCTATCAGAAATCAATGATAGTATCAATGGTTAATATTTAGTAAATGTCCCTTTAAAGTCTAGGGAAAATGCATGAATAGCCAACAGACTCACATCAAGGTAATCCTTGGTCTGTCTTGCCTCATGGCCATTGGGGGCATTAAAGTCCAGTTCATCCTGGTACTGAAGACAGTTCTTGCCTTCGTGAATGGCACGGCAAGTCAAGCAGTTTGAGTGGTGGCACACAGGACATGTGAACACATTCACATTGTCTTCGAGCATGCACCATCCAGGGCAGTCGGCTGTCTTGCAATGGAAGCTGTTGGGTGCCTGACTTTCAGCAGTCTTGACACTTCGTGACAGATGGTACTCGTAAACTTCAGGAGGTACCAGCTGCAAGCCCAAGACCACGTCACTCCAGTTGAAACCTCAAAATGATGCTCAATCAGCAAATACAGAGATCTTCAGCCGCCCACCGATTTTTCAGACGCCAAAATTATAACAGCAACTAAATGTTTGAATGCTGTAAAACTCATGCACAATTTTTAAAATTTTGTTTGCACTCACCAGATTATTGCTGTGAGCTGATTAGGGATGTGCAAATAGTGGATTTTGAGTTTGAAGAGAATTTGAAGCGTATTCGAAGAGAATAGTGGTTTTGGCTGAATATTTCCTAATCGAATACCAAATAGTTTCTCTAAGCCTTTCACTACTGCACCATCCTTAAAGGGACCATGAAGGCAATTTAATTTTTTTTTAAAAAAGGTGTTTTCGGAAGCATTGGGGTCCTGGCATGCCACAGAATTTTTTCTAGAACGTTGTTACTCTTATTTCTGTACCTGCAAATAAATTTGCAAAACCGGAACAAACATTCAGATTTCTTCCCTTTTTCGCCTCTGGAAAGAGAAGTGACGTCAGGGAGCACTGTCGGCATCGGTAGGATTTAGTGCACACTCAGTGTGGTTCCCGTGGTTTGCTCTAGTGCACGGCGGTCTGTGAAGAAAACCTGGAAGAAATGGACGACAACGCCGCGCTCGCAGACGAGTTTGAGCTCCAGTTCAGCGACCTCACGCCAACTGAACGGGAGATGCTGCTAAAGACGCAGAACTCTGGATTGGCGCTTTACCGAGGCCGCTCCAGACCTACCACCAACTCCTCGGTCGCCGCCTCAGAGCGACTCCCCGCCCCACTTTTACCCAGACTCCGGCTGACGTGAAGGTGCTGCTCAAAGTCTTCTGGTCGGAAATGCAACGAACAAATCCTGACACCGCTGTCCACAGCTCTACGCAAGATGACGGAGTGCAACCAAATGCTGCGCATTACTGCATCGGTCGGCAGTTTATGCAAACTAACGTCGCCCGATCGACCGCACGTCTTTAGCCGACTTTTCGCGCAACCTACTACTGCACATAAACGTGGCATGATTGGTGAGACACCAGTTCGCAAAGCGAATATGAGACGACGCACGAAACCAGAACCAAAAGTCCGCCGTCCCCGGCGCTTGTACCTTTTTCTTTTTTTTTTTGTCCATGGTTGCTCGATGCTTGTTACGCGCCAGAGGTAGCAGAGCGGGATGCGTTCAACCAGTGACAAACGGAGGGATCGCTTTAGATTATGCTTTTATACACGGTATGAAACCTATTAATTCCCAACTACAACTTCAAAAGATTATCCAACGTTCAAATAAAAATTTTTCATCACATCTCACCACCGAAATCGAAACCAAGAGCGCGTCTATCGTTTGAACCAATCGCCAGACGAGGAGCCCGTTGTCGTCACACTTCGACGGCGCACTTTAGTTCACCTTTCTGCCGCCGCCTCGGTGGGGTCTCAGGCATCGTTCCCGGCGCTATTATTACCGCGCCTGTTTGCTCGATTGGTGCAACACCCAAACTGCTGTTCGGGCTAGAACTTGGTCAACAGTATCTGAGACGTGCCTGACATCCATTTCAATCGTCGAATAAAACTTCGAAACTGCCTTCATGGTCCCTTTAAAGGGAAACTCCAGTCGAAAACGAAACCAAAATAAATGACTGGTATCGCTTTAGTAGCACGTAATATGATCACAGCCAAAATATTACGTCAAAGTGAAGCCGCAAAATCCACTAAAACCGATTTTAAAGATGCAACTAGCTGCTCTCTGGCGGGCGGCAAGCGGGTTAGTTTTTAGTCAAGGAACACTGGCACAGCACCCTTGTGACGTCACATTGCGGTGCAGCTGCAGTTGATTGGTCGTACTGTGTACCACATTACCCTTGTGACATTACGTCGTGGCCATATGGCTGATGATCACTGTTGCCATCCCTCTAGGTTTTGCCGTAGACGCTCGAAACCGAACTTTGAGCCGTGATATTTATAAAAACTACACAAAATACCGAAAAAAAATTATACCTTATAATTCAGGGACCCTGCATTAGCTGAAAACAGTCATAATCCCAAATTCGAAACTATTGACCGGATTGCCCTTTAAACGAAAACACAGCTGAACTCGCGAAGGCCGTTCCTAAGCTTCCACTTGTCCATTTCTAAGCTAAGTTAATTTTAACCTGGCTATATATATATATATATATATGTTTATGGACTGTGGCCTCAGAAAGTCTAATTCCTACAGTGCAGATCAGTAAATGATGCATTTGACATCAAATTAAACCTATCAAGGTGTTCAGATATACCCAATTGAGAGGATTTATAAATCTTCTAGCTATATGCAAATATCTCTCCTTCATTCTAGACTTTTAAAAAGAATAATACAATCGCAAATGATTAATGCAGGTTGTTGGGGCACTCTGCCTAACATATACTTACACAATATAGCCACAGTTTAAATTTAAATATTTTTCTGCACTGTAGATACCAGCATTCACAAAGTTGCCATTTCTTTTTTTTTAATACACCAGGCATGCCTGAGCACGATCCCACTTTGAAAGTGTGCTTGTCTCCTAAGCATGTGACTGCGCTATTTCTATTCTTTGAAATGTTGATCGTGGAGGGTTAGCCCTGTTGAGCGTGCTTCTTACCAAACACCGGTGTACTGCAGAGAAGCAACACCCTTTTTCAGAGTGTTGATCACAGCTTCCACGGGTGTTGCTTGTAAGCAGTGCACCGGTGCTCGGTAAGAAGTGCACTCAATGGGATAACCCGCCATGATCAACACCTCGAAAGATATAAATATTGCAGTTCATTTTGAAGCAAATATTGAATAGCATATCATTCTAAACTACTATTCGAAAATTTGAATATTCGCACAATCCTAGAACTGGGTTGCCGCCATTCAGGTTTTAACCTGTACTCCCGAGACCACATCCTTTGCAATACAAAAGCGAGACAGAGGTCATAATAGTCGGATTTTATGTTCCTGCATAGACCAGTCTGTAAAGTCGCCACCATCGCAGGCATTCCTCTTATGTCCTGCATTTATGTGTGCTTCTCACCAATAGGCCTAGTAGCAAAGGGACCTGGGTCAGTTGAACATTATCTACAAGAGGTGACAAATGGTGCCAACTGCATCTTCACTGTCTGATCCAACATGCAGCAAAGCATCAATCAATTTTTTTCCGGTTGTGTAGCAAGCAGAGTGAAAATAAAGCGACATTTTCAGTCAAACTCGTTTTCCGAACAGCTTGACTTTTTGTACATTGGCACAATCCACGTAAAGTGTGAAAAATCGGTCGGCAACAGTAGTAACATGCTCATGCAATCTGTGATAGCTGTAAAACGCAGAATTTATTTTTACCTCAGCCTCGTCATTAAAGCATGGAACAAACGACTGAGGCATAATGAGAAACAGAGAGCGCTGAGTCACCGAGGCCAGCCCTGGATTTTCTTCCGTAGAATTAATCGTAACTTCGCAACAGATATTGTCAAATCCTTCGTGCATTTTCAACACTGTGATCAGGCTTTCAGTGTATAAATACCGGGTGTCCCAGATAACTTGCACTAAAGTTTAGAAAAAAAAAACTAAACGCTCTGCGAGAGAAAAACTAACTGTATGTTGTTAAAAAGCGTTTTGGGAAAGTGCACAATTTTTTTAGTGTGCCTAGTTATTTAGTCAAGACTAATTAGCTCATTTTTTAATTATTCGTTTAGGAGCCGAGGTGTGAATTGGAAAGTTGTACAGCGCATTGAGAAACACCCAATTAAGGTGTTTCCAACATGATACACTTTACGCGCTTCTTTTTATTAGCCTAAAAAGAAAGCCTGCAAATTATGAAAAACAACAACTTTACAATGCGCTTGCACCTCCCGCTAGCAGCATACTCAGACGTGCTCTGTCGATGGAACAAGGTCCACCTTATCAGTGGTGCACTGTCCGAGGCGAGACTTTGTGGCAGCAGGTGCTCGCACTTATCTTCGGGGACTACCCCCAAACAAAGCCCTGTCTCGGACAGTGCTCCAGTGATAGGGTGGACTTTGTTCCTTCACAGCACGTCCAAGAGCCCTGCAAGCGCGACGCGCAGGCGTGTAGTCACGTGGTCTTTTAAATTTCACGGGCCTTCTTTTTAGGCTAATAAAAACAAGCGTGCAAAGTGTATTATGTAGGAAACACCTTAACTGGGTGCTTCTCAATGCGCTCTGCAACTTTCCAATTCACCCATCGGCTCTTAAACGACTAATTAAAAATTAGCTAATAAATTTTACTGAACTAAATAAGAAGGCACACTAAAAAATTGTTCCTTTCCCAATAAGCTTTCTAACAACATACAGTTGGTTTCACTCTTGCAGAGCACTCCATTTTTTTTGTAATGTTTGGTGCAAGTTATCTGGGATACCCTGTAAATATTGCATTTGAGCAGATACACCACAAACTTTCATACCACTCCTTTTTTTTATACTGGGCTAGGACATAATTTTCTAAAATAAACCCCACACAATTTTTTTAGATATTTCCAATGGATGTCTAAATACTATCGCTTTTTCTGCACCATAATTTCCAATGTACAAGTCACATTATATTTTTTTCAAAATTTCTGTTGGTGTGTTTAATACAATCGTGTGACTTATATGCGCTTTTCTATTTTACAAGTATGGACCTTAACTGTGCAAGGCGTAGGCTTTATCGACATTTATGACAAAGGATGAACGGCAGAGCACTCTTCTAACGTACCGAAGACAGTCCGAAGCATGGCAGCATAGGTACACAGCTGCATCAACTCTGCACGCCATTCTTTGCAGCACTCATTAACTACTATGTATAAAGCAGTGTAACTTACACAAAGGTGCAACTTATACTCTAACCTTTTTTATGAAAAGTCGTTTTTGGGGGAGTGCAACTTATGCAACAGTGAGACTTGCAGACCGGGAAATATGGTACACAAGTATCCTGTGATGTATTATAAATTTGCAATTTCTTTCACCTCTAGTTGTTTATTGTGATACAAAAATATTGTTCCTATTTTTACCAAGTCAATTTTATTGACTTGTGGATACGAGCATATTGATAAAGATTGCAAAGCCGTGTATGGGTGCCATCATAACTGACCTTAACTTTTGTTTTCTTTCATTTTGTTCACTCCGCTTCATCACTGTGGTCGCACGACAAGTCGTTAAATTTCTAGACTCCACAGTGTTCTTGACCCCAAGAGAGGCTTTGTCTGTATCTGTCCCTGCCAATTTCGGTGGCTGGGCATCTTGGCACGGCAGCAGAAGGTCAGTTACAGCGACACAAATTTGGCACGTGGAAAACTCGTCTATATTGTTTTATGTATTTGCTATATCTGACAGTGTCACCCCCCCCCCTCCCCAACCCAAAAGTGTAACCTAGGTTAACCCCAAAAAGAAACAGACTAAACTAAAAAAATAAATATAGTCCCTAGCTAGTAGTTTCCATGAGTGCTCTAACTAGAAACTTGTCTAACTAGCTCTAGCTCTAGTTCTAACTAGAAACTTTTCATCTGTTACATGCCCTTGCACAATGGTTGTATCAATTTTAGTTGGCAAACTTTTTTGAGCTACCTCGACAGGGCAGGCAGCCAGAGGGCAAAAACTGCCACACGAGGCACTGCACTCACTGCCACGAGTTGGGATTAAGGTTAACCAGGTTGTTTTATTCTTCAGCTTCAGGAAGGAGGGGGAGAAGGCAGAAAGTATTGACATAAATGGCACAGGCTCAATATACAGCCTGATGAGCTCTTATTTTATGTTCGCTACTAATCTAAGTTCGTAAGAGATCGAAGAGGGTTTATAGAGCATGCAAGCTGTGCCACACTCTTTTGAATCGCCTTTCACTGGTGTCCACATTCTTTTATTATTAATGTAGCATAAGCTTGCTTGCACTTGAGGATCTGTTTTAACAGCTCTGTCCCTCAGACCTAGAAAGTGGACCATCCTTTATTTAGCCACCACCCCACAGCATGGCTGTCAATACAGTGTCCCATTTGGCAGTTTCTCCCCTCCAGCCGCCACTTTCGTCACGGTACCCAATAGTTTTTCCGAGAAACAATGAGAGTACTCACAGCTTTGATTTCTCTCTCCTGCAAATGACTAGAGCAGGAATACTCTTCATTCCGAAACGGGCACTTTACCATGGCTTCTTCGGCATATCGCACAGCATTAGAAAGGCAGTCTCTGAAAATAATTTACAACAGTAATTGTCAGTAATCTTGCTGGCCTATACAACTTCCCAAAAAATGCTCCTAGGCTGCCGCCTTGTTGCTGATGATAATGCAACTGGTGTGACTTTCGTGGCCCCCATCAGCTAGAAATTTTCTGTCACTCTCTTCGACTGTTAAAACCTGCTCAGCGTGATTCTCCACTTGTGTTTTGCAGTTTTGCATTCCAAGTTTTCCAGCCTTTCTGGAAAGTTTCCACTTTATTTTCCTTATGCATGCTGGGTTTACATCTTCCACTGTAAGAAATACGGCTGGTAAGTGCCTGCCATTCAAGTGTTTCTGCTCGACATTTACGGAAAACGAAGGAAGGGAAGAATGATGAACAGCCTTCGACACAATATTGCAAACAATGACAACTGTTTTCCCCACTCCCAGGGACAATCCAAGCAGGGTCCTTCTTAGTCATTGCCAAAAATAGGTGTTTTGGTTGGGGTGAGGAATGGATCAATCATGTCCATTCCTTTGACTCCTGGATTCCAACCGAACGTCGCAACGTGACTGTCGTCGACACTGTATGCTGTGTTATTTGAGATCTTTCTGAAATAAATCCTTTTCGGACAAAACTGCCCTGTGTAAACATACAATATATTGTTTGAATGTTAACCCTTGCTAAATTTTATATCCGAGTCCTGTCGCGTACGTCGGTAAACACGTTATTTGTGCGTGTGAAATATGCATGCTTTTCTGCTATCTTCTGTTGTAAATTAATTTCCGACAGCTAAGCACTTTGTCGATTGACACGGCTGAGCAGGAGTCAAAACTCAGAAAATAAAACAAACATTCCAGTCACAATCATACTGTCGCACGCATACCCAACAAAAATAGTTTGCAGTTTGTTTTTTATTTCAAATGTGAAACAATGCTTTCTCAATGTCATCGAGAAAATAGATACACCATGAAACACAAAACAAAATAAACAGAAAGAAAAGGCAAGAATTAAACCGCCAGCAGTGTCTGAAATTCAACCTATGCAGGCTGCGCCTATCGAAATCAACAATCCACTCGGTTGGGGTTAGCTGGGACGCCAGTGAGAGATTAGCCTCAAACCAAATGAGCATGCTCAAAAAAGATTCTCTTGTCCCTGGGGACGAGTGCTTCTCGGAAAGGTGTATAGACACATGGGCGTACCAACCGGGGAGGGGGGGGGGCAAGGAGGGTGCTTGCCCTTTCCCCCCCCTCCCCCAGTTTTCAGTGGGGAGGCAAGGCATGTGTTTTGCCCCCCCCCCCCCCCGAAACAGTTGCCACTGGGAAGGGCAAACACTGGCCGGCGGCACCCAAGGCATACCAAGGGTACTGCCCCCTGGTGGAGGGTCTGGTTTGCACCCCACTCAAAAACGAGTTGGTACGCCACCGAGACATCCGTACTACTGAAAATCCATTGGCAACAGTGCTGACCGAGGGCATGCAGAGGAAATAATGAGGCACACCCTTACTAAAGCTCTGCTGAATAGTGAAGCTAATGCATATGGTTAGTGCCTACACTTGCGCCCCTCGCTTTACACTTTACGATACCTTATAACGACAGGGTTTCATCTGCCTCTAAATTTACTGGGTTACTTCAACCTTTCTGATCAACCAACGGTCAATTGTTAGATCTAGCATGACAAATTACCAGAAGTTATGTGCGAAGCATTGCCGAAAACAGTACTGCTTCAAAAACTGCCTCCATAGAAAGTAGTTTTTCAGATTTATCCAAATCACAAAATTATTCAACAGTGGGTACCATATTTATTTGAAAATAGGTCGACCTCTTTATGAGCAATGCCTGCAAGTGTATTTCTCTGCAAACCCTCAAGAAGAGCCAATCATTGCAATTTACAAAAGAGGCCCGGGGAATGACGAGGCACCGAAAACGTTGGAACATAGAAATGGGATCTGTGTGGATCACACATTTTTTATTCCAAACATTATCTTGGCCTTACAATTCACCAGCTCCTTTCGTAAGACTTAATGATTGGTCTCCGTGGGTTCTACGGGAAAGTAGACACATAGGTCTGTTCATAAAAAGATTGACCTATTTTCGAATAGACATGGAAATCACTAAAGTTTTCCGAAAAATAAAAAAATAAAGCGAAAACCAAGTTTAGTTTAGTGCACAAGAGGTATATAAAAGAAATTAGCATTCAATATGCAGCAACATATATTATGCTGCCACACTGTTATGACTAACAAATGCTTGGGGCTGCTGCTAATGTGATAACAATTCAGAACCATAAAAAAATTAGGGCCTGGCAGTTACTATAGCTTATGTCACTGCTTCTACAAGCTAAGGCAAAAGCACTGTGCCACAAAGCCAAGCACTGTCAATATGTATGACTCTCATTAATTCAAACTCCAGGAAGCCACGAATTTTGTTTGAATTCTGAAAAGTTTGAATTATCAGAAATTTATCTAAATATGATGCAAGACAAAATTATGATTTGCCATATGAATGGCTACACATACAAAGCAGATATTTATTGATTTCCTCTACATAGGCCTACTGATCATAAGCAGGTATGCCACACATGAAACATTTGTGAAAGGCATGGCATAAGTTTATTTATCCCTTAAAAATGTTGTTCATTGTGGATTGTTTAAGAAAGCACATGACAACTCAAAACAAAATTAAGTTTCTTCATCAGGCCAAGAAGTTGTCTAATGTGAACTATTAAGCAGGGGAGACATGAGCCACGAAAACAGGCACCGCGCAGCAGTTTTCATAGCAACTTGCTAAAACTCTGTGACGTGGATCTATGCCATACCGCCACATCACAGCGTCTGTGCAAGTCGCTGTGGAAATTTCCGCGTGGTGCCCGTTTTCATAGCTCATGTGTGCCCTGCTTCAGAGCCGTCTATACAGAGAGTTTGGCCATTCATTGTAAAGTATAGAAGTCAAATGAGGAGACACCACGAGCCGAAAGCGAGCTGGGCGTGTTCCAGGGCATCTTCACAAATTCGAATGTGGCCAACCAAAAGCCGGAAACAATACCCTGGCAGTAATTGCAAGAAAAAAAAGATTAATAAATGTGTCAGAGTAACTCTTGGGGACTGAAAATATGGTGCACGTGATGTTTCAACCGCGGTCATCCAAAATCATGGTGGAAGAGTGCATAATCCGTACGCCAGGCACCAAAGGCCGGGAATCTGCCGTCCGAGCGGTCACACTCCGTTCGAGCAAAACAGAGTTCGAGCAGCACATTCGTTTCTTAGATCTTTCTGCATTATCATAATCGAAAAATCACGTGCACCCTATTTTCAACCATAAAGGAGTACTACATTTAACTCTTACGTTCTTAATAAAACCACATATCTATGATTAAAGCTGTTTCTCGCTACCACCGCTAGGGGATTCTTTTCAACTTCTGGTTGGCCAAGAGAGCATGTCAAGCCCTCTTTCTACGTCTGGTGCATGCTTTAGCTCTGCTCGCTCCTCCCTTTGACTAAACTCTCTCTATTCACGACTCTGCCCTGCTTGAGCCCCGTTGAGTGTGCTTCTCACCAAGCACCGGTGCACTGCGGAGAAGCAACACCTCCGGAAGCAAGCTCCGCGGGTGTTGCTTCTCTGCAGTCACCGGTGTTCGGAAAGAAGCGCACTCAACGGGGCCGCGGCAACTAAAAGTATGAATTACACGAAAACGCTGTTCGAATTAAGTGGCTTATGAATACATTAAAAACATAGCGGGACAACCAAAATTTTGAAACTTGCACGAGGCTACTGTCGTACAGGTACTTGAATATAATTAAAAATTCAGAAATGTTGAATGTATACAGATGCTGAATTCATTTCAGTACTTGAATGGAATTGAGATGCATGAAGCATGTTACATACCTGCAGAACATGTGCAGGCAATCTCTAAGTAGGGCTCCCTCACCAGGTCCTACATCTAAGAAGCAAACAGAGCACTCAAATGCTTCCATGCTAGGCACAATGTCCTGTTCCTCTAGTTCCATCATTCGTGCATAATCTTGGGGTGACAAGGCTCTTGGAAGCTGTTCGTCACCTGCTTCTGAGGTCACAGCCTGCATTAGAAAAGGGAAGGTGTGTAAATTTCAAATAACGCTATCCAGTATCCTCAAAACTATTAATCATATTGGCACAGAAATGTGTGGCATGTTTTTTATAATTCTTCTGACATTGTTGTTAGTAGTAGAATATTGACACTCTACACATATGGCTAAATATTTTCAAGCTTTCGTTTTTTTTTCCCACACACACACACACATAAAACGAGTGTTGTTTGGTTTTATTTAAAGCTTTTTTAATGTTTTGGCTATAAAGAAGGCCTTGAAAAAAATCGAAATTTCTACCCATAAAATTATCTTAATAGCACAAGTTGTTTGTTTTTTTTCAAAGCTATCCCCCACCTTGAACGTGCTATTCCAGCATTTCCCACATAATTTGCTCCTTTCCTATATTAGTCGCCTGCTTTGACACCAATAACAAAGAAAGAAAGCTAAAACATCAAACCCTATTTGCACACAATGCCTCAGCATAGCTGGAAGGAAGGTAATACAGAGCACTCTCAAGAGTGAGACAAGCACAATAAATTACGTAAATCAGCAATTTGACGAAAAGCGGCACAAGTAGACAAAAGCACGATTGGATGTTAGATTTATTATACTATAAATAAAAGAAAAAATATTGTCCCTATGAAACTTTGTTAAATATGCAAACATTTCCAAGGTTCCTAACATAATTACATTTACAATTTCTCTATTTTACCAACATTCCCCACCTAATTTGGAGAAGCATGCTAAATCTATCAATAATAATGACAATGATCTCCCATCGTAAATAGTAACCTCGTGAGCTTAAAAAAAAATCATGTTTGAAGTATTTGTATGATTACTAATTATTAATCACAGAACTACTCTTTCATCAATGTTTCAGTATCGATGCATTAAAAAGTTGACCCATCAGTAGTGTCATCTATCCTAGGTTATGTACCCGCCAGGGGGTGCCACCGGAGGCGAAGGACAATCAAATGAGAGAATTTGCAGGCACAATCTTCCCCCTTTTGTTTGTACAATAAACAATGTGCTTTAAAGGAACAGCCGCGTCACCTTTTGCACAGCCCGAGAATATAACGGCCTACATGTATGAATATAACAGCCTACAGGATAAAACGGCTTACAGGAGATGAAACTTTCATGCTCTTTTCCATCGGTAACTACACTTGAAACTTGCCAGGATATACTAAATTACTGTAACTGAAAATAAAAACAACAGAAATATGGTTCCACCATTTTCTGACTTTTGAAAGAATGTATGAATGCATTCAGAAATAAACAAACAGTCTTACATAATGAGAGGTTAGGAAGGTCTTTACATGGTCAAGTTTATAAACGGCAACAAAATCTTGGCAAGAAAAAGCATTACAAGGAAATAATAAACAGAATGACCTCCTTACATCAGCAACAGGAACTTCATCGTAAACGTCCATGGGTGTTTCGACATTCATTGGTGCCCCACACATAGCACAAGCATCGGGTTCAATGTTTTTTATCCCGCACAATTCACATGTCCATCCTGAAAAAAAAATATACATAACAGTGAGCTGTAAAGGTGAATCACTGAAATAAGGGTTACTGTGCAGGCAATAACTTTTATTTCAGTTAATTAGAATATTTAGGTAATGCATAGTTACTAAAAAAAAGACTGTCCCTTTTTTTGTGTGTATTTAGTAACAAAGGAAAATCAGTTGATGATTAGATAATTATATCTGTGAACTATATCCAAGTAGAAGTGCCAAACTCAACATCTTTCTCTTTTCTATAAATGTAGGCTCCTAGATGTTCAAGGAGCGTAGTAGACCCAGACACTTGAACTAAACAAAAGATTCCACTGCAGGTAGCACATGGGCCACATAATATGCAGCAAAAGTCTGCAATACTTCTAGAAATGCTGAAAAAAACACTTAGAATTCACAAAAGGATACAACATTGCCGAGGCAAAGTGCCTCAGCCTCCGCAAGTGGCTGTCACCTGCTACAAGTAATGTTGCAATGCATGATGCATTCTGACTGTTTTGGCAAAAGATGGCATTTTGAGAATTTGGATAGTCCTGCAACACTTCAGGGGGTTGGTCTGAAAAGACAAATGCTTGCCTGCGTTTCAGACCAATTCCTTATTCCAGTGGGTTTTGCACGAAGAGGTGTGCATTCAAGAGATTTAATGACACCCAGAGCAGAGCCAATAAAGGCCCGGTGGCCAAGAACAACAGTCCCACAGCACGACCACGCTACCAGGAGAGTGGTTTCCGTGCCGGATTCGTTCGCTGACTGCAACAAGTACGAGTAGTAATGCCATACCAAATGATGATACAGATCTAACAGCATTTATTGGGATCCTAAACCCGCTGGGGCCGAGTGAACAGCATGGATCATTGGTCCTGAGCCACTATCGACCAGAGAGCACCAAGGCGCCAAGGGACAACGGACAAGTCCAGTCTGTTTGTCTTTTTTTATTTGTCCGTTCTCGCCTGGTGCTTTGATTTTTTCTAGATAGGTACATAGCAAACTTTCCATCCAATCCAACTAACTTTATAATAGAAACATTTCATTGTATCTCATTTTCTTTAGCTCATATATGAGATGCTTTGACACCCACTGGTGAATAATGGTATGTTGCTCGTCTTCCAACAGCAGAATATAAATTTAAAACCAATACTGGAAGCTCGGGAGAAACATTACCTGTGAAAAGCAGTGCAAATTAAGCTCACCTGCGTTTTGGTCGTTCAGCAGGGCATCTAAAGTGCTTGATGCATTGGAACCTCTCCTTGCAAGAGGAGGCGATATTGCTTCGGAGGCTTCTTCTGTGCTTGCAATGCTGCGAGGTGGGTGCCTTTGAACCCTGCTTGGTTCTCCTTGATCTTGCTGTTCATTGCTGGTGTGCTCTGCTGGACTCACAAGGTACAGGAATACGGGGCAGGCACTGTGAGAAACGCCATAATGCTCCAGGGTGGCAGAGTCATCTGTGGCCAAGTTTTTCCCCAGTATCCATCGTTGAATTTTGACAGGAAAGTTGTACTCTGCTTCAATCTAGAGAGAGATAAAGTAAGACAAGTGTGCCTTTTAGGGGCAAAGCTCCTTAGGGTCTAGCCTTGTCCATCCGTCCGGCGTCCGTGCTCACATCAATTGCACTGCCTCCGGGATCAGCCCACTTTTAAAAAAAAAAACGCAAGCCCGCACGGGAGTTCGAACTCAGGACCGCTTGCTTACGAGGCAGACGTCTTAACCACTACGCTACACTTCAACGTTGCATGTAGCCGCTCAACGTCTATACAGGAGAGAGCGCTGCGGTCAAATCCATATATAATCGCGTTAGACTTTGCATGCATTGGCTCAACGTTTATAGACGAGAGGGCGCTGCGGTCAAGTGCTCAACTGCGTATATAACCACGATCCATGCCACACATTCTCTTTCTGACATAAATCGTTGACTTAAGCGGTGGAGATGCGTTCCCATGGCTTCTAGCGGATCCAAGCTGATCCGCTAAAAGAACCACTGGCTCTGCATTTCACCAACCATAAAGCAGTAATAATGAAGTCGAAACACAACTATGAGCAATGAAAAAAAATCAGCACCATCAGCACTACCTATGAACAATAAAATCAGTATCATCAGCACCACCAGAGCTTCGCCCCAATCAACATCATTCACCACGTGGAGATGCGGCCTCTTTTTCTGTTAACTGTCTCTAAATTTGTTCACAAATTGGAAACAGTGGACATATATGCAGCTCTGAGAGTTTCAATGAGCATTCATGTTTGGTACTTTTAGGAGATGCTAGCGTAATACTGTTTGTGAGACTTGTATAAACAATGGACAGGCAAAATAAACAAACAAAAAGTTAGGGTGCAAACAAGCTGGTGAAGGTTTAACATTTTAGTATTTGTATTTTTATTTGTATATTTGTGTCAGGACCTCACTGAGGTGGGATAAGAGATCTTACCTCTCCCCCCTTTTGTTTGAGTTAGAACAGTACCGGTGTGCTATTGGTCAATGTATGTTGCGTTCTCTTGTGCGTTCGAGAAAAAGAAGTTCAACCTCTCCCTTTTTCCTTCCTCTTGGTTTTCGGGCACTTGTACCCTACAAAACCACGGTATTCTGTTCAATAAATTTCAGCTGTGTTTGAGGCTTCGTGTTGTGTTGTCCTTTTTTCACCCCAGTCTCAGGGTTTTGTCCAAAATAAAAGGTTTTACAGCACATGCCAGTTCAGTACTTTTCCAAACACTGTGCTGGAGAAACATACAACTTTTTTCCAAATGCCTAAAACACAGTTAGATTGCCAACGCAAACAAGAGACAGACAACTTTTATTTTCTTTCTTAGAATAAAAGTGCTGTCATAGAAACTGGTTGGAGGTGCCGATTTGGGATCCTAACATAAGCAGTAAAAATTGATGCCCACCAACACTCTTTCAAAGCAAAGTGTGGTAAAGTTTTATGTCTCAGAAATGTTATATATAAGTTAATAAAATAATTATATGGAAGGGTTTTCCATAACAGGTTACTCACCTTTTTCTTTAAATTACTCAGTGTCATTTCGGGACGCACAGGTAGAGAAATGGGGCCAACATGTGATTTCTTGTCTTCAACATACATTTTGACCCTGAAGCAGTAGCAAGAAAGCATTGAAATTAGCCTTGGATATTTGCATCACTAAGGCACAATAAACTTTAAAAGATACCTTCTGTGCACTTTATTTGCCCCATAGCCATCTCTTTTTAATTGAGAGGCAATTGGGAAGGCTCTCTTCATGAAATTTTGTGTGTTGCGAGTTATGTTTTAAGAAAGTCTAAGTGAGCATGATTCTCAAGAAATATCCCACCAAAATTTTGACAATCTGACAAATGCAAAGAAAAGCCCACCAGCCTTTCCACGCAAGCTCGTAAAAATACTCACTAGATTTTTATTTGCTCTTATGTATATTGGTAGGTGTGCGACAGGATTTCCTACCTATGACACGGGAGGAGGTACGAAGAATATATGTCTCGTCCTACATATATTTATTTCTCTCAAAATAAAGTTTATTGACATATTCTGTGAATGAAAAAAATTCTTTCCTTTTCCTTTTGATTTTTTCTCCTAAGCAACTCTATGAGAACATTTGAATTATACAGCAATAATGTTAGAAACCATCTATAACTACCTATATTTTGAAAACAAAAAATCATGAACACAAAAAATATTAATTTAAAATGTCTACCATAAGAAATAGTTTGATAGAAAATAACAAAATAATCTAAAATTAAATTTCTTATTCCTATTCCACGGTGTTGCACTGCATTTCCAGTGAAACATTACTGGTAGCCAGATATTATGCCTTACATGTCAAGATAAAAATAAGGTATGCTCCATGGCCATAATATGAAATAAAATAAAACAAAAAAGTTCAACTACTAATACATCATATGTGAATGCATGCTGCAAAAAAGCATGCCTCACTATTTTTATTTGTAATGGTTCTCTTTAAAGTAGATTACCCTTCCCTGCAAGAATATAACAATCTCAGAGCAATACTACAATAAAGTCAGGACCACTATCCTTGAATGGAGGACTCTTTCACCATAGGTTGTAGTAGCCACACAGACTATGGCTGCAGCTGCAACTGATCCAAACACTTTATTCTTTACCTGGTTTAAAGGAGGAAAGCAGTGAGAAGGATTTTCTGAGTCACTGGTGCTCAGTGGTTAGTAGCATGTTATGTAACCATTAAACCTGTGTTATGAAACGAAATTGTGTTATAAAGAAAGGCAAATGCCAAATGTCAGTTGCAACCTTTCTAATGCATTTCTAAGGCAGAAAGAAACTCGCTGGTGAATTTGTTTTGGTGTCCACCATAAGCTCAGTGAGCTTTCTATTGGTAAGCTTTTCTTCAATTGTTCTTGTTTTTCCTTCTAAAACATATTATTGCCTGTTATGTGTTGCGAGTTCTAGTTAGCATTTCTTCCACCTTCAACTACCAGACTACCTAAAAGCCCCATTACTCCTATGCAGAATGAACAGGAATTAAAAAAGTTACACATAAAGTAACGGAGCTATGAGTGAGCATGAGGACAAAAGTTTGACAGGGTCCCGGCAATGGACAACAACCACATAACCACAGACCTGATGAGCCCCCAACCGCAAGAACCATAGTCCAGTAGAAGCCCTGCAGAATCCACCCTTTACTACTCCGAAACCCTCACAGGTTCTGTGTTTTGCACAGAACCTCCAGCAGAGGTTCTGTGCAAAACTGGGGGAAGTCAGTAAACTGTGTGGAGAACAAAGAGCTGACGGAAGATGAAGCTCTCCAGAAGTATGTAATCAATGACGTGCACCACTTACATAAACTGTCTCGAGTCAGGTACAGCTTTCTTGACCCGCTTGAGAGAGCATGACACCTTGCACATTGCTAGCTCCCGTGCCAAAATGGCAGCTCGGTCATGCTCTCCCTTACTGATGGCTTCTTCTAGCTGTCGGAAGAGTGTTGGTAGCTTGGCTTGCATTTGTGCCGTCGGTGAATTGGGGTGCACTGGTGGCCGCTGCTTGTCTGCAATAGAACGAATTTGAAACAGACAGCCTTCAACAGGACAAATTGGTGACTACGGTAGTACTATAAGAACAGTTGACTCTACATGCCAAAGCCAATTGAAACTATGCATAAAGTAAACAAAAAGTGGTCAATATGTTTACTGAAAGTCGAAGGGGCATACACTGACAAAGCACCAGTCTTAATCTGGTCTTTACAAAATGAAATGCTAAAGAAAGATAGCTCTTGAATGGAAAGTGAAGCCTTGTTTTTCAACCTGTCTAAAAAACTGGGTGGCTTGCAGAGGGTGACATCATTTGGATGCTGTACAGACATTCAGAGTTTGCCAGAGAACTCACACTTAAGCCTTAAAAAAGAGAAGATGCAAGAACAATAGCTTTCATCTCATTCACTAATAGCAATTGTACAATTAACAAATCAAAGACAGTCACATCTAAACAAATCATAATTTTAAAATGCACACTGCAACTCTATGTATGCAGCACTCACAGTCGCAAAGCATGAATCACCCAACACAAGGCCCACGCGTCAGTTTATATCTGGCACGTGTTTGCAACACGCTGAAAGAGGCATTCAAAGGCTTACTGCACGTCTCATGAGTTGCCACACGAAAGCCAGCTAAACGACAAGTTTCCAGATGGTCCAGATGTTCACAGAACACGATGGAAAAAATGCAACTCACTGGGGCCTTCCCGGCTATTGGAGTTTGTTGAAGTGGCCGGCGATGACATGGGGGAAGCCTTGCTTGCTGCTGGCTCCGGGGAGGAAGCAAAGGACGCCTGCACACTCTTGGGCAAGACCCGCCCACGCAGCTTCTCTCCCTGGCGTGGGCTATTTTCAGCGTGCTCGACTGGCTGCTCCTGGGAGCTACCCCCTGCATCTGCCTGCATCGGGTTTTCCACGCTGGCCTCCGGGAGTGGCTGCATTCAAACGGAGAAGCCTCCTTTCAGATTTGACACCTCTCGAAAACAAACAAACGTCCGAAGAGCTGTTTCTATCTGCCGATCTGAATCTACAGTGCAACAATAAACAAAAAATAGAAAAAGAAGTAATTTTGAATGATTGCAAAAGAAGACAGTCAGGTTGACACTTATTGAAAGCAGCAAAGTTAAAAGTAATAGCTTCCATATTCTTCCAAAACCAACAATGCTTGTTTTTTATTTGTTATAAGCTTCTCTTTTATGTATACAGGATGCTTGATTTTATTTCGAACAGATTTTTATTAAAAATAGAAAGAGGTGTTTTTGCCATCTCTTTATCAGGCTTGGCAAACATTAGATAGGGGAATAATTATCACGGTAAGTCGGCTAATGAATTGCAACATTGGTCATGTTGCAATAACAGCTATTGACAGCAATTTCTACTAAGGGCCAGACCAATTTAAGGCATTTGCGAAAAGGTAATAATTTTCTACATTATTTTTCATTCTTTATTCTTCAAAATAGTGTGCAAAAAGAGCCACAAGCCCTGCCCACAAGGATGCCCAGAAAAGTGATGTAATCATTTCAATCACATCGTCACTATCTTGACAGCACTTCCTTGGAGGATAAACCAACAACACAGTGCCTAAATGGTGACGATGTCACTGAAACAATTACATCACTCTTCTAATAATCATCGTGGGCAGGGCTTGCAGCACTCTTTTTGTGTAAAACATTGAAATTAGGCAAAATAATGCAAAAACTGATTGATTAATATCTCGAAGACTATTGCCTCTTTGCAAATTCTTTAAATTGGTCTGCCCTCTAATAGTAAGTGCTGTCAATAATGCAGCTGCAATATTGCCCATAAAACCACTCATTAAAAACTTAATTAATAGATTTTAGATAATTAATTGACTTACTGCGACGGTTATTCCCTTATCTAATATCCGCCGAGCCTGATAAAGAGATGGCGAAGACGGCCTGAAGGTAACTCTCCGCTCTTTTTTTTTATAAAGCTCTACTAAGATTAAGATCAAATACCCTGTACTATACATATAGTATGTCATGCTACTGCAAAGCTTTTATAATTAGACCTTAAAATTTGCAAACCATAGGAAACTGAAACCATAAGCATATGTAGCTGCAAAAATTGGACAAAACGATTATGAAAGGTCAAAGTATTGCTATAATAAATCAAAGACTTGTTAGGTCTGCCCTTGCATTTTATGGTTGCCACATGGAGATCACTGGCTAAAGATGCACCAGCAAAATTTTTTAGAACTTCAGATAACAGTATGGAATGTAAGCCACCAAGCAAACCCACATTCCAGTAGTATTTGAGAAAACAAAGGCAACATCTAAATGTAAATGACTGAAGATTAATATGGTATGAAGGAATTATGCTCCTTTGATTCCAAACCACTGCCAGCCTTCCCACTAACTGACAAGCCCACAAAATAGACAAAATGACAAGAAAATAAAACTTACGGTAAATTTTACGAGAGAAACTTGGGCAGTTGGTGAACGTAACTTGTTGAAGATATTGCCGAAATCAGATGACTGGCTCACTGGATTCAAGTTGACTCTATGGGACACCGATGTTAGATCAGAAGAACACTGCAAAGGTACACCTTCATGTAGTATTTCTGTAGAACCAGTTGAGACTGCATTAGGGGCATTCTCCTTCTTTTCTTCATCGACAACTCCCTTTTCCAGTTTTGCATGCTTTACTTCAGAGAACGAACATGCAGCTTTGTCCTCATTCAACAGCTTTTCCTTCCTGGCTTCCATGGGAGTATATGTCCACTTTGTTGAGACAACCTTGCTTCCCTCTGCAGGATGTTTTTGAAACAAAGATTTAAGAGACTTTGTTTGTTTCTTCTGCAGTTTTGGTGATCCCAAATCATTATTTTCTGGTGTATCTTCAGAATTCAATTCCAGCTTACTGAAAGCATCCAAAAGCTCAAAGACATTGGAGTTCCGTTTCAAAACTGTCTCGAGGTTGTTGGCTTGCTGAAGTGCTACAGCCATACCATAATTTTCTTCTTCCTCTAAAATTGGGGGACAAAAGCCAGTTTTGTGTATAGTAAGTGAACCTGTCTGACGTTCTGGGCCTTGGCATTTTGGTGCCCCTTTCATGGGAGTTCTTGAAGACACAGGCTTCTTGCGTAATGAAACCGTTTCAACAAGTTCATTTGAAATTTTGCTCGTAGCTAATCCTGGCATGCTGTTTGAATTTTCAGGGATGGTCAATTCACTAGTGCTCATCTTGTGATCAGAGAGAAAGTTTTTAGAATCTGGTATAGTTTTGAAGGGGAGCTCTGGCTTGGTCACCATGTCTACCATATTCTTGCCAAGCTCCCGACTGTCTTCATTTGGCAAAAGAGGTTTGTTCCTTACAAGGGATTGAGAAATGAAACTGCTAGACTTCTTCACGACACAATTTTGTACTTGTACAGGCTGTGCTTTTGGAGCCATAAGAACGGACGTCTTTCCCTGTAGGCTCTCTGGCACTGTATGGCTAGCAAAAGCATCCAGTGTTTTTTTATCTCCTAAGCTGACACTTTCCAAAACGGGGCTACAGACATCTTGTCCAGGTGGCTGAGGAGCAGGCTTTTTGTGTGACCTCCGCTGGGTTGAATTGGCAGAGCCTGTATCCCTCAAGAAAGATTTGTCAGTCACAACTGTGGTTGGTACTGAGCGAGCTCGCAACAGAGGCCTCGGCAAGGAGCGCTCTCCTTCGGGTGGTGGAGGTGGTGCTGGTCGCTTTTTTCGAGCGATGGTCTTTGGTGGAAGCTTAGGTGGAAGTTTCTCCTCTTGATTTTCTGTAGTCTGGTTCACGGCCTCGACACTAGTGTCTGGCCGCCTCATGTTTTGTTCTTGCAAAGAAAACCTCCATAACTGCTTGGGAGTCCAACGTGAAGTTCCGTCCTGAAAGTCACTTGGACAAGACTCTTTATGAGATGTGTGTGCTGAGCGTGCCCTCTCATAACTGTGATGGTAATCTCGACCGGCTTGCATACCCTCGCTAGGATAGCAGTAGCTTCCACCATTGCGGCCTGCAGCTATCACCAGCCGATGTCCCTTCTTCTTCTTTTTTCTTCGCTTTTTTCTCCTGTGTGGACCCAACGTGAAGCAGGCCATGAGCGACCTCAGGCTCCCAAATTCTAGATCACTCTCCGAGCTTGACGTGACTTCGTGGGTGACTAGCATTCTCGGAAGTAGCACAGGGGGACAGCTCATGACTGAGTGACTGCTTTTCCAGGACTGCACACGCACGTTACAGGGGTCCTTGTCCAGCCAGTTTTCATAGTCGGAGAGGTCAGAACACTCACGTAACCCGGTGGATTGGGTTCTGTGTAGTTTTGATTTGGACTTGAGTGCACCATGGCTGGCATCTTTACCACTGTGGAAGTGGTTAAGGTCAGCTGGAAAGTCGTCCTTTAGTGCCTGAGGTTCAGTCTGCAAAACCAACAAAATGATGTTGGTTAAAGACTCCCTGTAATCTCAAGAGCCCTGTTTCTGTTTGGTCTGTACGGCAGTTAAAAGTAGAAGGTTGGGTTGCGTAGGAGCATATTCCCAGAAAAAACAAATATGGTTCAAATGGTTTATGCTACTCACGTAATAAAGATGGTAAAGACTAGAGCACTGAATGCCAGTTTCCATAACATTTGTATTTCCGGAGAAAAAAAAATTGCAACAGATATGGCAATAGCAGCGCTTAAAAGCACCTCCTCCACATGCACGAAATCATGCAAGACATTTCACCTAATTCATAAAAGTAATTTTTCCTGAAATAAATGATTATTTGAGATAATTGTATAGGCCATGGTAGACATCAGGGTATGATAAAGTAGTGGTGTGCAAGTATCAAATGTTTTAATGCAAATCAAATTTGAATAGATTTGAATAGGAGTATTTTGCATTTTATATGATTTAAGCATGGACACTTTAAGGAATTGTGGCTAGAAATCTTTTCAAAAATGCTCACTCACGAAAAGGAAGTTTTCTAACATGAAAAACATTTCCCATAAAGAAAAAAAGGCCCGAATATGAGTTTGGTCAAATATAATGTAACGTGGCAAGCAAAACATGACTACCTTATTTATTTTAAATTGTACAAATCTGTACATAGCTTGCTCGTGACATCAGTTTGCCCCTCTTTCTGATGGCCAGAAGTTAATGCAGTGGAAGCTATGCACTCTCACTCGCCTTTTCCCCCATTATGTCTACCCAAGTGGCGTCAGTGCAAGCTATGTATATAGGTATTACTCGGACCCAAGATATTAATCTTATTTCTGGAAAGTGGTAAAGTGCTTGAAGCTTGCTTTACCTTTTCCACAGATTTATTTCTTTGCATATAGCTTGAGGTCTTGCCTTTCAGCACTCTCCCTTAAAACCAGGTGTCAAAGTTTATTTTGTTTATTTCTTTTAAATCAAAGGCTGACCTACAATAGTGAGCGAAGTTTCCAAGAGCACTGAGCCAACCAAGAGGCTCCGACACGAGAAACCAGAGAATTCTGAAGACATTCTTCGTAATCTTCAAATATTTTAAAAAACTACAGTACATCTATCTATCTAAGATATATATATATGTATATATATGAAAGCTACACTTATGCGGTTTGTGCAGGTGAGTTATACGGCCAGGGGGACATAGTATAGGGAGATAGTCGCAATTATCAATCGGCTAATTAAGTCAATTTGGTAATTAGCTTTTTAATTAGTGCAAATAGACAGATAGTTCCAATTAGAAACTTGCTGAGCATCATCTAAAACAACTAAATCAACTCTTTTTAGAAGAATATAACGCGGGGGCAGCATTTTACGGCGTTCTGTAAAAATGCCCCATTTCAACGCGTTTTTAGATTTCGGTTTCTTAACCTTTGTGCACGCGGTCCTGCTCCCCAATGGTCGCGACGCGAAGCCACTCCTCGCCTCCCTCGTAGAATGGAGGGAAGTAGGACGCATGTGTGTTGCACGTCTCAGCAACTGGAGAGCAGGACCGCGGGCGCATAGATGCGCTCCGATAAGAAACCAAAATCTAGAAACGCGTCCAAATGAAGCGTTTTTACAGAACACCATAAAATGCTGCCCCGGCGTTATATCCTTCTAAAAGAGTTGATTTAGTGGTTTGCGATGATGTTCAGCAAGTTTCTAATTGGAACTACACTCGCTGACCGATTTTTCGGACGCCGATATTTCGGACAAGTCCAATTATTTTGACATTTTCGCCAAACCATCACTCACTTCATTGAGTTAATGTATAACACTCACCGAAATTTCGGATGCCATAAAGCTTATTGCTCGATATTCCGGACATAATTTGAACAATATCCTCAGTTTACAGCCGCAAGCTTAGACGCTGCCATTTTGGTTGCTTTGATTTTGACCTGTAGCCTCAATACCACGTCCTACGCAATAAACAAGCTGGGTTCAAGCTATAGTCGGGTTTTCCAGTTCCGCTATTGTCAACATGGCTGCCGTCTGCCCATTCTTATGGCTCTTCCAGTTATTCTCGAGGTCCGTGTTTTTCGAGTGCGACCACGAGAAGAGCGGACGTCTGCCGTTCCTGTGGTCTTTGAGCGCTAAGGTTTCTTGTCCGTATTGAAGCGAGCTTGGTAAACTAAACATTGTCTACAAATAGTGCCAAATGGCACACGCTCGAACTTCGCTGTTTGTGCCAAAGAAGGCATCGACAAAGCGAAGCACCATGATCAAAAAGATCAACAAAGAAGTGAAGAGTGAACAATATTAAACGGAAGTTGCAGGAGAACTTAAAATTGACATCAGGCAAGTCGAAAGTGGCGAATACGCAGCAGAATATGCCCGGAAATGTGATATTTTGGCTGAAATCGATTTTTCGGACCGTTTGATTATCTCACAATTTTGGGGTCCCCTCCGAGTCCGAAAAATCGGTCGGCGACTGTATATGTCTATTTGCAATAATTAAAAAGTTAATTAAAAATTTTACTTAATTAGCCGACTGATAGTTGCGACTATCTCCCTATACTATGTCCCACTGGCCGTATAACTCACCTGCACAAACCGCACAAGTGTAAGCTTTCACGGCTTTTTTTAAACAAATCTGAAAGAATAAAAAGAAACACCCTAATTGAATTTGAATACTTTGTTTTCATAAATAATCAGTCAAAGCTACAACTGCCACTTCCATCCCTTCTCTTATTTCAGGTGCATCCAGGTAATGTTTATGAAATTAAACTGTAAACAGAATACTATGGTACACAAACCAGTATTTCAGACCATAAGTGAAAGTGTGCACAAATGCATATAATGCTAGATTCACAGGCAGCATCCTGACATGTCAACTGGCACAAAAGACTCAACAAAACCAATAATTGTTATCATTACCTTGTGGCTAAAGGTTAATTCAGGCACCACACAGCTGGCTGCAGTTAGCAAAGAAGAGGATTTCCTGAAAGCACACCATGCAAAATATCTTCACAAATTTGGTAAGCAGAGTATGTAAACTTCAGGCAAATCTTTTCACATCAACATTTTACAGAAACCATTAATTTTGGGAAATGCAAAAGTGCAAATTCTCCATGAGAAGAATTTGCGCTTGTGAAATTTGCCACAACAGAATTTTAAACTCCGTTTCAGTAGCAAGTGAGGTACACATTGCGAGCCGTTAACCATTAACTAAGAAAAGCGAGGAAAATTAGAAATTCACATATGCACAAATCTTGTACATGCATATATGCACATGCATGTAAAAGGAAAAACACTTACAAAGGCACATCTGGCAGTGTTGTATTTGTGAGGAAAAGTATACATCTTGGCCCTTGAGCTTCCAGCAGACCTCCTCATGAGACCTAAAGGAAACAATGTTATGCTTGCAAAACAGTAGGCTAGTGTCAAGCACAGTCAGGTGTAGCTATAAGAGGAAAAGGGTATTATTTAGTAGACTTAAACAACATAAAATGCTGAGCAAACACCCACCCAAACCAAAGATAATCACAAGAAAATTAAGGGTGGGCACATGCTCGAGCTGGATGTGTATGTAGCTTCTTCACTTCACTTTGTACCAGTTCACAGGGAGAAGAAAGAGTGCATTCTTCCATGGGAGTGGGTATCTTACAATTAACTTAATTGTTACTTGTCCAAAATAATTTCATTATAAATACATAGGCCATTTTCACATGACGTCAATCTACCATTTTGTGAGTGAGGAAGTGAGAAAATGTTTTATTTATAAAAACAAAAACAAACAAAAAAGAGGTGTGATGAAAATTATAAGCTTTTGTGCACTACCAATTTGAGGGTGTCATGTGGATCTTTGGAATACTCCACTTCAGCATGCGCCAGACAACTCATGACAACAAAATGATGGACAAAATGATGTCAGTGAAAACAGCCTATAGCCACCAAACATTTTCTCTTCAATGATACAATAGGACGTTGTTGATCTCCCTAAAATCATTGGTAAAATTGTGTCAGTTGTTTATTGCAGCTTCTTTTGCTCAAAAACTAAAATGACATTTTAGGAATACATTGTCCTCCCAAGTTATACTAGCTTCATTTAGCACTGTCTTTGATCATGTAATGCAAAATACAAATTTTAAGCACCAAAAGTAATTCAATACTTGATGTACAAATGGCACATCAAGAATGTATAGGATACAATTTATCACTGTTAACCTGTAGAGCCTATTGACAGTGAGGTTTCTATCACGTTAATGTTTTGTTTCACAATCTTTTAAATTCTGACAAACTCCGACTTGAAATAATTATTTCCAGAATAAAATTATAGTAAGGTTGCCAGATGTAGTTTATACTATGCAATGAGTGAAATAAACCTACTGACAATTTTTTGTAGCAATCATATCACAGATCAGCTGCTTCATTGTTCAAAACGAAGTCACCCGATGAAGGCGGGGCAATGACAAATAAAAATCAACCAAAGGAAAATTCACAACTGATTACCAATCTCTTAGGAGTATTGTGGTTCATAAAGCTGCTTAAACAAACACTTTTATGTGTTTCCATATCATAACAGTATTTAAAGAAGAATATGGAAAAATTCCATATGCTTCTGACCTTCCGAAGTTACACAACTCAAGTGGTTTAACAAAATCGTCTTTTTTGTTTTATATGGCAGGTCATGATTATGGCAAGAAAAATTCTTACTTTCTGTCCTGAAAGTACTGTTGTAGTCTGCAGCCCGAAGTAAACTTGAATTGGGAAGAAAATATGCATGGTCATTTCTTGCATAGAAGTACCTCTTCCCCCCAAACTTTCCATCTCCTGCTCCAATAGGATTGTCCTGTAGAATGGGAATGAGCAATGATAGACTAATGGAGAACTTGGGCATTCACAAAGCATGCATCTGCAACAAAGTGTAATTATGCTTAAACTGGGAAGACAAAGCAATGAACTCCTTGAAAAAATCACATTTCTCATCTGTTCTAGTTTGATGTAAGTTAGCAAGAATAGAGCTGAGCAGTGATAGAGCTGCAAACAAAGAGTTCTGAGGAATTATTTACTTTCTTAAACAATGACCAAGCTTATTTTCTCTGCTATGATTGAAATTGTTTTTAGACGTAAAATATGCTCAGAATATATAAAATATAACTGCACAAGCTAGGTCCTTGTGAACACAGTTCTGCTAAATTTCTCATATTTTGCCACGATGTTTACTCTAACAAACTGTAACAAATGAAAAAAATTATATCAGATTAATATCATATAATTCTAAATGTAGTAAAGTTATTCAACATCAAATTGCATATTTGGAATCTGCATTAAATGTTATGTTCAATGTATGATATGATAAATATTTCCATTATTAAGAAAAAGCTCTAAAGACCTTCATCTCCCCTTAGTATGATCAATAGGTTTTCTCATGGACACACCCATGATGTGTCCATGAGATTCCATTGTATTTCTCCAACCTCCCAGTCTACTTGCCTCATTCTACCAAAGTTCAAAATACTTTTAAAACCTACAACAATGTCTTAAAATTCTAGATTGCTATGTAATCTGTTCAAATTTCAGCAACTTACAACACTGCAGAGAATAATGTGGACAACAAGTTAAAGGCTGAAAACAAAGCAGACAACTTGAGATAAAGATATGAAGAAAAGTTTGAATGCATTGTTTTCATTTACTTATAAACATTAGTGATTATCGCACTGGCATACCACAGCATATATTGTTATCTAAGATCAGTCAGTATTTATTTACAAATCTAATTTGAAAAACTTCAGAGAGCATACTTCCTCTAAAAATACTGCCTTGAATTTAACACTGGAAAGCTAATTGACCAGTATCAATGCCGTGGTAAAAACTAGATATAAAAAGAGTGTGAACAGCACACATACAGGAATATGATTCCTCTAGTGGAAGATCACTCACAAATTCGACACCAATGGCCCAGTTTGGAGAAACAACCGGGATACGGCCAATCCAGCGCACCCAGCCGTGCTCGGGTCCATGCTCAAACACCCAGACCACACGGTCCCCCAGGGTTAGCAGCGGGCCCATGTCCTCTAGATTCAGCTTCTTTTGTGCAGACATGGCTGAAAGAGTTCACATTCGGTTCACCATGGGCATGAATGAATGGTACAAGAGAGAATAAATCTAAGCACAACAATTGTGCCACTTTGAGGTTGTCTCCTGTAATTGATATTAAAACCGCAAACTCTGCTAAAATGGGCAGAAATCAGAAGAAAAAAAAAAGAAAACTCTAGTATAAATTTTTTTTTTTTTTACATATGGCATGACAATTTTTACAAAGACGGACTAAGCCATTTCTGTTGAAATAGAAAAACAATTTTGATGCAGTGAGAGGTACTACTTAAATAGCAAAAAAAGGGTATATAGGGGCAGGTAGAAAGACATATCCCAGCAGAGAAAAAAAATTAGCATTCAATTTTTAAATGTAATTTAAATCTAAGTCAAGGCACCTATTTACAATTAATAGGCATTCAATTTGGGATGGACGAAACCCTGAAACTGCTTCACATGATCATTTCTGCAGCCTCGTCATTTACCTGGATTTTGTTTATTTATTTAATGCATAATGTTGTTTCTGTAGGGAAGCACATGCAGTAGTTTCAGAATCAGGAACACAAATGATGTGATTGGCTCAAGTTACTTTAAAAATCCCTTTTGAAAAAGCCAAAAGTTCATTTTAGAGTAATAGCATACACTCCATTCTCATTCTTTCCACAGCAAATACTATGTTAAGATATATATGCATTGGCTTGTCCAACTAAAAGTCAATGCATTCTTTGCTTTCCAGTTTCTGTGCAAACGTTCATTTGTATCCATTGTACTGCAGACAGTAATGCTAGTTGTTCCTTGAAGTATTAGACATGGAAATAAGAATGTAAAGGTAACAGCCAGATTGTTTGTCTTTGAAAGGCCCATTGCAGCAGTCATTTTTGAACCACATGCTGTTTGACAAAAGACGTAGTATGAACATGTATGAATGGTAGGTTTATATGTGGAATCAAAAGTAAACCAAGGCATATTCCACTGAAATATTGTAGAAATAAACACTGATTTTCCGTTGAGCAACAGAACTGTAATTCAATTAGGCACATTAATGACATTTAGCATGTAATTTAATTTGCACTCATTATCAATATGCTTTCTTAAATAAAATTCCAGTTGAATGTATGTTTACTTCCCACTTCCGTTCATCTATTGCTAAATTCATTATATTCTAATTAAGCTATTCATTGACAGCCAAAGAGTTAAAAGCCTACATAAAGTAGTCTAAGTAAATGAAAGATTAAAAAAAGGATTACAACTCAGCTATACCTAGTCAAAAATATTTAGAAAAAGTATGAGAAATAAATCATGACCATCGATGCACAGTTTGTCAAGACATTACAGTCCAGCATACATGTATATTAGAATAATAGCTGCGGTTCTTTGAGAATTTGTGTGCATGGTAGGGTTGTCACATCAACATTCACAGTTCTTTTTTTTTTTCTCTTTATACCGGAATGTTGTTCCTCTACAGGGGCTTCGGAAGTATATCTGATGTGTGGGGGCAACGTCTAGGGGGCTCATGTTGCATTGTGTAGTTCACCCCCTCTGTCTCTTTCTCTCTCTCTCTATACATATATATATATATACAGGGTGTTTCAGAGAACTCAGGCCAAATCGCTCCTGCGAAAACTACTTATTGCAACAAAAAAAGGCTTGTGTCATTTTGGTCCTGGGCCAGGGGCCCATTTAGGAAAATTATTAAAGTCCGGGATAATTAACATGTTAATTATTTTTGCGTAATTAACTGTTTTAATCCTGTGTTTAAGGGCATGGTTTTAATTAGAAAATTGCTCAGCTTAATGAAAAAACACTAAATCAACAAATTGCAGAACAATAGAAGTCATGCAAAGCATTTTACGGCTTTCTGAAAAACCGCACAAATGCACCGGGTTTTTAAGTTTTGGTTTACTATCGGAGCGCATCTCGACCCGGGCGGCACCGCGCCCCGTGGAGAGAGAGTGCAATCAACCTCTGCTGCTCTGTCATCACGCGACGCAGCAGGGGCCGAGTGATGATTGACGAGTGCAGCCGTAGTAACATTGTAAACGAAGAGGGGAGAAGGTGATTATTGAATTTATTGCATTAAAGTTAGGGAAAGGGAAAGAGAGCTGGCGAAAAATTGGGCCGGGAGCGGGGATTGAATCCGCAACCTTCGCCTGTCCGGGCCACGCCTTAAAGGGATACTTCAACGAAATTTGAAATATTCCCGTCGTGTTCAAAAATAGGTTGAATATGATCCACAATACCCGTAAATGACAATCGCACATTTGTATTTTGAGCCTGGTGGCTGTATTTTTCATTATAAACGGCCCACTCTGGCAAGCGCTCGGAGAAGGCCCAGCGGAGACCACGTGACATCCAACGCAATCGTGACGTAGGTCGTCTCAGGACGAGCAAAGCTACGGCAAGGCTGATGTCGAGAGGATGGCCTAGTCGTTCCAGCCACTCAAGCGACTGCTTTTGTACGAATTTTGAGTGACGGGTTAATCTTCTGTAATCTTTTAGGGGGACAATAGCGACTTCTGCAACACACAAAAGGCATTCTCGGGAAAAGGGGAGTTCCTCCTGCCCCTCTTCTCTCGTCGTGGCCGGAGGCGAGACAACCTCCGTCACTAGCTGTCAAGGTTCCTAGACGCGCATTACAAGCGAGGCGTTAGCGACATCCACCAGGTGCTCTTTGCTAATCGTTTAATTCGTCTTAAAATTCCTTTTCGTGACTTTTTTAACAAGATATTGGTATGTTCGATGTGATGCTGCTCCTTTGAACACATATAGACCAAAAAATGAGCGCCGAAATTTTGTTGTAGTATCCTGAGATGACGTGGCACGTCATCTCAGCTTGCAAATGTCGGAAAGGGTCAGTCTTCAAAGATATCTAGGGAACCACTCCTCCCCATAGGGACAGGCTGCACCGTATATATATATATATATATATATATATATATATATAAAGATATATATATATATATCAACGACCACTGACGGAGCACAGTGCAGAGAAATGAAGGCTGTAGTCTGATAAAATGTTGGAGATTAGTGAGAATGCACATATTGTGCCACCAACTACTGTTACATACATACATACAATATACACATGTAAACCATATTAAACACGATGCACAAAATTAAAAACCTGCACGTTTCCTTCTACTTCAGGTCACAGTATTTTTTATTTATATAGTGGACGGTGTGCCATCATGTCAAAGCAAATGTGGCTGCCCGTTCAGTTGCCCTGCTAACAGGCAAAAGCCTCACGGGTCAACATCCTTACCACCCGTAAGGCAACAGCCTCACGGGTGGTGGGAGGGGAGAAGAGAGAGGGGAGGGGGGGGGGGGGTCCGAACAGCTTTGAGTGGTTTAGAACCAGTGGGGACGACTGCGCCCACTGCCCCCCGGTGCCGGAGTCCCTGTTCCTCTAAGGTGCGCGGCTGCACTGAGGAGATACGAGATGCCAGTCGCAGAGTGAACACCGCGACACCCGCGGTTTTCACTCCGCGGGTGTCGCTTCTCTGCAGTGCAGCAGCGTCCAGTGAGAAGTGCACTCAACGGAGCTGACTAACCGGCCTGCGTAACCGGCCCAAACATATTTGGGTAGCAATTCAATTACAACTATTTAATTATTGCCCTTTCCCTACTTTCTGAGTATGGTATAATTTATTACATTTTATAAAAAAAAATGTAATTGCATGTTAAATTATTTTTAACATACCGTAAAATATCGAGCATGCACCATGTCATAATAAATCACCCACTCGCTACTTTTCAAGCGTAAAAAAAAAAAAAAAGATGAAGAAAAGAAGCCCACCTGGTGGGCTCGTGACCGAGATGCACCTCCGCGAAAGCGGCTTCTCCGATCACTCCGGTGCGAAACGGTGAAGCCGACACTATCATGTGCCCCTTGTGTATTTTTGCTCTTAAAATTCTTTTCTATTTTTTTTTACTTTTTTCTTTTTGGTGGTGGTGGTGGTGGTGGTGGGGGGGGGGGGGGGGGGGGGGGGGGGGGAGGGTTTTAAGTTACTTTTCTTTTTATTTATCCGTTTCGGTTAAGAAGGTAGTGGGCTGTATTGCGTTCAGTAAATACCCCCGAAATAAAACATTGGCTTGAGGGACAGGAAGTAAAGCTTTCCCACGGAATTAACCTCTGCAATCAAAGTAAAATGGGTACATTGATTCATGTTACTCAATCTATCAATATTGTGTAAAAAATTATAATTATTATGTAAAAAATATATATATATATCCTTTTTTAGCAAGGCGCGCGCTTATGTTCAGCACACACGCGAAAAAACGCGAGATGGAAACAAAAATAGCCTCACAGTCACCCCACCATTGCCATAAAGTAATCCTGCATAAAGCACACGTTGGGCGCGTTCAGCTCGAGCATCATTCTTTTTTTCTGTCAGCTCCTCCAACAATTGCGCACAAATCGTAACTGATGAACCAGCCACACTTGCCAAGCCGGAAACACCTCGGCGATCTAGACTAGTTTCTAAATATATAAAGTTTGAAAACATGGAGCACGGATGAACGGAAACGGACGCGGAAGGTCATTCCTCTTCACCCTGCAGACACGGCAGATTTTTGGACTTTGGCCAGCTTGACGCCTGGGTTTGGTTAAGTTGGGTGTTGGTTTCCAGTGAGGCCGCGAAGACCATTTAAAGCGCGCCTACATACATTATTATGTTTACGAGTACGCTTAGGACGCACGTTAAAAAGAAGCGTGGTTGAACGGGCGTCGGTGTTTTCACCTTTTCGAGAACCTCGCGAATGGGTGATCGCTCGGCTAGGGAAAAGGATGGCGAGCAGGTAGAACCTTTGGTAGAACCGTAGATTTTTGGGAGAGGCTAGTCGTGCACCAGCAAACAAAGGAAACACTTCACTGATCCGATTGCACGCGTCCCATTGAAAACTTTCTCTGTATTTCTCACAATCAAGATACTTTTTTTTTTTTCGCTTGTTTTTGAATTAGGATTATTGGGTAATGTGTCCTAGAGTAATGGTATACGAACGCTGCAGCAAAACTTACCTTTGTTTGGAAACCGTAGAAGCGGGAAACCACCCGAGTGACCTCGAAACCCCCACCGCACTCAAGATTGCAGACGTTGTTTTTGCTGGAGACCGGTCACTCAGTCACAGTTGAGATTAAAGAATCGAGATTGGCCGAAAATCGTGGTTCGGGGCGTCGCGTCGCGGTGGCGGGTCCCAACCCTGGCCCTGGCTGCCCTGGCGGCCCTTGGTCGCTAGCCAGCCGGCCAGCCCCCCAGCCCTACCTAGAGGCTAGAACCACGGCCTAGGCTACGGCGTCCCTAGCCTATGCAACCTGAGGAACCTTAGGGAATATTTTAGGTTTTGATTAGCTTTTGATGTATCACGTGCGAACTTCGCGAACTTTACAAAAGTGTCTTATCCTTTACGACACGCCTTAGGACACTAGAGGACGCTGTCTACCATCCAACATCTTAACGGATCTCCACAACCCATTCATCAAACGGATCGTCCATCCTTTTAGTGTTCTCTGTTTTGCTCGTTTTGCCGTTTTGCTCAACGAGATTTTGCTTTTTGCTCCTTGTTTTTGCTGGTCTTGTTGGAAAGTCCATAGAGTAATATATATCGGAAAAATATGGGAGTATTATGGAGCGCGTCCACGAGCGCGACGGCCCGTCTGACTGCCTCCATGGGTTGAAGAACACGTCGTCGACGTCGTCGACATAACGCAAAGTGGACACGCGCTGCCAACACATAAGCGAAATGATTGACGGTCTGGTAGGTCCTAAAACGTTTTTCGTACGACCGCTTCCGCATCGGCTCGCTTGGTCTGAGGCGGACACGTTCAAGTATGCAGAGATACAAGGGGCTACGACCGGTGCTGGGCTGAGATGCCCGCATATTTAGTCTGTTTTTTTTCGATCGAACGGTTTCGGTCGAATGCCTCACTGTTCGAAACACATCCCCATGACAAGACCTAAACTGTTAGTGCCGATATTCCTTGCCGCTTGATCCAGCCGTCCGTAGTAGACGTGGCATTATAGAAGATTAAGCAGTTGTAATGGTACTTACAAAGAACAAGCTGGCTGGAAACACGCACACAAAAAGACTGCTTTTTTTTTTCTTTTTCAGTCAAGTTTTTGTCATTAGATAATGTAAGGTGATAACTGAAGACTGATCGTGCGCAAACACAAGTTATAATGGGTGAAGGAGCCATTAACAGTGTGTTGGTTCGGGTCAAGACTGAAGAAAGAGTAAACATGTAAGACGAAGATGACACATGAAAGATGTGGCTGTGTCGTCTTCGTCTTACATGCTTATTCTTTCTTCAATCTTTACCATTTGTTTTGCACCCATTAACGTGACCTTTTGTATTGCATGGTTGAAGGAGAACAATCCAGTCCAACATGTCACCAACTCATCAGACCATCCCGAGACCAACATTGGCACATTCACAACTCACCAGGTAAAGTAAAAATGCTAAGCTTTGTTTATATAAAAAAGAAAAGGGTTCAATGCATATAAATACACTGTCTTGAACAGGCAGGGTATTTATTTATTCATTCCCTGCTATGGTCAGAAGAGTCGCACAGTGGGATTGTGGAGCATTTGATCAAAATTACCGTAAAAAACTGGGAGAGCGTCCATCACACTTTAATTGAAAACTGGATTAATCTAGACACAGGCGCTTGTCCGGTCAAATCGGGCACTTAATCTATAACTTGCAGAATTCGCAAGTTTGGAACACGTTCAAAGTGGGCACTTGAACAAAGTGGGCACTTCAGCAGTATTTTACGGTAAGTGAGTAAAATGAGGGCTGCTGATTAAGTATGCAGCCGAGCAACTACAATAGGAAGGATAAACAGCAGACAAAAAGAATATCTAGAAATGGCATTGTGGGCCCACAGGATCAGCTTGAGATGGGCGAGAAAAGGAGTGTGGGTTTGAAAAATGTAAAACACAAAAGTATGAGGGATAGCAGGTGATTGTTAACAAATATTTCAGATTGGGAACTTGGACCTGACCCTCCACTCACATTCATTAAAGGCTGGCAGCCTTTTATGCATACCAGAAGAGGCCTCCTTGGAAAACTACATGAGAGTTTACAAGGAGCAAGTTAACAAGCAACTTACTACTGTTGCCTCTGCGAAGGACGATGTTGAAGCACTAAAGGTAAGGAACAGATTTGCAGGTGATGGAGAAGCATGTTCTCTAGTTAGAATATGTTTTTGCAAACCGAGTCTCATGCGCTTTGGTGAGCGGTTACAAGATAAGACGATTTCCAAAATTCTGTCTACAGCTTCAGTAATTGTCACTCAGAAAATTAAAACAAATTGCCGATGGGGATTTTGTGTTAAGAAAAAGATGTATTCCTTCTAGTATATGTTCAACAACTCAGTTAGCAGTGTGTATACCCTCTGTTATCACAGCCCTTGTGTTCGGCAGGTGAGGGAAATAACTAACCCTTCCAACTTTACTAAAGGCATGGTGATGCAGTGCTGTTGAAACTGTGCTATTTTTGCTAGCAGTACACAAAAAAGTTGATGAGGAGTATATAGAACTTGATTGAACTTTGAATAGTAAATCTGACAGTCTATGGTCCTTTCTTGTAAAACTTGAAAGCCGAACCAAAACAAAAAGGGAAATGTCTTAAAACGCTTGGCAGTCGGATCCATGTTCATTACAGCCCTTTATGTAAGTTAAAAATCAAAATAATGTTTCGGTTGATAAAAGATTGAGGGTGCTGCCGAATTAGTGTCTGTTATCCTGATATCCTCCAGATGTCTAATTGTGGACAACGGGCAATCAGTCGTGATTTGACATTGCCAGAGTGTTCCATATTTGAGAAAATGCATGTGGGTTTGCTATACAAATGTCTATAGAACAGTGCATGAATGCTTGTAGTACTGATGTCTACATGAATTTCATGTGATGTCACATTATGGAAGGACAATCCCTGCACCATGCTGGTGGTTGACTTTTCACCGTGCTTATGCGCTGTCCAAGGCCTAGGATGACGCTAACTTCCAAACATGCCCTGACATGCGCCGTATTTTCAACAAAGGTAGCTAGTTTTTTTTTACACCTAAACTTGAAAGAAATGGGCCGAGATTACGCTGGATGGCATTCAGTCAGTATATGCGGAAGTTTCCGGCGTTGGGGGGGGGGGTGGGGGGCGGGCTATTGTGTCGGTAAAACAAGCTTCACGACGCGGCTGAAGACATAAACCACCGGAATCCCCACAATTATTTGACGAGCAGCTCTAGGAACTGCAATTAAAAGTTCTCCCAAGTAGTGAAGTTGTTCTGATTTCACAAAGTACTGGTAAACAACCCAAGGATTGCCGTGTCGGAGACGGCACAAGCCGATGCCCTGGCAAAGGTGTCTCGGCGGGCGTGCACGTGGGGGCCGCTGCCGACTGATCACCGCCTGGGTTCACAGCGCGACACGCTCGCCCGTACTCGACAAGGTGCGCTCGAAGCATTGATACAGCGTGATGAAGGGAAAGCAAAGGGAATCCACATCACGAACGGGCAAAGCTGATCCACAGGTGTACACAAACACAAACAATGTTTGAAAAATGCTGTAACTCGCCGCTACGATAAATGTCTTGCAAACTCGTTAACGTGCGGCGCCGCATCCCTTCTCTGCCACTCATATTTTTCCCAACTTCATGGTTACTCTGTTGCGGAGCATGCCAATGAAATGATCGCCAGGATACGTAACAATTGCTACAGCGTATGCGGTGCAATTTACCATGGCTCTCGCTGCGAATGGCTGTCGACTCAACCACCAGCATGGTGGTTGCCGGCGTTCGACGTCATCATGTGACGTACAGGGTGCGGCCGTAAAGGTCAACACATTTAGCATGTGAATGTAGTATTGCAAAATGTTTTGTCTATTTTTTTTAGAGCTCAACTCGGAGGTAGTGAAATATTAAAAATAAAGCAAAATCGGAGGATGTGTATTTTCAATGTCCTATACCAGCCTGTTTGTCGTCTGCACGCTGGTTTATGAGCTCACTTCCGGGTGGTTCGCTGAACGCAAAGACACTAAGAACTAATAATAGAGGCTGGCGATGAGCGAGATAATCGCAGTCATTAATACTTTTAACGAAATATATGAACAATGACCACCTGGGAGCAAGCTCACAAACCAGTGTGCAGACAACTGACATCCGGTATAGTGCGTAGAAAATGTATGGCCACTGTGTTTTCCTTTATTTTTTAATATTTTACCACCTCTGACATGAGCTCTGAAAAAAATAAGCATAAAACTTCTTGCAAAACTATTTTCACATGCCCGATTTCAGGTATGTGTGTTTAGAATTCGAATTTTGGAAGGCACGCCAAATGTGTTGGCCCTTATGGTCGCACCCTGTAGGTGCAAGTCATGCATTCAACATAAGATATTTGTCTAGGAACATCTGGAATTTTTGGGATATGCTTGGGAACATCAATCATTATATATTTATATAGGTAACAGTGCAATCCACTTATAGCGATACCACATATAACAGTGTTGTGCTTATAACAATCGGTTTCTAGAGATTTTAGACTAGAAATGCTTAGTTTCTGGTCCAGATACAGCAATAATTGGTTATAACTGTCTAAATTTTGATTTTTTAATTATTGTTATAAGTGGATTGCACTGTAGCATCAAGCAATTGGCCTGTCAAGTTCACTATAAAAAAAAAACAAAAAAAAAAAACATAAAGCTCATGCAATATGCCATCAGCCTCATAGTTTGAAGAGGGAGGCTAACCTGTTGAGTTTGCATAACATGTGGTGATGACTTATTTCCTGCGTCGAGGTCCTGTTAACGTAAAAAAGTGAAAAGTACCGTTCTTTGTTTCAGGAGACAAACATGGTCCTTACGGGTTTAACGAAGCAGCTGCTTGAGCAGAATGATGTTCTAGTTTCCAGTCTTGTGGACGTGGCAAGAGAAGGAGAATGTCGAGCTGTTCAAATGCAGAAGCGACTACGTGAAAGTGCACAGGCTACGAAGGTATCCTCCTCTGGTTCTGCACCTTTGCCAGTAACAGCATCCCAGGAAACTGGAAACATTCCGTTTTTTTTCCACGCTTTTCAGGATGTTGTGCTGACAATGAGTGACTGGGGTGAAGAAATTAGAGACCTTATCATCAGGAAATGCCAAGCAGAAAACTTGATCCATGTACGTGCACTATAGATCCCACCCTTTTCGTTGCACGCTAGTGGCCGCCTATCGCCGTAGTCACACTGCAGTTGAACCATATTCACAAAGCGGTTGTGAATGCAGTTGCTTAAAGATCTACTACAATTTCATGCTCATTTGACAACAAAAACGAGCGGATCTGTTTCGCAGTTGCTGGAACAGTCACTACTCGTGGATCACTGCTAAAAATCGGGCAATAAAGAGAGCTGCTGGCAATTATACTTCTAACATTGTCAAATAAATGACACTCATTGTGAGTCCCTGGACTTGTAAGTTACCTAGAGCACTGTCTGAAGATGCATTGTACTTTCTTACGAAGCCAGCTTTCATTGGTCCATTCAAAGTTTAATTTAAAAATTTGTGGTGTAAGTTGTACTAGGAATGAAATGTTTGAAGAAATGGGACTCTAATAGTAAATCTTTTACCATGGACTTACTCCTTGAGTTCTCACCTGTCTTGAACCATTATGCATTGAACCCAGTATGCTGGCCTAGTACATGCTGTCAAAAACTCTCCTGAACATTGATACCACCACCCTTGCTTTTGAGTTGGCATTGATCCAGCGTATATTTGGATACACCTAAAAGCAATGTCATCTTTGACAAAGTCTTAAAATGCTTTTCTGAATTGATCTTCTGAAGCTGTTCCACATTTCTTACAATTTGAAGAATGATGTTTTGTCTCTGATTGTTTTATATATTGCCGCACGCGCAGCTGGCCAAGTAGGCAGCGCGGCCATGGCCTAACGGTTATCGTGCTTCCCTCCCATGCAAAGAGCCAGGTCTCGATTCCTGGGAGTGACGAGTCTTTTGTTTGTTCTTGCAATTTAGTGTTCTGGTAAATTTGAGAATCCTGTTGCTTGTTCGAGGTGCGAATGTTCTACGCGCCGAACTTTCTACATCGATTGTTCCAGAAGCCCACGCGTGTACATAAGGGGCTCCGCGTGCCGAGCCGCAGTCAGTCTCGCTTCGGCACTCAATCCTGCTGTTTCGCTGACATTGATGCCTGCGAAGCTAAATTACTTCTATTTTGTTTTGGGCACAAGTTCACCTCATTAAACATTTAGTTTCTTCAGTTATTCTTCGCCTCATCATTTGTCATTCGTGATAATATGTTTTACAGGAAGCTGAAACCAGTCTATCGGCACTCAGAAATGAAAATCACTCTCTTAAGGAATACAATGAAAACTTGTGGCATGATATTCAGTCACTACTAAACATAATCAAGGAAGCACGAAGCTCTGGGCACTGGGAGGTAAGTTGACATTCAACTTTTCTTGAAGCTAAGGAACGCTTGTGTAAGGTGATACAGTCTTAAGGGAGAAATTAGCAGCAAAGACTCACTTAAGTAGAGGCGATAGCCCACTGCCAAGGTATGTCAAACATTTGTCTTTGTTTTCACTCTGCAAGAGGTGACAAACCTGTAATGCTTATATAGTTGTGCCGAAGAGAAAAGCGTGACATCTTGCAGAGTGTATGGCAGTTACACGGTGTAGTGCCTGTGAAGGGAAGCTTGTGGTGCTAAGTAGTTTTGACTGTATGCGAATTAAAACAATGTTTGAAACTTGGAAAAATCAATATTTGATTCAGATAACGAATTGAATAACAAATTACAAATTGAAAAGTTCAATTTGTAACTCGGAAGTTATCTGTGCACTCTTACATTTTGATACCATAAATTATAAAAATTCAAAATGTGAAATGCAGGTGCTCCAGTTTGGGATTGATATAACACTCTAATCACTTTCAGATGGGATTGGTCACATTCTGCGAAATTTCTCCGGAAGACGTGTTTGGACCTATTTGCAGACTGTCTGCCAAGTAAGAAATGCTTAATTGATGTATTACTGTGTTCTCTATGCATGCATGTTTCTGTCTTTTATTCTTGCCACTGTGATAATGTTCAAAACCATGGATGTTTCTGGTTTTTTTGTTTTTTGTGTGAATTTTTAGTGCGGACAATGTGTAATGCATTCATGTACACTACCAGACTTTTTAAATTTATTCCTGGTAAATAGCATTTTTGTAGGCTTTTGACATTAGAGAGGTATTGTAATGAAAATTAAATCTGACACACCCTAAAAAAAATTATTTATTTTTTGTCAGGCGATTTAATATGGGTGTTAGAAGACTACCCAATCAATATTTTGCTACAGCGTCACATATGTTTTAATAAAGTGAAAAAACGCAACTGCTCAAAATTGGACTGGGGAGGAAGAAGAAATGTTGTGGGGGAGAGTTGCTGGAAATCACATAAATACACCCGACCGCATTTTCTTTTTTTTTTTTTGCCATAAGAAGCAGATAAAAAACACGCACTTCACACAAAAAACGCAAAAGTCAGGCACCTCATTCTTGACGTTTGCCCGTTTTTCAAGCTCTTACCAATTCGTGTTTGTAAGACGAGCAATGCCTTCAGCCAAGAGAATGGGCGACGACTTGGCAACGTCTTCGTGCGAATCAGCTTAGCAGTCGGGCGTGTCGTACAGAATAAATCCTAATTGTTTTGATTTGTAAATGATTTATCTTTCGAAGCTGTTCTGAAGTGGGACCTCCACTTCAGAACAGCAGTTCTGAAGTGGAGGTCCCACACCCATCGTCCGCCGCCATCGCTTAGGCCGCTTCATTCAGCCGTCCAGCCTGCAACACTTGCGATACGACGCCATGTTGAAAATGCACAGAGTGTTTCCGGTTCTCTGTGCAACTTTTTTTTTTCCCCAGTCAACGTATATGCAGCTTTTTAGAAGCCACATAAAAATGGGTATCATATTTTTTTTTTTCTATTTTTAATATTGAATATGTGCCTTCGATAGCCCACAACTTTGATTCTATTTGGTGTGTGTGTCTAAACCATAGAGAATGGCATGTGACTACGGAGAAGAGAATGAGTGCAACTCAAACCGGCCAGTTCTCGATCGGCGGTTTTCGGGCAAAAAGAAAACGAACTTCGAGCCGCAAATTGTTTTCAAGGTAGTTGGGCTCTCATATGTCATGTACAAATAAAAACCTTGGCTAGCATAAATACCCTAGCAGTGCCCCTTTAACTCATTTGCTTCCGAAGACGGCGATCCGCCATCCGCAGCAGGAAGGGCCAAAGTGCAATAAGACAGTGAATCGCCATCCTCCGCAAAAAATTTGGTTTCCAGAATATATTGATAGATGGCGACACCTCATAGGCTGCATGTGTTTTGTTTAGTACTTATGACACCATATGGTGCCACATGCCTGATAATTTTATGAACATTTCGAAGCAAAAAGGAAGAAGTTTGCAGTTGTTTTTCTTTGTATGAAAACATGGCGTCGCGGTAGAGAAGGTGTCTCACGAGTGAGGAAATTCTTGAGCTGGTGTTTGACAGTGATGAGGATGAGGACTGCGACGACCGAGAATACACCATGGTCATTGAAAGCAGTGATTCGAATAGTCACAATGATTCTGAGGCTTCGGACTCAGAAGAACCACTTGATTCTTCGGCGCCCGTTGCACCACCACCATCGAAAGCTCCAAGGCTGGACGCCTGGCAATGGGATGACGACGACAGTGCCATCAAAGTTGCAAATATCCGTTTCACCGGAGCACCAGATGTAAAGATAACTATTCAGATGGCTGTAGGGGCAGTCCTGCGGCTCTGTCAATGTTCAGTGCTTTGTTAAGCAAAGACTTTTGGCAGATGCTTGCAAATCACACGAATGCGTACGCACTTGAGAAGCAGGCCTCCTCTCCAGACCCTTCATTGTTTCCAACAACTCCAGGTGAGATGAAGGCATACTTTGTTCTTTGTATTCTCATGAGCCAAGGGAAAAAAAGCAATATGTAAGCCGACTGGTCTCGGAGAATTGTAATGAGCACACCATTCTTTGCATTTTGCATCCGTGATGCGCAGGCAGCGGTTTTGGGCGTTCTCACGATACCTTCATCTGTGCGACAACAGCGTGCCAGTTGATGATGACAAACTTCAGAAGCTGCGTCCAGTCCTGGACTATGTTTTGAAGGTGTTTGGCAAGTCGTTTGCTCCAGGAGGGGGACTGGCGGTAGACGAGAGCCTCATGAAGTTCCGTGGTCGTCTGTCCTACATTCAATTCAATCCGGGGGTACTGTCTGAACTTTTTCTATATACACAGGCAAAAGTAAGAAAACACTGGCAGCAGCTGGAATGTTTTGCAGCAAGGCTGTTGTGATCGACCTTGTGGGAGATCGTCTTGCGAATGGCTGCACCATTTATATGGACAACTGGTACTCGTTTCCACTACTCTTCCTTCACATCAAGGAAGCAAGGTCTAACGTGTCGGGACAGTTCAAGTTCATTGAAAGTACTTGCCGCAGAAGTTGAAAAAAATCAAGCTTCAAAAGGGTGACATTCGCAGCCTCTTTTCCCATGGACTGATGGCTGTAACATGGCAAAACAAGAAGCCTGTAACCTTTCTCTCAACCTCCCATGATGCCACAAACCTGACAGACACGGGAAAACAAAGACAACCAGCCAGTCCTCAAACCGCAGGTTGTGCTTGATTACAAGAGAGGTATGGGGGGCGTCGACCATGAGGATTAGCAGCTGGCTTTATTTCCCATCATGCGGAGATATGCCATAGGGTGCAACAAGTTATTCTTCTATGTCATGGATACTGCTGTTTACAACAGCTGCTATATTTTTTTTGTGGAAAGACAACAGGCAAGAGGTCCAGCTATACAAACTGGAAAGCAGGCACATAGGCAGGATTTTGTTTCAAGGGGGGAGGCGGGGCGGGGGCGGGTGAGGCGGGCCGGGCAAAATTGAAGATTTCGGGGGGGGCCCGAGCCCCATGGGCCACCCCCCTGGCTACGTGCCTGCTGGGAAGTCGATCTCGCCGAGCAGGTCGTGGAAGAGACGATATTGCCCGGTTACAAGCAACAGGGAAAGCCATCAGTAAGTGCCTCGCCGATGCAACTAGAGCGATGCAAAGGGGTGCATTTCCCTCGCCAGACCCCAGCCAACGCTATGAAACCAAGCCCATCTATGCGGTGCCATGTCTGCAAGGTCCTGGGCAAAAGGAGTGAGAGCCGGTGGGAGTGTGAAAAGTCTGAAGTCGCTCTTCGCATGCCCGTCTTGTTTAAGTTGTTTCACACTCGCAATTCTTTCTAAGTGCCTTCCGTTTGCCTTTGATTCAGGGTTGACATAAAACAAAAGTTATTCTCCTGTGACTTTTTTTGCAGAAGTTAATCAATTTTCCCCTCGGCACCGCGGAAGGCACTGACAGAGTGAAAACGGGACGCGGAATACCATGCGGGAAGGAGCTGCATCATGGCGGCAGCGAAGGGGTTAAATTTCATGAAAGATGTGGGCCTGGGTTGTGTACCTGACACTGCTGCAAACATTTTGTGAAAATGAAACATACCAAATGTAATTTTATTTTTTAAAATATATTGGTGTCCTTGCAGTGAATGCGTTGCCATCAATATTATGTTCATGTCGCTTGATGGCATTGCATAGTAATCATGTTTATCACATCTGCAAAATTACTTGAAAAACTTTTAACGAGTTCCATATGCCATTATCATTCAAATGAAATCTGGATCATGAGAATGATTAAAGAATGATACAGTAGAAAATAATTTAGTGCCCTATTAGGCATGGCAACTAAACGTGACAGTTTTCAGTCGGAGCCGATGCATTAGTACAGGACCAGTTGAACCTGCCAGCCCCTGGAACTCTTCTCTGGAGCTCTGGAACTTACTGTGGCAAGTTCCAGAGTTTACAATTTGAGGAGTGAGCAGCTATCTTTGACAAAATAGAAAATAACAGGAAGATGTCCCTAACATAGTGTAAATGTAACCTGAAGGTAGCCGAAGCTGGTAGAAAAACTTGCAGGAAGTCTCAAGAAGGCAGTTATTGTTTTGCTCAGATTTTCGGCTATTTTGGGGCTAAGTCCCTTAACTAACTATTGGCTGTCACCCTGGGGCTTGCAGGTACCTTTCCATATACCGTAAATATGTTTGTTATGCAGGAAAAATTTTCACACACTTCCAAAAGATTACCCAAGAGACCCTTTAGTAGTATATATAAATTTTTTTAATTGCATGTCAGTACCCCTTCGAATTCCTAGGCACTGTGACGGGTAATTCTTACAAACTTTACGTCACTATCTTCCTCTGCCATTATGCCCAGCACGTTCATTGTCCTATTGAATTGCTTTTTAAGCAGCAGTCTTCTGAAGTGACAGTTCCCCCATTTCTTTCAGACACCATCCAGATCCGTTTTTAAGGCATGATAATAACAGTACTGATGATCTCGTCTTATTGGAACAGCCTTTGGCAGAGGTAAATTTGTCAGTCACTTGTTGTCTCCAATATCTAGGTACATTATTTATGAATTCCTATGGCACAGTATGTAATATACACAAAAAATTTTTTTTTAGAGCCGTTTTTTTTTTTTTTTATGCTACACTGCATGTTTATTTTCTTTTTAGGGGTGAGGAAAGCACTGTTGAAGCTATGATTATATAACCCTAAACAAAACATATTTTTTTTAACAATTCAGGAATCTGTGCTTTACAAACCTGACCATGTTGGCTCGATGAGTGAGCCTCAATCTCCCAGGTGCTCTTCAGACGACAATGAGCAAGGTATTTTGAATGGAAATGCACCCTCTAGCATGGCTGAATCTTTGAAGGTAACTTCACTAACTCTTGCAGACCGACATGATGCTCTAGACTCGGACTGTTTTCTTAATTTCAGGAACATTCTTCAGCTCACAATGAGGCCCCTTGTTTGTCAGAATGCCATGACCTACTAACTCCTGCAGTGGACACCACTAAGATTCTGTGTAATGGATTCACTAAGAGTAATGAGGAGTCCATGGAGGGCCACTCTGGGGGAAGTGTGGTCCTAGAACAGGAGCAGAGCCAGTGTACAGGCCTTAAAAGAGTAAGTGGAATGAAGCTCGCTTCTCGCTGTTACCCCTTCACAGTTTCGGAAACTTCAGTATTCAATGGTCCTTATGAATTTTGTTTGGTACAACTGTTGCATGAAAGCCCTCTAGCTAATCTGCAAAACACTAGGAGCAGCATGTACCTGAAGTATCATGAGACATATTCGATGCTTTGTGCTTGGTTGACTACACGCATAAAGCACTGGACCGTCTTTTGTTATTTCCAATTCTGAAATTGGAAGGGGCTGTCTGTGATAACACACCACATCAACTTAGTTATACATATCATAATACATTTTGGTGGGTAAAGTTAGGGTCAGTGCTGTTGTGCTGCTCATTTGCTACCTCACAATTAAACTCGAAAGCAGAAGAAGGCTAGTAGTAGTGATTATTATGGTGACCAGACGTCCAATCTTGGCTGGGACACTCCCGTTTTAGGGGTTTATTTCTGCCATCCCATCATTTGGTCTCAACGAAGCTTCATGTCTCGTTTTCGTGGGAACATGCATGGTCATGAATTCAATGGAAGAAACCCAAAAAAATGTTTATTTGCTACGCACATTAGATTTCATAAAAATGAATACACTGAAAATGTTATCTTCCTCATAGTACAATTTTGGGCTCTCTCTATGGTTACATCTGTCAATACATTTTGTTTGCATAGATGTGTGTACGGAGAACTTTTTCTATACTATTAAATTTTCCATACTTCAATTGGCAGCATTCCTCCTTCATTGTTTAAAAAGGGGGAAGAAAGGCACTTGCACTATCGACTAACTCCAGTACAAAGTACAAGGGGTGGAACGGCTGCGCCATTTTGCGCCAGATGCATTTGTCTGCGCCATCCTGCGCCATGTTGTGGAAACTGCGTTACAGCCAAAACCTCGCGCCATTATGCACCAAATCGGAAAACGTGCGCAAAAAAAAAAAATTTGTTTTGTCTTGGTTTCGGTTTCTATCGACTCGGTTGGCAAGTATGAGCGCGTTTAGCTTGGTCGGCCTTGCAATCCTTTGTTCTGTTTATTCTCCCTGTATATCCCGAGTCAAAAGCGCGCGAAAAAACTCGGGGGGGGGGGGCGCGTTTAGCTTGGTCGGCTTTGCAGTCCTTTGTTCTGTTTATTCTCCCTGTACCGTATTTGCACGAATATAACGCGACCACGAATATAACGCGAGGACAGTTTTTGATGCGCCCAAAAAGAAAAAAAATATTATTACTATTATAACGCGAACCGATGCCGCGTCAATTTCTCGCACTCGGGGGCACAGCAAAAGTGAAAAGTCAATGGAAATAGAAGGAATATCAGTTTATGTTTTGACTGCACTCATCCTCACTGTTCAGGTCCTTCCGTTTACAATCCACTTGGCGACTACGCAGGTATGCAGCAGCACGGCACCTGCTTGCCTGGTAGTTCTTCCGTGGGAGCTCCTCGGCAGCCCACAATCCAAACAAGGCGCGGAAGCAGAAGCACCAACACACAAACACCAGACCACTCTGGAGCAGAAACTAAACAATGCGCTGGCAGAAAAAAAGACTGCTGAGCCCGATACACGATCACACTTCTTGTTCTGATCCCTGTTCGTAAACAAATGCCTCGTGTTGCACGATTGCGTAAACGCGGTCAGTGGTCTTGGCTTGGCTTGTGTTGACTTGAATTGGCCCGGCTTGGCTTGGCTCAAATTGGCCGGCGCGCGCGCGTGCGGCGTGCGCGCGTTGTAAAAACACAAAAGCGATAAAAATGCTTTTTTGTTTTCTATTCGCCCCTTCACGTGGCCCCATGGCTAGAAAATGCGCCTCCACACCCCCACTTCTTTTTCCATTGGATCTTTTGCATTGAGCCAGAGGGATGACTTTCTCCTTTGGCTTTCTCCAGACTCGCGCGCCTTGTGGCTGAACTCGATTCCGAATATAACGCGAGGTGCGTTTTGGAGCACGTAATTTCGAAAAAAAACTCGCGTTATATTCGTGCAAATACGGTATATCCCGAGTCCAAGCGCTATACCACCTGCGACTGGATTGTTATTCTTCAACCGTAAGCGGTTAAAGGGGTACTCCGGCGATTTTTTTTAGCAACCCCCCCTAACTATATTTTCAAAATTGCCATCTTTTACTCTTTCCGGTATGCTATTTAGTATCGCAAAATTCAAAATAGTTATTCTGAAATGGGCAAATGAAAATGACGCCAAATGACCCGCGCTTTTCATTGCCGTGACGTCACGGGATGGCAGGCTTGCAGTTCGAGCGGGCTGTCTAAAAATTAACTATGCCGAGCATTTGTTTCGTGCTGCTGCGCGGAAGCTGGAGCGACCCTCCAAAGCATTTATTTGACACCATAAAACTGTTTGTAATCAGTTGGGAACAAAGTCTACAGCCCAAAGAAGGGTGAACCCCTTCCTTCCCATAACGTCACTTTTTCAATGTTGCCAGTAGAGTTTTTGACTTTGAAAAATAGATGAGGACCAAAATTCTACATCTATAACTTCACGAAAAAAAAGTTATTTTAGCCAAATATTTGGGTTACTATTTCAGCGATACTTGTTCGTGTGTTAAGCAAGTTTTTAGGCAAATCGGCGACTCTAAATAAAATGCCGGAGTACCCCCTTTAAGGAAGTCGGCAGAGGTGAGGTTGAGTCGTTAAGCGTCAGATTGCCTGAGGCTCTGCGGCCCGGGATCCGGACGTCAGCCAGTTGAAAACAAATGAGCAAACGATTCATTTTAGTACTTCATAGTTAGAAGTTGGAACCGTATTTGCGCAAGATAAATTGTGATTTGATAGAACTGAAACACAGTCCGATCCGAAACCTTGCCGGCCAGCTGCTCTCACGCGAGCGGTAGATCTGCTCGGCGTACTTTAACCTTGCTCCTGCTTATCGCTTCGAATACGATAACTCCGTTCATCGTAGTCTGCTGCTTCGATACTGAGTTGCAGAATAGGACAAACTCGAAATTTGTTGCCCCGTTCCTCCACGCAACTGCACATCCGTTGCTTACGCACGTCACATGGTTCGCATATATTAGCGAGTTTTAGGATAGACCGTGTTTCCCTCTCTGCTAAACCCCTCCGCTACCCGAAACTCTACAGCCGAGGCCATCGGCGTGCAGGCGCAGTGGCACTTTCTTTGTAGTGGAGGGTTAGCAGAGGGGGAAACACAGTTTACTAAAACTCCCTATAATTACTATGTCAAGCACGTGTGGGTTGTGCGATAAGCGGTGCTGGTTTGCATTTTGAGCAGCTGAAAGCCACTCAGAAAATATCAAGGACACTATCTTCAGAAACATATGGCACTTGCTTTTTGGTTCTCATGAAGGCTTAAAAAGTTTCAAGTTTTCGCATTTGTTACTCTGTTATCCCACCTACCTAGGTCCCTAAGCACTCATGTTCATCTGTGCTGCTAAGCACAATTGAAATTGCTCCCGTGCTTGTCTAAGACACAAGCTGAAGTGCAATGAAAAGTGATCCGAGCTGCTCCTAGCCTGCTCCATGCTCCCAACCTGCTCCAAAACAGCTGTTTCAGCTGCTCCCGTGGCTGCTCCCAAGTACATTTCATGAGTTCCACCCTTGATGTACATTTTTACCTTGAACTGAATAGTCTTAGATGTATGGAAGTAGGACAGATGTCAGCGAGGACAGCAGGACTTACTGCTTTATTTACACATAGCCAAACATCAAGATGCCAGAAGTATAAACAAAAGTGGTGCCCTGGGTTATCTAGCCAGGGCCCACGTGATAACATACTGATGCACGTGCTCACTAATGATTAGGCACAGCTGTATCACAATGTATAATATGCTGACAGAACAAATCATAACAGAGCTTTCCCTTCTGCCTTGCTTCTCTGCCCCCATTCAGTGTCCCATCTTCTCTGAGGATTATGGTCACCATACTTACCTATGTGTAACAGATGGCCCCACCAGAATTTGGACAAGGTTTCTTATTGCACATTTTTAGCTCTGCTTCTGATTAATGCCTGCCAGCATGTTTAAAGTTGTGCCTATACTACTCCATCTGAACTTAGCATGACTACACAGAAAAGCTTATGATTATGAGCTTGTGGTTTAGCCCTTTGAGTGCAAGGTTTTGTTTGCCTGCATGCAGAAATTAATTCTGCTTACTTTTGGGTAAACCCTCATAGGCTCACCATTCTATGACAACGAAGGAGCATATTGAAACAGAAGTGCACCTAAACAAAACAAAATTATATGCCTTAAGAAAGTGACATCAGAAGATAAAGCGTTGTTTTCATCGCTAATTTATACATGCCACTACACGTAAAAGAAAATAACTGCCCAGTGGGAGGGGCAGGGAGCAAACCGAGACTTAAACCACATGGGAACGCGCCTGAGTACACTCGGGCATGGCACTCAAAGGGTCAAAAAGGTGCGTTTAGTGCAGTGAAAGTATGCTGTGCGACACTGCTAGTGCAAATATGACATCGGCACTTTTTCACCCCTTTGCTCAGACAGGATATTTGACTATAGTCGGTGACAGCTCAAGAACGAAGTGGAAGCTCCTCCCACCTTTTTCCACTTGAGACCCGCTTCAGACGGGGCAATTTTGCCCAGCAACTTGACGTCACAACACCAGCAACACGGGCCGCCCGCGTTCACACGCAGCAACTTATTGCTGCAATTTGCTATCATCATCATGAAATTTTATTTTTCTTCCACTATTTAAACACACAATTACTCGCTATCAACGTGTTTTTATGCATTTAAATCTCGTTGAAAATACTAACTCATCTTTCTGAAGCGGTTTATTTCCTAAAGCGATCAATTTCAAACCAGAACCAAGTCTTTAGTTGTCATCATCACCGGTACAAGGTATCACATGAAAATATTGCGTCCCTGATTGGCTGCAGCCGCTTCAAACGTCTTTGAATTGCTCCGAGTTGCTTGCTCGTTTCGAGCTGGACCCGATGTCGGCAATTCGTGTCGATCTATGGAAAGCTAGGGAACAACCCGCGAGCAACACCAAAATTGCTGGAAAAGTTGCCCCGTCTGAAGCGGGCCTTAGTAGTGCAAACACTGGAGGCGCAACCCCCTTTCCGCCGTTCGTTCCGCCGAAGTGGAAAAGGGTGGGAGGAGCTTCCACTTCATTCTTGACCTGTCACCGACTAAAGTATCCATTTTTGTTGCTTGGTTTAGCACCCCGACTGAGAACTTCATGCTACAGTAGTTGTTATCATTAGAGTCCTTGAATTGCAAGTGAAAACCAGAGAAAACAGGCAATTGCTTATTCATGCTAAATGTATCGCACTCTCTACTTGTCAGTTGAAGCATTTGCCGAACTCGTGCATTCCTGCTCGTTGTTTTCTAAAGAAGTGTCATTTATTTTGTTTTGTTCAATTTTACTGGAAAATAACAAGACGGTGTCATCTAAGCAGTCTTGGAAAGTACTAAGTACATTGTACTTAAATACTACTTCGAGTATGTTTAGAAAACTTTTACTTTACTTGAAGTATGTGCTTTGAGCATGTACTTGTACTTTACTTAAAGTATTTTTTCTGGTACTCTCCGAGGAAAGAGCAACTCCCGACTTCAAAGTACATTCCCCAAACTCGGTCTTGTAAAATTTGTATCACAAAATGATGATTTGTCAGCCAATAGGTGCCTTATAAGTTGATTATGTTAAATAGTTTCTCAGCGACAGTAAAACAACTACTCTGTGGCCATTTGACTTTATCCAGTGTTCGCTGCCATTTGCGAAAATAACTGATGCATTCTTAATTACACCTGGGGAAATATATACCAGTTAAAAAAAAAATCCTAAGGGAATGAAATTACATCATGAAAGTTTGTGTTAAAAAGTACTTGTACCTTACTTTAAAAGTACATTGTATTTATAGTACTTCAAGTAAATTGCATCCGGTGTGGTGTAATTACTACTTTACTTCAAGTACATTTGCTCTCAGTTACTTTGTCTCAGTTACTTCAAGTACTTTTTAGATGTACTTTACCCAACACTGCATGTAAGCAACCTACCAAATGAAATGAAATTTCTTAATCTGTAGTATCACAAATCTGAGGCTAATTGTATATCTGTGTGTCTCCTTTTATTATTGAATAAAAGCCCAAGAGACATGTTCCACTCGCATATGATGTGCCTTTTGATTACGGTTAGGGGCAGTAACCTGATTAGTTTTTTTTATAGGCTTGTGCAAATATCTAAAACTCTCGAATGTTGATTCAAATATTTGTGTCTTTGGCGGGACTGAAATGGAATTGTAACATGGGAAAATGTGTGATAGTTATCTAATAATCTAAAATATTTTCAATATTTCTTAAAACAGGTTATAGTCGACTCTCATTAATTCAAACTCCAAGAAGCCACAGACTTTGGTTTGAAATATCACAAGTTAGAATTATCAGAAATTCATCTAAATATGAAGTGAGGCAAAGTAGCGATTTGCTATAGGAATAGCTACACATACCAAGCGTATTTTTTACAATTTCCTTTATAAAGGCATATTTATACAGCGCGTCACAAACGAAAATTTACACGGTCTTTTTTACTGCAAAAATAAACTAGGCATCGCCGAACGCTCATTCTCCGCCCAAAGGTAGCGCTAGAGGTCACAACCAGGTGGCAAAGTTTCAGCCCGATCTGATAACTTAATCAAAAGTTATAACTGATTTTCTGAAAATTTCAATGGGAAAATGGCGGCCGACGGAGTTTTCGAACACATAGGACTCTATGGCACAAGAAACCGAAAACGGGCAAAAATGGGCTCCATTTTCCCATTGAAATTTTCAGAAAATCACATAACTTTTGATTAAGTTATCGGATCGGGCTGAAACTTTTGCATCTGGTTGTGACCTCTAGCTCTACCTTTGGGCGGAGAATGAGCGTTCGGCGATGCCTAGTTTATTTTTGCGGTAAAAAAGACCGTGTAAATTTTCTTTTGTGACACCCTGTACATTCGAATAGTTTCTCTAAGCCTTTCTCGTGAAGGTTGTTCCCAACCTTCCACTTGTCCACTTCTAAGCTCAGTTAGTTTTAATATAACTATATCTATAAACTGTGGCCTCGGAGAGTTAAATGCCTACATTGGGTGGCATGTAAATGACAGATATGGCATAAAATTAAACCTAAAGAGACGCCCAGCTATCCTAATTAAGGGAATTTATAAATCTGCTTGCTATGTGCAAATATTCCCACAAACTTCATGGTTATTGCTTTCCCGCAGTACACACGTGCTCGGTGAGAAGCACACTCAACGGGACTAACCCTCCACGATGAACATACAGTATGAATAGACCGATATCACCAGTCAGTTTTGTTACACCGCCACTGCCGTAATGCATCGAGGGACTTTAGTCTTTTTGCACATGAGACAACCTCGCTGAAGCACTGCGCGTGCAGAGCACGACACGACGCCAGGCGTCTTGAGAACTGCCGCTGCCTCCTCTGAGCCAAAGTTATGGCGGCGTCACGCACGCAGCAAACACTTGATGAGATAGGTCTATTCTGCAAAAATGCTGCTTCAATTTGCAACTTATAAATGCATTATAGACATAGCGGGACAGCCAAAGAATTTTAATTTGTTTGAATTAACCGAAACGACAAGAGTTTGAATTATCGCAAGTCCACTATATTTTAGTTTTGTGGAGTGCACTTTCCCCATGGTACAGGTGTACTCCAGCAAAAGGACGCCCGTGGTGGCTGTTTTTAATGGAGGCTGCCTTTCTGCAGCACCAGTCAGTGCACCAGCAAAATAACTCCTTCCGGGCGTGTTTATGCACGCATAGTTTAAAAAAGTTGAAGCTTGCTTTTCATAGATGTTAGAATTCCATTTTGCTGTAAGAAATAAATACTGGGCCATGGCTAATATGAAAGTATGCAGAGCCTCTGTTGTCCCGATTTGCTGTGCAGTTGGATAAAATAAAGTCACTGACATATGGAATGCAATGTGTTTTAATTAAAACAATTTTCATCATGCTAAGGAATAGCCTTTATGATTTTCTCTACATCTTTTATTTTGAAAAATTATTATAGGACCAGTTAGTATGGATCTGGTACTAGAGCATTGTTACATGCACAATAACATGAAATACATGAAAGTTGGCTGTCTTTGAACCTAATCGGGACATTTTTCTAATGCATGTGGTCAAAATATTTTAACTATACTATTTTCAAAAGTATTTTAGTGGGTTCAAAAGTTTTAGAGCAGTATGACCATTTAATTCAGATTGGATTTGGTTTCATAAAGTCATTTATGTCCATTCTTTTCAGTTCTTCAAATCATAAAAATGTATGGATGGCAGGTTGCCACCCCATCTATAACATCCAATGCTCTGCTTTCCTTCAGGAGTACCGGTCAGTTTGTCAAGATGGGCTGTTGAAGGGCCGTCCACCTAGCCGAGCCAGATCATTGTTGAATGGTCTTCAAGGAAGTTCGCCAGAAGAGCCCTATGACACCCCATGTGGCCCATATTCGCCTGCAGACTGTAAACGTGTCCTCTTTCCATCATCTCCACCTGCGAAAGGTTCGGACTGCTTTCCCGTGGCAGAACCTTCCAAAGTAAACTGTGCTGCACAGACTGAAGAGAAAGAAACTTCGTCAGTCGTCATGGGCACCCAGACTGATTTTCTGTCAGAGGTAATGCAAAGGCACACGCAGATATTGCTTGACATGTGCTAAGCCTTATGTTATATGGCTTGCAGACGTGCCTTCCAAGTGGTAACGAAGTCAGAGGTCAGGAGCTGGGATCCCTGCGGGAACGGTTAAATCTGGCCCTACAAGACGTAAGTGCCAGAAATATGTGCCGCAGGAGCAGGGGTAAAAAAGGTACAATGGAAGTTTATCTGAACCACTTTTTCAGCTTGCTCTCACTATACACTCCGTGCGGCGCGACTGGCGCGCCACCGCGCAGCCGGTACCGAAGGTAGGCAGTGAGAACCCCAGAGAAAACAAAACCGAAACCACGCCACGTACATTGCTACGCATTGAAGTCGGAGCGGTGCGATTGCGCTGGGTTCACAGCATGAAGTGCTGCCTGTGCTGTGTCATTAAGTGCTTCAATAGTTATGCGTCGTATCTCGTGGGCACAAAGTTTCACAGTTTTTCTCCTCGCCGATGTTTTGTGGGACAGCAAAAACGATGGACCCGTACCGTACAACGCAAGAAATTTGGTCTCCCAATCATGTCGGCCACTGTGTCGGCACGGCTGACATATTCTACACTGCCGCTTTGCACTCTGCGTTTGTTTTTGTACCAGTAACGCCTACATGTATTAGCGCCGATGGGACGAACTGAAATGCCATCCCACACTTGCGGGTATGCAGTGCCAATTTCTTTGGAGGAATGCCCTCCAAAGAAGTTTCGTCCCCATCGTACTTGTCGATGATATTTCCGGACAAGTATGGCACGCAATCTGTAGTTCATGAAGAAAGATTCGATTGGTAAAAAAGTGACAAATATGAAGAAAACAACAATGAAACTCGGAATCACTGGAGAATCGACGTTTGAGTATGGAAGTTTATATGGTGTGCTTTCTTTCTTGATCAGCCTCCTTTTGGGATGTGGAGACGCTGACACCCCGGATCGGGCTGAAACTTTGGCATCTGGTTGTGACCTTTGGGCGGAGAATGAGCGTTCGGCGATGCCTAGTTTATTTTTGCGGTAAAAAAGACCGTGTAAATTTTCTTTTGTGACACCCTGTACATTCGAATAGTTTCTCTAAGCCTTTCTCGTGAAGGTTGTTCCCAACCTTCCACTTGTCCACTTCTAAGCTGAGTTAGTTTTAATATAACTATATGTATAAACCGTGGCCTCGGAGAGTTAAATGCCTACATTGGGTGGCATGTAAATGACAGATATGGCATAAAATTAATCCTAAAGAGACACCCAGCTATCCTAATTAAGGGAATTTATAAATCTGCTTGCTATGTGCAAATATTCCCGCGAACTTCATGGTTATTGCTTTCCCGCAGTACACAGGTGCTCGGTGAGAAGCACACTCAACGGGGCTAACCCTCCACGATGAACATACAGTATGAATAGACCGATATCACCAGTCAATTTTGTTACGCCGCCACTGCCGTAATGCATCGAGGGAACTTTAGTCTTTTTGCACATGAGACAACCTCGCTGAAGCACTGCGCGTGCAGAGCACGACACGACGCCAGGCGTCTTGAGAACTGCCGCTGCCTCCTCTGAGCCAAAGTTATGGCGGCGTCACGCATGCAGCAAACACTTGATGAGATAGGTCTATTCAGCAAAAATGCTGCTTCAATTTGCAGCTTATAAATGCATTATAGACATAGCGGGACAGCCAAAGAATTTTAATTCGTTTGAATTAACCGGAAGGACAAGAGTTTGAATTATCGCAAGTCCACTATATTTTAGTTTTGTGGAGTGCACTTTCCCCAAGGTACAGGTGTACTCCAGCAAAAGGATGCCCGTGGTGGCTGTTTTTAATGGAGGCTGCCTTTCTGCAGCACCAGTCAGTGCACGAGCAAAAAAACTCCTTCCAGGCGGGTTTATGCACGCATAGTTTGAAAAAGTTGAAGCTTGCTTTTCATAGATGTTAGAATGCCATTTTGTTGTAAGAAGTAAATACTGGGCCATGGCTAATATGAAAGTATGCAGAGCCTCTGTTGTCCCGATTTGCTGTGCACTTGAATAAAATATAGTCACTGACATATGGAACGCAATGTGTTTTAATTAAAACAATTTTCATCATGCTAAGGAATAGCCTTTATGATTTTCTCTACATCTTTTATTTTGAAAAATTATTATAGGACCAGTTAGTATGGATCTGGTACTAGAGCATTGTTGCATGCACAATAACATGAAATACATGAAAGTTGGTTGTCTTTGAACCTAATCGGGACATTTTTCTAATGCATGTGGTCAAAATATTTTAACTATACTATTTTCAAAAGTATTTTAGTGGCTTCAAAAGTTTTAGAGCAGTATGACCATTTAATTCAGACTGGATTTGGTTTCATAAAGTCATTTATGTCCGTTCTTTTCAGTTCTTCAAATCATAAAAATGTATGGATGGCAGGTTGCCACCCCATCAATAACATCCAATGCTCTGCTTTCCTTCAGGAGTACCGGTCAGTTTGTCAAGATGGGCTGTTGAAGGGCCGTCCACCTAGCCGAGCCAGATCATTGTTGAATGGTCTTCAAGGAAGTTCGCCAGAAGAGCCCTATGACACCCCATGTGGCCCATATTCGCCTGCAGACTGTAAACGTGTCCTCTTTCCATCATCTCCACCTGCGAAAGGTTCGGACTGCTTTCCCGTGGCAGAACCTTCCAAAGTAAACTGTGCTGCACAGACTGAAGAGAAAGAAACTTCGTCAGTCGTCATGGGCACCCAGACTGATTTTCTGTCAGAGGTAATGCAAAGGCACTCGCAGGTATTGCTTGACATGTGCTAAGCCTTATGTTATATGGCTTGCAGACGTGCCTTCCAAGTGGTAATGAAGTCAGAGATCAGGAGCTGGGATCCCTGCGGGAACGGTTAAATCTGGCCCTACAAGACGTAAGTGCCAGAAATATGTGCCGCAGGAACAGGGGTAAAAAAGGTACAATGGAAGTTTATCTGAACCACTTTTTCAGCTTGCTCTCACTATAGACGATTGCAAGCTGGGCGACTGGCCGCCGCCATGTCTCTGCTCGAGCAGGCACGCCCGTGCGATTACGAGCTTGCCAAAGCTACGTTCACCCGCGCGTTGCACGCGCTTGCACGCATGGGGCACCACTTGTGGCGCCATGCTTGCAATTGTCTATACACTCCGTGCGGCGCGACTGGCGCGCCACCGCGCGGCCGGTACCGAAGGTAGGCAGTGAGAACCCCAGAGAAAACGAAAACGAAACCACGCCACGTACATTGGTACGCATTGAAGTCGGAGCGGTGCGATTGCGCTGGGTTCACAGCATGAAGTGCTGCCTGTGCTGCGTCATTAAGTGCTTCAATAGTTATGCGTCGTATCTCGTGGGCACAAAGTTTCACAGTTTTTCGCCTCGCCAATGTGTTTGTGGGACAGCAAAAACGATGGACCCGTGCCGTACGACGCAAGAAATTTGGTCTCCCAATCATGTCTGCCACTGTGTCGGCACGGCTGACATATTCTACACTGCCGCTTTGCACTCTGCGTTTGTTTTTGTACCAGTAACGCCTACATGTATTAGCGCCGATGGGACGAACTGAAATGCCATCCCTCACTTGTGGGTATGCAGTGCCAATTTCGTTGGAGTAATGCCCTCCAAAGAAGTTTCGTCCCCATTGTACTTGTCGATGATATTTCCGGACAAGTATAGCACGCAATCTGTACTTCATGAAGAAAGATTCGAACGGTAAAAAAAGTGCCAAATATGAATCTAAAGAAAACAACAATGAAACTCGGAATCATGGAGAATCGACGTTTGAGTATGGAAGTTTATATGGTGTGCTTTCTTTCTTGATCAGCCTCCTTTTGGGATGTGGAAACGCTGACACCCCGAGTTCTGTAGACTATTTTTTTTTTCCCTCGGCTTTAGAGCCACCTGTCGCAAAGGTGTTCGAACTGGAAGTACCTTCCACTGGTCCCTTCCTACCTGTAAAGTGTGCACCTCCCACGATGAGTGGTATTATCTTCACAGCCTTTGACGGGCAAAACCAGTTCCCATTTAGTTACGCCGCCCAAACTAAATTTCCACCTGTTTTCGCTATGGCAACTCTTTTTGGTATAATAAGTGTTGTGTCAAATTAAGGTCATGTCAAAGTACCTGTGCGCTGAAAATCAGCACCTCGCACAACAGGTTATGACACAACAGATGACCGCAAAAGCCCTTGACGGCCAAACCGTGTGTTGTGGCGACAACTTTGTTTTCTCGGCTTTGGAACCACCTTCCGTAAAGTTGTTTCAATTGGAAGTACAGTCCAACAGTCCCTTCCTACCTGTAAAGTCTACACCTCCCACGACCTGTGGTATTCTCCTGACAGCCCTTTCATGGTCAAAACCGGTTCCCATTGAGTTATGCCGCCCAAATCAAATTTCCACCTGGTTTCCTTATGCCGCCTCTTTTTGGTGTAATAAATGCTGTGTCATGTTACTGTCAAGTCCAAGCACCTGTGTGCCCAAGTCTGCACTTTGCATAGCCCGCTATAACACAACATTTTGGGTCCAATATTGGATATCCCATATAGCTTTATTTCTTTATTCGTTAGGAACATAACTTTCACACCTGCTGTCTTAATGAAATTTGGCACACTTCGTGCGCAAACTTAGTGAACATCTCACTCGCCTCCAAATATCAGCAGTCCTAAGTTTACAGCGACGGGCGAAATAAATGTCCCACTCAGAGCAATTATGGTGGCGGCCGTCTTGCTTTTCGGAAAATTGCTCCAACTCCTTTTTCGGCCGCAACTAGAGAAATTACACCTAATAACGACTCAAACTCAATATATAAGAAGTGGAGAACAGCTAAATGCCCTTCTGCCCCAGCACTTATGCAACGTCACCCTCAACGTACCCCGCAGGGGGCACCTGTAAAAGCAGGTGTTTGGAGAGTGGCGTCTCCACGGACCCCGAGCCCCGCAGGGGGCGCCTGCACCTTAGGTGCTAGGTGCTTGATGAGTTGCGTCACCATGGACCCCAGCTACGTGGGCCACCATACCCGCACGCAGGGGGCACCTACTTTGGTAGGTGCTTGGTGAGTGGCGTCACTACGAACCCCGAGCCGTGTGGGTTCGCCCACCCACGTCTGGCTGTGCGTGGCGTGCCCGTGTCCGAGGAAAAAGGGACCCTGGTGGTTGAGCTGAGCCCGGGGTATGTTTGGACCCTTCGGGGCCCCCCGGGCGAGGCAATACACCGCTTCGGCCTCTGCTTCTCGTAGACGGGTGTCCTGGCTTGGCCCGACCAGGATGATTCAGTCAATTGCCTCTTCTATCCTCTTCTCCCTTCTTTCACTTTTCCTCCCACCTCTTTCTTTTTTCTTCTACACTCTCTTCCTTCCTTTTTCACCTTCTTAGGCGGCAAGGGCCAACCTTGAGTGGAAACAGGTCCTGTCCCTGCAGCCACACTACTGTATAGTGCCCTGGCAGCACTGGTAGAGTAATTGTGTCAGCCAAGCCCATCTTGCTATGGCACATTACCTGCCTCCTTGTTGGGCTCCGTGGTGGGCGGTGCATCCGGGCACTGAACTTTCCTCCCATCTCATATGGGTTCGCACAACAAAACCTTTCTTGATCGGCCTCTGAAAAGAGTCGCACCGAAACTCAAGTCACTCCCGAAACATCCAAAGTACTCGAAAGATTCCCAAAATTCCTGGTCTTACACTCTGAAGAAGAAAAACCACTTGCCAAACTGTCCCCTTTCTTAGTCGCCAAGGTACTGGAAGGAATCGTTGGGAAAGATTACTCTGCTAAAAAGATGCCGTCCGGTGATGATCTTGTTGAGATCAGCACCAAAAAGCAAAGTGATGCCCTTCTTTCTCTCAACGCTGTGTCTGAATACAAAGTAAACGTTACTCCACACCGCAGACTTAATACAGTTCAAGGAGTTATCTCGGAGGACGACCTAATGGACTCATCTGAGGAAGAACTCGTTGAAGGCCTTTCAGACCAAGGAGTTGTTGCCGCTCGTCGCATCACCCTTCGTCGTGAGGGTGTAGAGCGTAAAACGAGACACATTATACTGACCTTTGACACCGCCACTCTCCCAGAGGCCATAAAGGCAGGCTACCTCCGGTGCCGTGTTCGGCCCTATGTGCCGAATCCCCAGCGGTGCTTTAAGTGCCAAAGGTTCGGCCATGGGTCACAGAGCTGCCGAGGAAGTGACACTTGCGCGAAGTGCTCCAGTAAAGAGCATGTTGCTGACAGTTGCGAGAGTGAACCGAGATGTGTCAACTGTGATGGCCGTCACCCAGCATACTCGTGCTTACTCGTGCTCTTGTCCAAAATGGAAAGAAGAAAAAGAAATACTTACTTTGAAGACCACAGAAAGCATCTCCTACCATGAGGCGAAAAAATGTTTCTCCTTCCTATCGAAAGGAGGGTATGCCGAGGTCGTGCACAGGGGACCCGCACGACCCGTGATGGCATCGGCGGGAACACAGACCCCTCCAGGGGGGGGTGTGTCTCCCGTCAATGTCCCCTCTAAAACCCGCGGGTGCAGTGCCAGCTGCACTGCACGGGTGCAGTGCCAGCTGCACTGCACCCCAACCACGCGGTGGACGGTGTTCCTACAACGTCCACCCTGAAGTTGGGGACGGCACCCCCCGCCGCCCCTGCCTCCTTGAGGCCTTGGACAACCCCGCGTCTCGACCCAGCAGAGACCTAGTGAGCCGTTATGGCTGCCGACCCCACCGGGTCTCCCTCCGGCTCCCCCTGTGGAGCCTATGGACGAGGGTGGACCCAAGTCCGGCGAGGAAAGTTTCCTCGCTGGATCTGACTTTTCTCGTTCTGCCACCAGTGACTCTACTGGCCAGCAGAAAGAGGCTGTAAAAAAAAAAAACGCCCCATGCAAAAAAATAGATTTTAAGCCATAGTCACCTCATTTTACTTTTTACCAGTTTTTATATTCATTTTTGCACTGGCTAAGCATATAGGCATTATGCAGTGGAACTGTCGCGGCCTTGTACGTAACATAGATGACATCAATTCATTTTTTGATGAGCTCCGTCCTGTTGCTATTTGCCTACAGGAGACGTATCTGACTGATTCGCACACGCAGTTTTTGCGTCATCAACAAGTTTTTAGGAAGGACCGCCATTCCTCAAACCCTTCGGGTGGTGTAGCAGTGGTGGTTCAAAGTGGAGTGGCATGTATTCAAAAATGTATTCAAACATTGGACTCCTTTACCTTGTTACTGCCTTACAATGTGTTGAAAATATTTTATATTAATGTAACTATTTGGCGCATGGTTATTAAATTTACAGTGATGTGATTGCTGCGCCAAACTGCGCCAAGGGGCTAACCTTGCTACATCCTGCTACATTTCGCCAAAAAATGGCTAATCTGCGCCAAGCCTGCGCCAAAGGACCAATTTAGGTCGCCTTTCAAAACCGAAACTAAACTGAGTACTGTAATTGAGCAGGCGTGTGTTAGGTGATACAAGCGGCCACCTGACACAAAGTACCGTGCATCAATTGTCCACCCGGTCTTGCATGGTTTTCCCGGCGTCTCGCGTTTCGCGCTCTCTCTTGTAGGTCTCATCTCCTTTTTTTTATATTTTCAGCGATAGACGCGGATTTGTGCAGACGATCCGACGCTAGCATGCCGGTTACCAGCTATGCCATCATGCTCTGAAACAAAACCATGTTTTTGCGCGGCAGGAGTTACTTTGTGAGCTGAAGCAACGGCCGTGGGAAAACTATATTTGATCGCTGCCTTTCAGTTACCGTGGTCGCGCGACGTCGAATGTTGTTGTCCCCCATCACTGCAGATATGGTACTTTCTAAAATGAAACTAACTACCACTGCATGTTCATTAGCATTCCTGTTCTTGTTTAAATCATACGTTACTACAAAAATCCATCTTTAATTCAAAGACTGCTCTGTGGAAGTATTGATTATCGAGATTCCTCTCGGTGGGCCTTCTTTCGAGAGGGACCTCGGTACGTTAAAAATCTGCCGTGAAAGAAAGTTGGTGAAGAGAAGTGTGCTAAAGCAAAGAAGGCAATGTCTGCACGCTGAACCCGCACAGTGCGCTTTTTTTGTCTAGAGTTCAGTCGTTGTACAAAGCGCTCCAAGAACGTTTTGAGGCTGGCTCGCAATGTGTTGCATCGATGCACTCAGGTTCTTTTTTTTTTTTTTTTTTTTGTGTGTTTAGCTTGTACCTTGTTTGCCGGCCTGGCAAGCACGCGCCACTGGACTGTTTTTGTCGCATGCTCGAAGGTTACATTTTGTGTACAATTTTGGGGATAAGTTAGCGACGGAGCTGCGGGGCATGGTTTCGGTTCTGATCGGACAGCCGTTGTCTGCGCTGGCGCAACAAAGCATGCCCAACAGCAAGCCTGCCGAAGTTAGCCTCACGTGCATGCGAACATGATTGCATGACTGAGGCACCAGCTGGGACGCTTGCAATTCATTATTTTACGTTTGCTTACTTTTGACGAAAATCTGGCTCGTCGGGAACCAGTAAAACGGAGGCAAGCGGTTTTTCGAAATTGTTTGGCAATGCCTACAGCAGTGTACACTTGTGGAATGTCTGAGCAGTAAAAACAGAAGCAGTGAGTTCCGTCAGTACATGTCACATCAAAACACAACACAGCACAAAGTGCCCTTCGTTTGTACAGCACTTAAAACAAATATTTTTATTTTCCTAAGAATATCTGCTCCAAACTCCACTTTTGCTGCTCCGAAACACTGTCTTGGCTACCCCAAAAGCCGCTTTTGCTGCTCCAAAACACTGTTTTGGTTGCTCCAAAGGCCACATTTGCTGCTCCAAAACACTGTCTTGGTTGCTCCGAAACGTGCGCCAAATTGGCTTAGGCCGATCACATCACTGAATTTAGTGTAAGGGTGTATAATCAGTTTCTAAAACCAAAAACCTCAGGTGTGAAAGTTATGTTTCGAACGAATAAAGGAATAAAGTTGTCTATACGGGATATCCAACATTGGACACAAAATGTTGTGTTTTAACTGGGCTGTGCAAGGTGCAGATTTGGACACAGAGGTTCTTGGACATGACCGTGACTTAACACAACACTTATTATACCAAAAATAGGTGGCATAAATAAACCAGGTGGAAATTAGGTTTGGGCGGCGTAACTGAATGGGAACTGGTTTTAACCGTCAAAGGCTGTCAAGAGAATATACCACTCGTCGTGGGAGGTGCACAATTTACAGGGGGGAAGGGACCAGTGGACGGTACTTCCAGTTTGAACAACTTTGTAATAGGTGGCTTCAAAGTTGTGAAAAAAAATTGTTTTCTACAGGACTCGGGTTGTCGGCGTTTCCACATCCGAATGGAGGCTGATAAAAAAAAGGAAGCACACCACATATACTTCTGTACTCAAATGCCGATTGTCCAGCGATTCCAAGTTTCATTGTAATTTTCCTTAGATTCATATTTGTCACTTTATGGACCCTCCGAATCTTTCTTCATGAAGTACAGACTGCGTGCCATACTGGTCCGGAATTATCATCGACACGTACGATGGGGACGACAAAACTTTTTTAGAGGACATTCTTCCAACGAAATTGGCACTGCATACCCGCGAGTGTGGGATGGCATTTCAGTTCGTCCCATCGGCGCTAACGTATGTAAACGTTACTGGTACGAAAACAAACGAATAGCGCAAAGCGGCAGTGTAGAATATGTCAGGCGTGATCAGGAGACAATGTTTCTCGCATCGTACGGCACGGGTCCATCGTTGTTGCAGTCCCACAAAATATTGGTTTGTTGAAAAACTGTGAAACTGTCCCCATGAGAAACGACGCATAAATATTGGAACACTTAACGACGCTGCAGTTTATGCTGTCAACCCAGCGCCATAGGCGTGCGCAGGATTTTTCATTAGGGGGGGCGAGGTTTCCCCAAAGCGCCCCCCCCCCCCCCCCTTTCTATCAACGCACTCCCACTGATGTCCTTCCGCTCATATTGTAGTGCTGAGACGAGATATGGTTATGAAACGTTTATTTCAACAATATTGAATTGTAACATATACAAAATATTATTAAGCAGTTGGTTTCACTTTTTTGTGAAACGTCCGCAAAGAAGGGCAGTCTCTGCGCAGCTGAGGCGTCAGTAACACAACGTGCGTACAAAGAATTTTTATTCTTTCTAAACCAGAGAAAGATACGACACATATGCCGTCTTTAACAGCACAGAATATTTAAAAATATTGCCTCAACGTGACTTTGCTAGTATGGAAAATATAGTATACATACAGGGCAAACGCATGGGTGCACCTACACATGGCGAAAGCTGTCATATGGCGTCTCTAACGTTCATGCAGAGGACGAAAAATGACACCCAATACACAACATAATGGCAACGCTTAAAAGCACGAGAATATACCGCAGATTAAAAACACGAGAAACAGCAAGTTACAATATTTAGTAATTATTGAAGATAAACGCTATGACATGGCATTTTTTTTTTCTTCTGAGCATCCAAATGTACAGTTGGTAATGTTACTTTCTGGCGCTTGATAGAAACATGTTATAGAAACAAGGGCTATAATTACTTTTTTTGCACAAGATAACACGCACACATTATGTCATGCTCAACAAACATTATACAAACTAATGGATATGTTATGCGGTGGTAAAAATATTTTATGACTAGATTAATAAAAATGTGTAGCCCATGGGAAATATAGTACTTTTCACCAATCGTGAAAAGTCTAAAGCAAAATTCTACGCGATTTTGTCGCGAACTGCTCGATGACTGTCTGCGTCGAAGCGTCTTTTTATGGTTGTTTTTTTCGTTGCGCACACTAGAGGGAGGTAACTTTGGCGTCGGTGTTTTATGCCGTCGAAAAAGAAACCATACCGCCGGCGCAGTCGTGCCTCAAGTTGGGCCAACTTTGCGTCCCCCCCCCACCCAGATGATTAGAGGGAGTGGCCGCCCACAGCCCCCCCCCCCCCCCCCCCCCCCGTGCGGACGCCTATGCCCAGCACAACCACACTGCTCCGACTTCAATGCATACCAATGAACGCGGCGTGGTTTCGTTTCGTTGGGGTTCTCACTGCCTACCGTCAGTAACTGCGGCGTGGCGGCGTGCCGGTCGCGTTGCACGAAGTGTATGGACTTACGTAAGTAGTAGCCTCTTTCTACCCAATGTATTACATGTCGGGAGGATATCTCACGGGCTGCTATATATGAACTATGATTATTACTCATTCATTTATTTTGCAGATTTTGAAATGCTTGACTTTTGCTTTTATATGTACTTGTTTTTTACACTTGTCCTTTTTCAAGCAAGAAATAGACTCTGTTGCCTTTTTCCTCGTCAGTGTATTTTTCCTTTGCAAGTTTAGACACTTTTCTCTTAGCTTTACATGTGGTTTGTGTATGTAGCATGCTTTTTAGTGCAACACTCCTACTGTGCACATTACATTCATGTCTCGGCCTAGGTAACAAACTTCATTGAACTATTTTTTGACAGGCACAGTCAAAAACTCTTCTGGCAATGCAACTTCAGGCACACCTAGACGCATCTGCTATGCAGGTTAGTAGAGCCTATAACTGACTGTGGTCTTTTGATAATATTATCATCTCTTGCATTATTATAACTGTATTTCAAAAGGCCACATGAATTTAGAGCTTGTTAAATACATTTTCTTGTGATCGGATAACCGTTGGCAGCTTGATTGCAGGACACCTTTTCTGGTTCAGAGTAAATTAGGGGTTTGTTACAAATCATACTCACTTGTTTCAATGTATGAAGAAACATTGGTACTTTCTGTTGTCAACCTGTTGTGCCTAGTTATAACCTTTAATGTCAAACTATAGAAGTAAAAAGTGTCACTTTCTCATAAAATGTCATCTCACTTTTTGACACTCTCTCCAGCTGTCGAAAAGCAAGAATTAGCAGAAATCTTTTTAATTACTCTAAGTTGTGCTGTTATTGATATGAATGAGCACATTTGATAAAGCTAATCTTTCAACTGTATATGTTTCCTATAATTTTGATTCGGTATAGCAACGGGACACTTGGCTTTTGCGTTTCATTATCATTATAGCATGCTTTGAAACAAATGGCACAGGTGGAACTCAGAGACCAAGCACTTCAAAACTTGGAGAAGAAGCTTACAATGTCACGAGAAAATTGCGACCACTTAAAGAAAGACATGATCTCCGTTCGGTTCGAGCTAGAAGAAGCCCAACAGGCCATTGAAAAAGAGCGTACACTACGTGCCCAATCCGTAGCCGAGGTAAGTACCTTGAGTTATGCTATGCATAGTAGTGTACAGTAACAAATTCATATCAAAATGGGAATAGACAGCTTGGTTTCAAATTTTGAGGATTTAGGGTCCGAGGTTGTACTTATTACATGTTCTTCAAAAGAATGAGAAAGCAATCAATTGATTTAATGCAGGCAGAACAGCTTACCTTGACAGTGCAACATCTGCGGGAAGCATTGGTCAGCTCTAAGAGAGCCATGGAGGAAGCAAGGCGATCATCGAAGGACGACACCGTAACTCACAACAACCTATCAAGAGTCCATGACATCTGAACCAAAGCTCACTAGCATCTTTGGAAAGCAATGCATCTGTTGTTGGCTCTTGCTAGGAAGCACTGTCCTTGGGTGGTCCTGGAGAAATGATTGGGGGCTGTCTACTAGTTGCAGGATGTTGTGCTTTAGAATACATACTGTCTCAGTGGTAGTGGTGGTCGAATGGTGCTAACTTCTTGCTGTTCACTTTTGTGTGTGTACATTTTGGGCATGAGAGTGTGTTAGTATGTGTGTAATTTTGCATTCCATTGGCAATGCTTTAAGCTTTGTCTTATTTTTTTTAGCTCAGTTGCCAAGCATAAGGCTTTTTATACTGTGATTATTTTTTGCTTCTTTGGTATATTTTGAGCATATTTCAGTCCTTTGCCAGGCATGGGTGTGCTCCAAGAAATGGCTTGAGGAGAGTTGAGAAGTCTAAGAGGAGAAGTTCCGTGATCTCACTTCATGAGTTATGGGCATAGCATTATCCATGCAGAACATTTCTTTCTTAACACGGAAATTCTGTTGAGAGTTTACAGAGTAGAACCTTAGACAAGGAAGAACAACAAAATGCACCATATTCTAAACTAACTCGGTTTACTGACATTTCTACTATTCCAGTGTTAACAAATGTGCCTTTCTTCATGCCATCCCTGTGCTCACTGGGAGGTGCAAATATTAACAATTGCTAGTACGAGCAGACAATTAGGGACATTAAATTCGTATTCAAACCTTTTATATTTGTGAGTCTTAAATTTTGCCTCGGCCATTAGTGACAAGCTGTTCATTTTTCGTCCATGTATCATTATGACTTGGTCTGATCTTCTTGCTACTTTTAGCTGTTTTTTGACGTTTCTCAAATCCTGAAAGTTTGATTTAGTATTTGAAGCTAGTAATCATGATGTTTAAAACCCTGAGACAGGGAAGGAAACTTGAAGATGTATTAGAAGAAACAGAAGAAAGGCGACAGACAAGCATCTCAAACTTGGCTAACAAAATGTATTTCATACAACGCTTTTGTACCCTTCTCCCAAAGTTCTCCACATCAAAAAAAAAAATCACACACACTTTGTTTTAAGGAAACTTAATTCTAAGTCAGTTTGCTCCAAACACAAAGGCATGAGCCAAGCAGTAGGGCCAGGCAGGAACCCCGAGATACAGCCCACCTAAAAACAAGAGCAAATCGGGTGAAATAATGGATTGGGCTTGCTTTCAGAGTATAGTCAAGAAAAGTTGAAAAAATGCTATTTTTAGGTAATGTGTTTTAGGCCAAGCTTGTTAGCGTGGCAAGAGGCAACGGAACAAACGTGACTACTTCCTAGTCCGCAATGTTCGCTTATGTCCCACGATAGCTAACTAGCAGCATTTACGCCGAGGCCACCATTGATCCCAACATTACTATTACTAGGGGTGGACTATCTTTTGGTGTTTAAAAAAAATACAGCAAATCAAGCCAAAATAGGGTTGGGCTATCTTTCGGGGGTGGGGCATCTCTCGGGATTTTACGGTAAGTCCTTTGACACACAGATACAAAAAGGAATAGAGAACAATGACAGTTGAGATCGCAGAGCTTCCTGCATACAAACAGTGCAAACAAATATATATATCACCTAACTGTATTTTTTTTTTTTTCCACTGTCCATATGCAGGAAGCTCTGCGATGTTAACTGACGCTGCTCTTCTATTCTTTTTTGTATCTGTGTGTCAAAGGACTTAGGTTGGTTTTCACTGTTTCGCTCTGGGTGGCCTACTGTTTGGTTCATGCCTTTGTGTGTTCGGAACGAACTGACTTAGAATTGAGTCACCTTGAAAGCAAAGTGCTCTGTGTGTGTGTGTGTGTTTTTTTTTTTTTTGTTTCTTTTAATGTTGTGGACGACTTAGGGAGAAGGGTATAAAAGCGTTATATGAAATACATTTTGTTAGCTGAGTTTGAGACGCTTGTCTGTCACCTTTCTTCTGTTTCTTCTAATATATCTTGAAGTTTCCTTCCCAAACTCAGGGTTTCAACATCATGATTAATACGCACCAGCTCGCCTGCACGTTAGCCACTTTTTTTCACTTGAAGCTAGTCTTTGACTAGGTGAATTCAATTCAGTTTTGTAAATTTTACTACTCATCCACCCCTCCAATCTATTTTTAACTTTGAACCCAAGGCAGGTTCAAGTTTTATGTAGCATTCATCATTTTAAAAAATTGTTACTTTCATGCAAGAAAGCAAGTCGTTAACAAACAATAAAAATGATTGGGATGTAACATCCTCTCAGAGAGAGAAGAGGTCTACATAGTTCACAACTGTGCCTGGTTATATGTGGGCCGTAGATTTTCCCGCATATAAGGAAACTTGACGGATGTTTTTCGGTGTTGATTTTTTTTGCAAATATCTGTGTATTTCAGCTATTTGTTTTTGGGCGGATGCTAAAACCTGTGATTATCGGTGAAAAAATCTCATGAAAAACTAACAGCTTATGTCTAAGAGGCGAGGGTTTTAACGAAAACCGGCCTAGCTGGAGCGAAAATTTTCTGAAATTGGTATTTTCTAGTTTTATCTGAGTTTGTATTTTTGACACCATAGTTGTTTACCGGTGTGTGTGTGTGTGTTTTTTTTACCGATTTTGTATTTTTGACGTTGTCGGATATTTACCTGTGTTTTTCAGTTAAAACTTGAAAGTCTTGGCCTCGTTATAGATTGTTGGCATTTGTCTCTATTATGTACCTTGCAAGATAACACTTATTTGTCTAAGTGTACTACATGTACTATGGCACCTATTCTGTATTGGCCATTTTCTGGCCAATACAGAATAGGTTGACAGCACCTGACTAACAGGAAAGGATTTTATTTTAAAGGGCTCGTAATTTTGTTTGTGCCTTCATTTGTGACTGCGAGTAAGGGAATTTTGGAGCAAGTCCAATGCTTTTTATTTAGAAGGGTTTTATTTTTGGCATGGTCTGCAGTTCATCCTGTTGTTTGTTAGTTTTAGGTATAGAATTTTGGTACACTTTGCCTCTTATTATTGTCTCATGAGGAAACTGACAATATTTCTAAAGAACAGAATTATTTAATTTATCGCATATCTTGCCCCATTTGGTTTTGTGTTGGCTTTTTTTTTTTTTTTTTTTTTTGTCAAAAGTCGTTGCAAAAAGCTAAAATCTGGTAACATTTCTTTTTTTAATTTTAATTTCAGTTTTTTGGTAAATACTACCATGTACAGTGTGTATATTGTACCAAAATGATCTGGTGGGCAAGTTGGTTATACATAATAAACACTGAACCACCAAGGACGAGTGAAATACGTAGACAGGACAAGTGCTAGTACACCGTTTATCGATAGGATTGAGTCACATAGCAAAGCAGGGATTCTGAAACTTTGATTTCAAATATCACCTACCCTTCTTGATTGATAGCTGAGGAACTCTGCCGGTCTTGGCATTGATGCAGTGGAAATTAGGAAAATAAATAAATAAATAAGCTATGGGGAACCCCTGTGCTCCTTGGAACCTTGTTAGAGAATTCATGCTACAAAAGCCTATCATCATCATCAGCAAATAGAAAAAATATGGGTAAAGTACTATTCGCAAATACTTCACACTAGAAGGATGATTAACGGTTGATAGTGGAGCTTGTTGGTACATACTTGTATATATATTTGACAGCTTGAAGCTAGCATACGTTCACGGGATTACGCACAAATTGAAAAAGATCGCCGCGAGGAATGAGATCCAAGTAGTATGCTCCGCGCCTAACAAAGCGTACTCCATGTGCAGACGAGTTAACAACAAAACAGGCAAAGAAAAAAACGTGCGACATTGCCCACAGAACACAATATGTACCATGCATGACAGGAGTGGTTTACAACATTCCCCTTTCATGCGGGAAGTGCTACATCGGCCAGACGGGCCGATGCATTAACGACAGAGCCCGCGAGCACGCAGCATCCCTTAAAGGAACGTCGGCAGGGCATCTTGCAGCTCATTGCAGGACTTGCCGCTGCAGTGCAGCGTTCAAGGACATAACCATCCTAGCCAGTAATAACAATACTCATGCGCGCGAGATGCTCGAGGCGCTTGCTATCGAAGAACAAGCGAGTGGGTGCGTCAGCACCCCGTCCATCACTATTCACAAAAAGGAGAGACAATATCTACGGTGCGTCACGGTCCAGAAAATGGCAGTATGAGCTTGTGGCGGGTGAAGTTAAAATATTAGTTTAGGTTTAGGTAATGTGAAAATTTTGTAAACATACACATGCATTATTATATTAGTATAATAGGTTTTAATATGTAAGAATTTTTGTTGGTGTCTGAAAACACGCAAGGAAAAAGAAGTTCCCACTAAATAATCGTTGGTAGTCAGCTGTCTATTCTCTCCTGTCTCAATTTCTCTATATCTTCCCCTGGTTCAAGCTGTCAAATATATAATACAAGAAGGATGATGTTTGTATTTGAAAGCAACCTAAATGAGCAGGGCTCTTTGAAGATAGATATGGAACAGATTTAGGCTTGTAAATATTATTTGTAGTTTTCAAGACAAATTATTGGGCAAATATTACTGAGTGCTATGATACTGGTGAATTGAAACTGCCAGTAGTGAAGTTATACGTCTTTTTTGTTTTTTCTTCCTACTTTTTTCTGTTTTTGGTATACTTTTGTTACAGATTGAAAGTATTTTGTTCAATTTAGATTTCTTAGGATTTTCCAATTATCCTTACCTCTGCCATTCTGGGATCAGAGGTTGGCTTATTTTCCATGGAGAAATTCATTATTAGTGTGTGTACATGCTGAATGTTTATGATCAAGGAAAGAAAAAGGGAGGGGGTTACCTTGATGGGGGTTCCGTTTTCATTGCAAACTTATCGGGCCCAGCAGACATTCAGTAGTGGAATAACCGTCATGATCATCAGTTGGCTGGTTAACTACAACTGATGAGTCAACGTTTTAATTACTGCCAACATTGGTAGCATACACTAGCTTGTTAAGCAAGAGCGTTGCCAGCACACTAGAGTGAGTGACAGATGCACAAAAAGACTATAGAATATTGAGGAGTTGGCACTGCTTCAGTTATCGTATTGGCTCCTAGCCATGGTTGCGCCCAGCTACGAGCGTGTTGCGATCTATGCATCATGGTATGCAAAACTGGATGCCTAGTTTTGAATTTAGATAGCATGAACGCAATAAATGATTAATTAATATTCCAAATTGCATGGCCTTTTTTCAAATTGTGCTTATTTGTATGACCTTTAGTAATGACTGCACTCAAGACTGCAGTTGTAGCGTGTCCCCTTAAGCTGGTGGCTCTCAAACGGGGGACTGAAGCCCCTTTGGGGTCCCTAAAGCCCTTCTTGGAGTCCCTGAAGCCCTCAACCATCAATCAAACCGAGGAATAAAACTTTTTTATTTTTTTTTATTATTGATGCTGGCTGTCATACAACGTTAAATAGACCAAACCTTATGCACCAAGTGAGTAGGGTTGGTAATTCTTTGTTTCAGAGTTTCAAAGTTATCTTTCACGCATTTAGTTAATTTTTTTTTTTTTTTTTTTTTTTTTTTTTTTTTTGTTTGCTTCTTTGTCATTGTGATCGCTCCAATAACACACTCTCAGCCTCCAGTGGATGGGGTCCCCCATCACTTTCACTGACCCAGAAGGAGTCCTCAAAATATTGGTGCCTGAGAACCACTGCCTTAAAGGACAACTCCAGTTCATTTTACATATTAAGAAAACAATGCAGTTCTTTTTAGTATTGCCTAAATAGACTACACGCCAAATACTTCAATTTAATCCTGCCTAAAAGGTGCGCGAAATTACCAAAGCCTGCTAATCCAAAAGGGCGAGGCACAGTGAAGGCAACAGCGCAGTTAATACCTCCGTGTCAACGCAGCCCACCTTGTGCTACCTGTGTCATGCTCCGGGCTCTCGGGGAGATTTGTTTGCTTGTTACATACCTTTTTTAACCAAAGTCAGCAGGCGGCGCTAACGGCATGCTCATCGTTGACCACGTGATTCACAGAACACACATGCGCCGTGTACTCCCGTGCAAGCATGCGTCGGCGGCGGCAGCGTCCGTCGCGAGTGAGAGAGTCTGTTTGCGACATTGAGCACGGCATATTTCTACCGAACATTTGCTTCTACAAACCCGTCGCGACATATTTACATGTGGTTTACTGAACTTCACTTTCTATTAATGTTTTCAAAACAAGCCCTTGGGAAAACTTGCCTTTTTCTGCGCTAAAACACAAGCTGCGGCCACGGTAGTGCAGGCGTCGAGTGTGGCAGACTGTCGATCATAGCAGGCAACACTTTCGCCCTTGCGCCCGACCGCATGCCTGATACATGACATCACGATTTGTACCACGTGGTTAACGGATGTAGGTGACGACACAGGAGCAATGTTGTCCGCCGCAGGCGAGGTGTCAGTTTCGATTTGTGGTTACCTTTAAATGAAGATTACGCAAAAAATATTACTTTTTCTGGAAAGAAATGATGTAGACCCGTTATTACTACCTCGGGATATATAATTATCAACCATTAACTCAAATTTCTTGAAATTGACCAGAGTTGCCCTTTCAAACCGTAGGATAAAACCTTAATTCTTCCCCTTATCTCAAACTTTTTATCTATCATTAATGCCGCTCAAAAAACATGTCACCCTCGGTGAACCACATAGTTACTGAACGGTAAAGATTGCGTGCCATGATTGACAAAAGACGTCTGCACAAAATGAACCCCCTTTTGCTGTGATCGCACATCTCAAACTGTCGTCTTATGTGCTTCCGAGTCACCCACAGTGTGGGGAGATTGGACAACAGAGTCGTACCTTCTTTCTGCTCAACTCTTTTACAGAGTTCGCTCTACTAAATTGGGAAGAGTGGAGGGCTTTGTGAGTGGAGCTTATTCTGTTATTCTTGCACTTAACCTTCCTTAAACCATAGTTTGTTTTTCTGTCTTTTAATGTTGGTGATTGATGGATCATGTTATAGGGTGGGTTCATATAAATTCTGAAGCACCTTGCACCAAACAGGTGTTTTTATCTTGTAAATTTATCCTAAAAATGGCAACAAATGTAACGAGATGCCCAAGTGTGGCAAAGTATTGCGATACAAGCGATACGTTGTAAATGTATTTCTCTACTGAGATACAGAAACGTTTTTCAAATGTGTCTTGATACAGAGATACAGATACTAGAAAGTATCTCTAAAATACTATCGCTACACATTTATATCGTGATACTGCCCTGTCCTGCCGCAAAGCATGCGAGCTCCGTGAGTATTGCTTCCTTGCAGTGCACAAGTGCTTTGTAAGAAACGCACTCAACAGGGCTAACCCACCGCGATTAAAGGCGCACTTACACCGGCGACATAAAGCAGTCGCGTGATGCAACTAGATCGCATCGCAATAAAATTAGATGGTCACACTGGCGTGCGCGATGAGCAAGTCATTGGCGAGTCGCTTCTCGAAAACTCGTTCCGAACGCCGCTGATCAGCTTACTCGCTCCGCGACTAGATCGCATCACAAAAAGTCGGGTCAGCTGGCCATTGCTCAAACCGCGTCGCTTTTTTGCGCGATGGTCGCTTTTGCGATTAAAGTTATCATGCAACTAGATTGCATCACCGGTGTGAACTTGCCTTTACACTTCAAAAAGTATGAATATCGCGGTTCACCTCTGAACAGCATATTATTTAAAACTATTATTTGAATGTTCGCATAACACTACAGTGTATTCCCATCAGAACGTTGATTAAGCCATGAATAGTGCTCTAACAATGCACATTTCTTACTTAATAACATTTCCCGGGTAGGGGAGAGGTTCCCATCAAAACGTCTATTGAACCATGAATAGTACTTTGACAGTGCATACTATATCCTATTAATATTTACCAGGTGTGGAAAAGATTCTTGTCATTTTTTTTGTCATGATTTTCTTTACTTTTTTTAATTTTCACATATCACAGTGCCTTGTAACTATTATGATAATTTGCGTGTAATGATTGGATTGGATTCTCATACACATCTGTGTAAGAATGTTCAATATGTGTGTTTATGATGGCTCCATTTGTATTCTACAACACAGTGTTTATTGTGGAAATGGTTTTCATGGGCTGAATGAAGCTTGCTTCACACCGCTTTTACTCTGTAATTTCCAATTTTCCCTCAGTGAGGATGGATATCTTGAGCGGTTGTTATAAAACCAAAATGTCTGCTTAACCCAAGAGATTAATCTACATTTTAAACTGAAGTAAGTAAAAGACTTGTGCTCATCATCATATGTATTTGTAGGGCATTATATTACCATGGTTACAAAACGATCCAACGCACAGGCTTTCGTTTGCTGAGAAATATCTTTGAATTAATGAATTTGGAGTTTTCTGGCGCAGTGAAATATCTTTGCAGAACATTGTAAACTAAGCATAATTACTGCATTTTTTTTTTCTTACTATTAGTTCTACATAGTCCAGTAGTGAAAACAAAACCCGGTTTTTCTACCTGCGTAAATAAACTATGCATTACAGAAAGATGGAAAGTGTGATCCAAACCAACGCGTTTTTGTGCACGCGCAGGCTGTGCGTTTCCCAGAAATTGAATATTTCATGGCGTTTTTGTTGTTTCCAGGGTGCTTTCCGAGTCGCAACCATACGCATTTGTTAGGATGGTGCGGCTTTTGGTGAGCTGAGCGCATCTGCGCCATACAGCGAAAAAACGCGGAGCCGGAACTAGTGTTCTCCACCGATTGGCTGGGAGCAGGAGCGCCCTACTACTTACTTCACAGTGCGTTCTCGTGCGCGTTCAGAAAAAGTTGAAATCATCCAACTTTCTTGTACGCGCCCGGAAGGGGCAAGGAATCAGCGCGACGTCACGAAATGCACAATTTCCGGGAGCCGCACGGCTTACGCACGCACAAAAATGCGTTGGTTTGGATCACACTGAACTCTGCGTGAATGTGAAGCTGACAGTGGTGGTAGAATCTGAAAGTTTACTGAGAGCATGGTGTTACCTGGATCAAAAGATAAAACAGAAAAATGAACCATGAAATGGCGTTGCAAGTACGGTTGGCATTTATTTTGGTGAAAAAAACTTACACCAAGAGAGACAGTCTTGTTATCTTTTGGGGTGGCAAGTTGTTTTCACTGAAATAAATGCCACAGGTGCCCACAATGTCATTTCTTCGTTAGAAGAATATTGGGCCTAGGTAGATGTCGGCGCATAGAAAATTTTTGCTTTTTTATTTTATTCCTTGATCCAGATAACATGTTCTCAAACTTCTGCATTTTAACACTACTGCTGGTGACACATTCTGATGGAGTTTCAGCTTTCTGCAATGCATAGTAGCTTATTTATGTTCGCCAAAAAGAAAGGTTTCATATTCTCTATTGAACCCTGTACGGCTTTTTTTAGTAATGGCTAAATTCTGTTTATGGCTTCTACTAGTACTGGTGCTCCATATTCAAATGTCATTTCTGACAGAGTGCAATGTCTATATATATATTTATATATATATATAATGTATTATAGTTTTGGGAATAGTGCTGAAAATTAAGCATCATGCTACATAGCAGTTTTGGGGAAAAATTATTGTAGCAGAACATTTCGAAATTTCTTTTCTTCGATGTACATATCCTGGATGCAGAAGAAGCACAGTCGTAAATAGTGTACTAGGCATTTTTAAGTTTCCCAATGAAAAGAATAATAAAAAAAAATGTATAAAACAAACTACATTTTTAGTAAGTGCTCAGTTGCAAGTCTATGCTTGTTTGTGGTGTTTGTGCCTTCCTTCTAATTATTGTATGTACATAGTGTCTTCTACAAAAGAGAATGAGAGTGAATGGTTTAAAGACTAGCTGTTTTAAAAAATTGGTTACAGTATTTTAGAAAGGTACTTTTCTAAAACCTGACAATATTTTTCGTGTAAATTTTCTGATTTACTGCAGCTGTGTGACTTGTTTTCACTAAATGCTAATTTGTTCACATACCCAACATAAATACAAGCTAAATCTTTCAAGCATTTCATTTGTTTGTATAACAGTGGTATGTATATCTGTTTGTCAGTTACTGTGCTGTATGTTTATGTAGGGTGATATCTTGAATGGTCAAATTTTCCTATTAAAAGGTTAGGAGATTTTTTTTTTTTTTTCTGAATAAATTGGGAAAAACTTGATGCTGTGTCAACCCGTTTCAATTATTTTGGTTGTATTTTGGGGTCATGAAAGTTAACAATCTAAAATATCTTTCAAACGGTGTGAACAGTGCAGGCAGAATGCTTTTGTGCCTGCACTGTCAAGCACTGCACTGCACTTTTTCAAGATTTGAAAGTATGTTGCACCAACTAGACCAAGCTTCAGTCTAAAATATTAGCTTGAACATGATTAATTCACCTGGCAAATGTAACAGCAAAACTATGCTACAACTAAGGTGATGGACCTGATCTGCCAAGGGAGAGGGGTCTTAGCCAGGGACAATGGTTGCTCGATTGCAGGAGGTGCCCGTTCATACCAGGCTCCCTTTCTGTTTTAGGCATTCCAAACTCTGAAGTGTAGACTTTGGTGGAAACTCTCTTCCAAAGCACTGTATCGTCTGTTTCGAAGCCTTGCGTCCACAGAACCCAAAACTGAGCCATTACTATTATCAATAGGCCGTAGGCAGAACCAGTTTGTAGCACGAGTGCTGACATCATCAGTACCATGCTGACTATTCCACGTCCCTGCATGCCCACAGTGAGACCACCCAGATGACACACATTTGTCCAAAGGATGCCCAAAGGACGTCACCTTCAGGATGAGAAGGATGTCCCTGGGAGCTCCTGCAAGTTTCCCAAAAGTATCCCGAATGGGACTAGAAACTCGATCCCACGGACACCCCACAGACCTCCCACAGCCTCTTGGGGATGGCTATAGGACTCACTTGGGATGCCACATCCTGCGCGGGATCTTGAGGGGAAACTGAATTCTGTACTAAATTTGAGCACAATGAATGCATGTTTCAGGCACCTTTCATCATAGCAACTGATGCAACCGATATGAATCATAGTGATGTGCATCAATTGTGATGATGAAGACTGTCTTGGGCATACACTCATGTACTCGAAGTTTAGGCACTAATGTTTCAAAATAAAGCTTTAACCAAATTTGAAATGTAAACCTCTGGGCAGTTATGCCAAGCAAAAATAGTTTATGTTGCAATGTCATGTGCATTGCAACATAAACTGTTCTTGTTGAAAATAGACTTGTTTTTGCAGCTTAAACATTTTATTGTAGGAACATTGGGTCATGAAATGGTACAAAAATGCATTACATATAGGCTTAGTGGACATGACAAATTCTGTACACTTATTGTAAAAATAATAAATGACTACATATATACACGTTTGCAAGTCCGGCTTCAGGGCGCTGCCATCTTGCTTGGCTGGGGTGCGCTTGGATGACTCATAATCCAATTAAGAAGCCTTGCTAAGGCGTCGTAATCTGATTATGGCCGCGCCCAAATGCGCACCCCACTGAGAAAGATGGCGGCGACCTGAGACCGGACTTGCAAACGTGTATAGTAGTTTAACAAAGCCTAGATCAACTGTTAATGAAAATTAAAAAAAAAAAATCTTCATTAAAAACAACAAATTGTCTAATTCTTCCCTTCTTCCTCAGTAAAAGGTTCTGTTTTGCTCGGTACACTAGCTCTTCCACAAGAGAACCCCAATGGCTTCAGAAACTCGGTTCTGCAGCCCTCACGTGCAGCACAATCTTGCACACCCTTTGCGGCGATTCTCCAGTTGTATCGGCGTGGCCACTGGGCGTGGCGCATTCACGTCATTGCTGTCTTTTCAATGTCTTTTAGTGTTGCCTCCACTTCCTTGTCGTTTTGTTTCTCTGTTAGGACACCTGTAAGATATTTAAGAGAAATAGTGGTACTAACGATATTTGTTCGGAGGTGTTAGCAACTTTAAGGTGCAGGCTACCCCTCAGAAAGACAAGTATACTGAAAGCCTAATATATATTACCATTTTAATTGTCGACTAGACAAACACTCATAGTTTTGACAGATCAGCAACTATGAGTATATGGGACAACTGGGAAATGGTGCTTCCAGGTAAAGTCACTGGATCTGGAAAAGTAGCGCCATTGCCTTCCCACCTGCTAGCCGGACACAAACAAATACCAATATTCAGATGACAAAACCTATCAAGGTGATTAGCTCATCGTTGTCGGCTTCCATGGTGATGGCCATTATGGACCCTTTCAAAGCTTCGAAAGGGTCGTTAAAACCAGTCGCACCAAGATCGCCATGGAGCATCATCGTACGGAGACACACAGAGGTTATCTCGATGAAAACGACATGACTGAATGTTTCTCAAGACTGCCTACAACTTACATTGGACGATTTGTGCACAAATTAATATTTCAAAAATTATATAGGTAATTCACCCTTGATAATCAGCCAGAACCGGGCCCATTCCCATTCCATTCCGGACAAAAGGCAGCTAATTCCATTCCCATTCCATTCCCCTCAACGCTGCCGCCATTCCATTCCCATTCCATTCTGGGGTCGCGAGAATGCGGAATGATTCCAGAATCACTCAACTCCGGAGTGGCAACTCCGCAACACTGCTGTGTAGGGAAATCACTGCTTGCAATCCATCATTCTTCATTTGCATACTTCTGAGCGAAATTCGACACGTCGGAAACCAGTAAAACGGTGTCGTGCGTTTTTTTGGTAGCATCGCTCGTCAACGGGGAGTCTGAGAAATTAGAACACAAGCAGCGTGTTCCGTCACACCGACTGTGTTTCAATTCTTACCCGGCCCATATGGATCCGCCAAGGTACAAAACCCTTACCCTGGAGTAGGATCGAGTAAATTTTGGAACATAGCCAGAATGAATGAGCATAGCAAAATTTGAAACCGAAACCGAAACTAAGTGGGCAACTGGTACCAAGAGTGTATTTCGTGACACTCATCACCAGGGGCGCTTTGGCGTGAGCGTACTTTGTGTTTAAAAGTGTTTAATAGCGTGTTCGTTTCACACGCACTGGCACCGTTCGAGTTCTCTCCCAGAATGCATCGCACTCACAGAGTGTTGCACGGAAAACTGGACTCAAACGAACTCGCCAAATGCACCAAGTGCAGAAGACTGACGCTGCCGCCATCTATGTTGTAGAAAAGGTACCGACTTCAAACCGAAACTAGCGCCTTTCTGTTCGGAGTGATGCGTGGGAATGCGAGAATGCCAGTCGCTACCAACGTGTATCTACAAACGTTGGTCGCTGCAACCTGTAGTTTATAGTTTCGATGACTTCAAGCAGCTAGGCAGCCGTAGAGGTAATTACAGACGGCGTAAATTTCCGCAACCAGCTGTCTACAAAGCAGCTGGTTGCGATCTTTCAATTCTTATAACCGTTTACACTGAAGAAAACTGATGATGCTGTCCGAGCAGAAGCTTGATCCGTTTGAGCATGGTATTATTTGTGAACCGTACGGCTTAAAACTAGCCTGTTCGAATATCCAGCAAAACTGGGACTTTCGATTTCGATCGTCAGGATTAAATATTAGCCTTGGTGAGGGCGCCGAGAACGAGAGCTTTTTCGAACAAAATACGACAAGGCAAGTTAGCTGACGTAGGTAAATGTTAAACATGATGATGTTGCCCCACCCTCGGGTAAAGTCTCCATCTTCAGCTTTCTCTGATGCTTATTCTGCAGTCAGAGGTTTCTGCTGGAAGAGTTTTGTTGACAAATGTTAAATTTTTCACCCGCACACGGATGGTGATAGACATCTCGGTGGCCGCTGTTGCGTTTGTTTGAGCATTTCTTTACAGACTGGTATATTTCAGCGTTTGGACGGCAACAGAGCGATTTAAAACCTGCAAATAAATCACTGGTTGTTTTTTGCTTCCTTCGTGAAATAGCAGGCGCTCACAATTCAAGCCCGCGTTTGATTCCGTTGCCGGCGGGATGCGATTTCTATCAGAAAATCTACCTTTTTTTCCTTTCGGTTCCGCGACACATCCTAGCACACGAACCCTCGTCGTCTGCTCCCGCTCCTCGCCGGCCCCACCGGAGCGAGGCATGACGGGATTGCATTTTGGCGCACTCCCGATTTTCTCGGTGCAGCGAGTGCATGCACGCGTGGGGTGTCAGCGCTGAAACGAACTCGGAGAGTGCAACCACTCGTGGAGTGCCGGCCGAAACGAACCCGTTCCACGCTGCGAGTGGGCACGCGTGGGCACGAGTGCCGTGAAACGAACTCGCTATAAGAGTGTTTAAAAATAAACGCTGAATTCAACGCCGAAACCAGTCGGTCGTTAAGTTGGTAAAGCACTAAACACTTTGTCAAAGTTTTCATAATATTGATAGTGTGGGAAATTTTTGAGAATGCGATTTACAAGACATTAACGTTTGAAGCATACGATTTTTTTTTTTTTTTACGCACCGGAGATGGGCTTTTTGGGTTGGCCGGAGTGGGTCACGTGAATAGTGTGACGTCAACGCGTCGTCTGCTGCAAATGTCGCTCAGGCAATTAAAAAAAAAAAAAAAATTACATTCTTATGTGGCATACAACTTAGCGCAAATTATTGTAAAATGTTCCTTTATTAAGTAAAAAACTATTGTATTTCCGTAAATCTCCAAAAATATCGCAGAAACAACGATTTTTTCACGTTCCCCATGCATCTGTGACCGGAGTTGGAAGCCTCCGGGCGTTCGCCGCTAGTCGCCGAAATATGACGATATGACGCTCCAGATTGCGCTACTCCAGAGCTCTGCGCTACTCTGCTATGCTTGACATGCCGTTTGTTTTCTCTGCTTTTAAGTTTGGTAACTTAAGCTGACTTCAATTTATTTATTACTAGTTGCAGTTGCAGTGCGCTTGCACCACAGTTGATTGCACCGGTGGCTTGCACTCTTGCACTACGTACCCTACGGACGGCGCCACGCCAGGCCACGCCCCATGGCGGCAGACTGGGCAGGCGAGGAGGCAGCGACCACAGTTGCAGCGGCAGCGGCTGTAGGACTGTTGCTGTAGCGTCTGGTGACGGGTTGGGTCTGGTATCGTCTGTGGGCTCCAGGGCGGTGCTTTTGTTTGTTGAGCCTGCGCGTGACAGAGCACTGGGCCAACTGAGCGTTGATAGCGTCTGCGGTTGCAGCGTTTGCGTGGTGACGCGTAAACAGAGACTGAAGGGGAAGGTTCAAACTTCAAAGCCGCTGCGGCGTTGCATTAGAGTAACCGAAGGTAAGCGAATCATTCTTATCTCTGCTCGGGACTTTCGTAGTTGGCATAGTTTTTGTGTAAAAGTTTTGAGTTGCGAACGCCACGCCTTCTGCAGTGCTAGCACGCGTGTTACTATCCTGGGAAGTTTTCACCAGTCTAATTTTGTCATATGTGATCGAAACCGTTATTCAGTCAGAAGCAACAAGTTAATCCCGTGCCATGTTTTAAACTGGCTTTTTGCGGAAAGGAGCGTGCGTGCAAACGCTACACGACTGTTCGTCTAATAACTAAAGGTTATGCGGGCAGAAACTGGGGGAAAGGAGGAGACGAGCTGTGGGGTTGAAATGATTCGTCGGTAGACGCAACGCTGGCTGCCTTTGTCTCTACTCGCTCTTCGAACCTGTTTGAACTCAAACGCCGGACTAGCCAAACAGCAAATTTCAAGCCACAAAAAAAAAAAAAAAAAAAAAAGTAGCGCAATAATTGCGGTAAATCTGTCTTCCTTTGTTCTTTCTTGTTTTTCTGAGAAGTGTTCGACTAGTGCAGTGGAGACAGACACCCATCAAACGCGTTCGAATGCGAATGCGAAAGCCGAACGCCTTTGTTCCGCTTTCTAACGCGTTCGACATGTGCAGTGAAGACACACGCGTCTATACTCCGTTCACGGTTCACCCGTAAGTTGAGACTAGAAGCTCCGCCAGCACCGCGAGTTCGCTGGCTTCCGCAGTGCTTCGGTTGCGCGTGCCTGTGCGTTCACGCTTGTTAGCAAGGGCAGAAAGCTCGCGCTGAAGGCGGAGCTTCTAGTAAGGGGGAAAGAGACACCAGAGCTCGGCCAGCTCGGCGTTCTGAAGTCCTCGCGTGCTCGGGTCTCCTCCTCTCCCTCCGTTTTTTGCCCGCATTGGGCAGAAAACGGGGGGAGGGGGAGGGGGGGGGGGGGAATAGTACTTCACCCCGTGTCGGGTCGAGTACATTAAAAGTACTTGAAGTAAAGTACAAAGTAATTTAGAGGTTGTACTTAAAAAGTAAAGTAGTAAGTACACCAGGTGCAATGCACTTTAAATAAAGTACTATAAATACAATGTACTATCTTAATCACAGCTAGCAGGAGCATGGGAGAGTGGCATCGGGTACTATCGGAGCACTCTAACTGCTCTAACGGCCAAGCACACTGCTGCAACTGCAGCATTGCAGAGGCATTGCAGTTGAGCGCCGGTTCGTTATTGCTCGGATAGTATGTACCCAATGCCACGCGCTTCGGTGTTTCTGCTCACGGTGATTAAGATAGTACTTGCAAAATAGAGTATAAATACTTTTTAACACAATCTTTCATGATGCTTTTTCATTCGCTTATACTGTGTTTTTCTTTGAAATTATATATGCAATGCACCAGGGGTAATGGGGGTGTGCATCACAGTTATTTTTGGAAATGGCAGTGAATATTAGGTAAAGTTGTGTGGCCACAGAGTAGTTGTTTTACTCTCGCTGACAAACTATTTAACACATTCAACTTATACATTCTGAGGCCCTTATTTGTATTGGTCTTATAGCCACCATTACATCACTCGGAGAAATGACTGGATGATGTCGCAAAAAACAAATTTCACCTTATCGCATGAGGAGGGTACACTCTATTTTTTTTGTTTGAGGTTGGTGAACTCTTATAAACCAACATGCTGTTTACAAACAAGCCCCCACGAAGTGTGGGCAAATGCACAGTTCCCGCACGAGGTGTGGGCATTGTGCGTGCGCAGGATCCAGATTCGCGTGAAGTGGAGCGTTTCTACCATACCTCGGCAAACCTCACTCATGAGGGCCCTCACTCACCCTCATCTTCACAGGTGAGGTGAGGGAGTTTCTGAACCAGGAAAATTCATGAGTATGAGGGTGAGGGCCATGAGGGTGTGAGGGCTGTGAGTGCGTGAGGGCGGTGGGGGGTATGAGGGCCATGAGTGCGTGGGGGGCGTGAGGGCATTGAGTAGCGTGAGGGCCATGAGTGCGTGGGGGCGGTGCAGGGTGTGAGGGCCATGAGTGTGTGGGTGGCATGAGAGGCGTGAGGGTGAGTGAGGACGGTGAGTGCATGAGGGGTGTGAGGGCCGTGAGGGCGGTGAGTGCGTGAGGCCCCCTTCAGACAGAGCATCTTTCTTGGCAATTTTGGTGTTGATGGCGGGTTCTCTAGCTTTCCCTAGATCAACACGAATTGCTGAGATGGGGTCTGGCTAGAAATAATCAAGCAACTCGGAGCAATTCGAAGACGTTTGAAGTGGCTGCATCCAATCAGGGATGCAAAATTTTCATGTGATACCTCGTGCCGGAGATGATGACACCGAAAGACTTGGTGTCATCACCTATGTGTATCTATGTATCTTCCTCATGTTTAATTGCTTGGTTCTGGTTTGAAATCAATCGTTTTTGGAAATAAAATGTTTAAAGGTACATGAGTATTCTCATTGAGATTTAAATGCATAAAAACATGTTTATAACGCGTAATTGTGTCTAAAGAGTGCAAGAAAAATAAAATTTTATGGTGATGGCAAATTGCAGTCATTGGTTGCTGCGTGTGATCGCGGGCAGCCGGTGTTGCTGGTGTTGCGACATCAAGTTTCTGGGCGAAATTGCCCCATCTGAAGCTGGCCTAAGTGGCGCGAGGGCCATGAATGCGTGAGGGTTGCGAGGGCGGTGAGGGCGGTGAGTGGCATGAGGGCGGTGAGTGGCGTGAGTGGCATGAGGGCCGTGAGTGAGTGAGGGCCATGAGTGAGTGAGGGGCGTGAGTGGCGTGAGGGGGGGCGGTGAGTGGCGTGAGGGCCCTGAGTGCGTGAGGGCGGCGAGTGCGTGAGGGGCGTGAGGGCCATGAGTGTGTGAGGGCCGTGAGGTTCAGTGAGGGTGAGTGAAGGGCTGAAGGTGAGTGTGACTGTGAGGATGAGGGTGAGTGAGGGGCTGAAGGTGAGTGTGGCTGTGAGGGTGAGGGTGAGTGAGGGCGACCTAAAATGCCAACCTCTGGTTTCCACATGCGCCCTGCCAATAGCAGCGCCACCGCAGCGGTGTAAAGTCAGGGCTGCGTGTTGGTGTATCCTCGGCCTCGGACGTTGTGTACTCTAGTACTGGGAAAGTCATGGACGCGAGCACGTGATCCTTGAAAGAGCTTAATTTCACCGAGCGCGAGAAGGCAGTGCCCAGATCATTGCACTCGTCCTGGTATCTTTCTCATTGCATTATTGTGGCATTGTTGTATTGTGTTTCTTGCCAATGTCCCCCCCTTTGTAATACGCCTCGTGGGTCTTAAAGGGTAACTGCAAAGAAAAAAGTTTTTTTTTAAACAGCCTAATTGGGACAAGCATGTCCCAAAACAAATCTTCCATGAAAAAACAAAATTTTTTTAGCAATATTTGCGCCACAGGACGTAATTTAGTCGGACTCGCAACCTCTCCCCATTTTAAACTCCCGCTCTTTCGACGCGCGCGGAGTGGCTGTTACACGTCACTCCGTGACATATACACCGTACCAAGTTGGGCTTCCTAGCCGGCGCCATTTTAAGGAGTGTAGCGCCGACTACTTTCATCCGGGCATTTGAATGAATCTGAACCCGCCCGAATGACCGACCGCCATTACTGGAGTGTTACCCTGCACACCGAGTCACACCGATCGCAGCTGCTTCTGCCGGCACGGCTGCCGTATTCGGCGTCCTCGGCTCATCGTCTTCGTCCATGGAGGAAAGCACTATCTTAATTTGTATGCCAAGCATGGGGAAAAGTGCATCCTGCTTTCCTGGCATCTTTTTGTGGGCAATTTTTAGCGCGGTTCTGGGGCAGTCGTCGCTCCCAAACCGAACTGGGCGTTTCGATCGCTAGCGAAATTGAGGATCGCTAGTGAAATTGAGGATTGAACGAAGCCAGGATGGCACGAATTACGGCATGTGAATTTGTTCTAAACTCGATTTGTCGCAGCTTGGGGGCGCCGGGAACATTTGAACTAACTGCGCGGTTAGCGGCTCAGACCTGCGCTGCCACGTCTGCTTTAATTGAAATAGTAGAAACCTCAAATTTAAATATGAATCAATATATAAATACCGAGTACAAATAGCAGGTGCGACGGACAGTTTTTTTTTTTTTTCCTGATTTGGAATCCACTGTCACAATATTGGCACATTGATGTGCCTCTCTGTAATCGCCTTGCGTCAGTAGACCAGGAGTCACGCAACTCTTTTCTTTATTCAATGTCTAAGCCGCCCTCCGCTTACCTTTCGGTCGTAGCCCAGGTGAAGGAACAGCACGGGGTTCTCCGCAGTTTGCCGGCCGTCCAAGAAATGGTCGGAGCACACACGACCGGCGTCGTAGATCCGGAGTAGCGGGGAACCGGTGCAGCATAAACATGCCGCACCTACATTCATCCTGTTTGACAGCGTGGGTCTCGCACACTGAATCGGCGTTTATTTTATGTTTTATTTTTTATTTTTTTATTTGTACAATTAATTACATTACAGTGCTGCCCGGTAGATTCTTTTCTTGCATAGGCCATGTCATGCGCGAAAACGCGCTATAATATCAAAGCGGCGCCTAACATTGTCGAAGTAACTTGCCTCCGTACACTGCGCACATGCTTTCTAAGAGTCCACTCCGTGAAGCAGACGAGCTTTCGAGGGAAAGGGTAAGCAACGTGTTGGCGCAGCGCTCTGGTTCGAGAATGTTTTTCCCTTTTTGCATCGACCTACTTGGAACGGTGTATAGCAGCCGCTACGTGACTTATAATACCAACTTTGTGGCGTGCGATTTAAAACCGACGAAATAGCCGCAAACTAAAATTAGTCCCGTGCAATAAATATTGCTGTAAAAAATGTTGTCATCGTTGGAAAAATAGTTTTGTGACATACTTGTCCCAATTAGGCTGTTTAAAGATACACTTTTTTTTTTCTTTAGTTACCCTTTAAGGGGAACTAATAAATGAAATTAAATTAATCGCTTTGCATAACATATGGAGTATAGTTATTGCCATCTCAGAACGACAAAAATGATTACTTCTGTGGAAGCTCGCTCCTAGAGGCACCCTGCAGCTAGCGAGTTGGTGACTAGAGATATATCCGCACCCCAACATACATAAGATTTGGTAGTGGATGCCAAAAACGACAGAGTAACCTGGGCTTGCCTTATACTTCGCTGCTATGGCAAAAAAAGTTTCACAGAATATTGGGAATTTACTTTGAAGTCGGGAGTTGTACTTCGCTCGCAAAATACCAGGAAAAAAACTTATTACACAAATTATTATCCAGATGGGGCAACATTCCACTTCCGTGAACTTTGTTTGGGGGTGTGCAAAGCTTTTCTTGTCTTTTTTCAAAGTTTAGTAGTTTCAAAGCTATGGCAAGCAACTAGAGTCCGTAGCAGTGCATCTGTACTGTAGGCTTTACATCCTCATAGTTTGTGGCAACAGTGTCTTTTATTCTGCTCATAATCACGGACGGAATTCAACGGTTCACCAGCAAGTGTTCTATCTCGATAGAACTCTAGTGACAGCTGCTAGCCCTTGTTTCTGTGGTACTTGGTATGTACATGTGATATGAGTTCTTTTTGCAGGCAACATATGAAAATGATGAAACCTACTAATGCCTGCTTCCTGGTTCTTGTGGTCATTCTTTTGAATTCACCTCTTCTAACAATTGCTGATCCTGTTCCTGTCAACCCCGACGACGGTAAGGAAACTGAGGCTGGACGCTTCTTTTGTTCACTTCTTTGCCTGCTTAACCTTTTTGCTTTTTATAGTTCATGTAACTGAAGGTGAGGCTACTTAACCGACCCTTTCTGGGGTCATCTTTACCAAAATGCCTGACTTTCATGAAGATGTTAAGTCATGTCTTGTCCATATGTACACGTCTGTTCCCCAAAAAAATATTTCAGAATGCGGGTCATCCCTAAATTGCAAATGACAAAAAAAAAATGGACGCTGAATGTGGTTGTCTTCATTTCATGCAAAAGCAGTGCACATGACTAGTGAACATACTTCAAGTTTGTCATCAACAACAGGGAGTGAGGGGCAAGTGACCTGTTTGGCCCGAGCTCAGAAAAACCGAGCAGTCTGATCTCTTTCTCAAGACTGGCAATGAATGACACACTATAATGGGTGCCAGGTTAAAGGGACCAGGAAGGCAATTTAATTTGTTTTTTAAAGAAGGTGTTTCGGACGCATTGGTGTCCTGGCATGCCACTCAATTTTTTTCAGAACTTTGACTCTTATTTTTTGTGCCTGCAAATAAATTTGCAAAACCGAAACAAACATTCCGATTTTTTTCCTTTTTCGCTTCTGGAAAGGGAAGTGACGTCGAGGAGCACTCTCAGTATCGGTCGTATTTAGTGGCCACTCAGCGCGGTTCCCGTGGTTGGTTATGACAATCCGTGAAGTAAACCTGGAGGAAATAGACGGCAACGCCACGCTTGCAAACGAGTTTGAGCTCCCGTTCAGCGACCTCACGCCGACTGAACGGGAGATGCTGCTCAGGACACAGAACTCGGGATTAGCACTTTACAAGGGCGCCCCAGACATGCAACCTACACCTCAGTCGCCGCCTCACAGTGACTCTCCACCCTACTTGCCGCCGCAACACCATTACGGGAACGTAATGCGCAGTCTACTACAGCACATAAACACGGCATGACTGAAGAGATGAAAAATATTTCTGCAAAAATGTTGATTTTGAAAAATGACATATTTACATCCACCAACACCTACAGAGTATTCCCAGAAATTTTCTCTAGTTTACACTGCACAGTTAATTTTTTATAAATTATTTTCTGTCCATCGAAGCTAAAGAAAGGGTAGGGTTTGGAGCACTTTGAATGCATTTTTCTCCGTTCCACTTTTTGGTATAAATTCTATTTTAGTCAATCTATCGTTTGATAATGGCAATACAGGGAAGGCTCATTCTTCAATTTTCCCGACTGAAAATGAATAAGGAATGCGGCTATAGTATGTTTTTGTCACTTTCCAAATGTCTTTTATAAAAAAATGTTGACTTTTTGTCGAAAACACAGAAGACCAAAAAGTCGACCACTATTGCAGAAGAGAAAATTGATAGAAATAAACTACTTTTACAAAAAAACTTTCCATAGCCGCACCTTCTAGGCATCCTGCTAGATATCTAGCGAATAAAAATCTTGAATATTGTGATAGTTTTCTGACGATAGATTAACTAAACAATGTAGGCGTGTTGCTGATAGAAGCTGCTCTGATTTCCTTCCCACCTAACTGACAGACCTGACAGTTTGTTACGCACCCTCTAGCATGACCACCAACCTACCCTGTAAATTTCATTAATTTTAAGCCAAGGGTTTAAAAGTTGACCCTCCCGAGGGGTGTCTCCCCGATTGTCCGGTCAAATTTTGTATTTGAGAAAACAATTAAATATCATTGTTATTGTTTAGAGAGGAATCATACGTGCAATATCTGAATTTTATATGCCCCTCTGCATGAGCAATTGAATTTATACTGCTCCAATCACATCCTAGCGTAAACGCTGCTTTCGTTCGCAACATTGAAGCTCTGACGTCACAGAACACAAAGCGAGCATTCCCATCTTGTCGTTTGCCTGCGAGTGAACGCCGCAGCGTGCTTCGTTTTTGTTGTTGCGCTCGACTTGTTTCGTGGATGGGCGAGATTTTTGTTGCGCGGTTGGGTGCCACAACTACCGGGCAGCACATGCGAGCCAAAACGTGACGTTCCACACTTTTCCGCGAGACGTGCAAAGACGAGCAAAATGGATCGTCGCCGTGCATAGGGACTGAGTTCCCGTCAAGATCAAGATCCCGCTTGTGCAGCAATCGCCTCACAGAAGAGAGCTACGAGCTGACCTCTAAGTGAACAGAAGGCTCAAAAGCTGAGGTGTGATGCTGTGCCAACGATATGAATGGTTTCATTATGCAGCGAAACCGAAACCAACAGCTAGGCCATCTGGAAAAGATGCCAAAAGTTGTATTTAGCTCGCGTGCAGCCAGATTCTGTTTGAATGCGTGTGAAAATAAAGCGTGGCTACGATTCGCCAAGCTCGTCCAAGTGACAACATGCATTTGAACGATTCGCTGTTTGCCTTCGACCCGCGAACATCGCCTCTGAGGGAACGACCCGCAGCCTCATCACCGATCCAGGGGATCCGCCGATTCAATATGTGTACCCAGATGCCGCTTCATGTACCTACGCATGCCGCTTCAGAGGCAAAATCTGATTCCTTTGCTTTGCAAGCGATCCTAGTTCGATCGGTGGCCATCGCAGTTGTGTTTGCGCGAAACGCCATAATTTTGTTCAAAGCTTATGGCTGTTTTCGAGTAATATCCTTCTAAAAGGCGTGAATCTTTTTGCACACGCTTGGGAACTGCATTAAAACAACCACATTTCAGTAGGGTACAGCCTAGGAGGCTATAATTCGAAACAAAATACAAGACAGCCATCGACACTGGTGAAATTCGGGGTGCAGTTTCGTACATCCGCTCATGCAAGTTTTCGTTAATAAGGGGAGATCATATATTAAAATAGAAATGACGATTGTCTACATGAAGGCTCCCTCGACGTAACGAGCGCAAAAACTTTAGTTCTTCCGGTATCGACTGAACAATCTCTTTAAGAAATCAAACTTTAAGACAAGGAAACAAAAATGGACATACACACCATCGTCTCAATACCAGCACAGCATACAGTTGGAGTTTACTTCCACAAGTCTTCTTCTTTGCCATCCTACATGCCATGAAACCTATTCCTATACACGCTACACACGCTATGAAACCTATATTATACACACTATGAAACCTTTTAATTCCGAACTACAACTTTAAAAAATTATCCAACGTTCAAATTGCTTTTTTTTTATCGCATCTCACCACCAAATTCGAAACCAAGAGCGTGTCATACATTTGAACCAATCGCCTGACGAGGAGCCCATTGTTGTCACGCTTCGACGGCGCACTTTAGTTCACGTTTCTGCTGCCGTCTCGGGGGGGCGGGGGCGGCGGGCGGGCGGGTGGGCGGGTGGGTGGGCGGCAGCACGCAAAAGACCCAAGGGCCCTGGGTGCCGGATGGCCTAGCTACGCCACTAAGCCCCTTCTACCTCTTTCCACTTTAACAGAGCGAATGCTGGAGCAGAGGTCGTCTCGTCTCCAGCTTCTTATCTGCTAAAGTTAAAAGAGGTGGGAGGAGCTTCCCCTGAACTCTTAACCTGTCATTGACTGTAGTGAAGCTCTGGATGCACTCTGTGGCCCACTTCACAGATCTTTTGGCCACAATCACTGGTCACGTCTTTTTGTTGGGTGTATATGTGCGTAAACCTCTACAGAAAGAACAGAAGATGTACAGGCTAGCTGGTAAACTTTCAACATTGTGGCAACATGAGACCCATTTTTCTTCCAGTCTCGCATTTCCAGGATGTTGTACACCTTTTCCAGAAAACTTGCGTCTATATTGAAAAGTCAACTGGAACTAGCTGTTCATAGCCCAGACTGCGTGGAACTATTCTTTATTCATGTAAGAACCTACAGCATGTTACTTTTATTTCGTTTATCTTGGCATGAGTAACAAAAAACTTATCACTTCCTCCTGGAATACCACGATTCCACCATGTAATCGCAAAACAAAAAGCAGACCATTTTTTATATGCAGCCACATATGGTGGGCAGCCACAGGAACCATGGCGTTAGTATACTAGAATACGAGAGTGTGTTGGGGGCTGAGCAGTGGGAGTTGGTGAGGCTGCGCATCTTGACTACACATGTGGCACTGCAGTTGTTATAACTGTAGAAAGTCGCTGCCACCAGCCAAGTTTGGCTGAGTGTGTGTCAGGCGTTTGCAACGCTGTTTTAAAATGTGTTAGCATTCCTTTGTGCAGCCTCTCCTAGAAAATGTTCATCTGTAACACGAGACGCATGTGCAGGAGAGTGGTAAGAATATAAGTTGAGAAGCCAACACAATTCCGAATGTCCCTCAAGGAGAATTGAACCGAGAACCTCAAGAGGGTGACCTCGACGCTCAACCACTCTGCCGATCGCCTCTCCTTGTCGCGCGCATGCGTAGGTCGCGGGATGAGGTGCTCACTATATGTGCCGCAGTCCTTATAGACTTGCAAGAGGAAGCGGCGAACTGAAGAGGAGATAGCTTAAAGGGGCACTGAAACAAAATTCTAGCGCCAATTTTATTGTTTAAATGTCAACCACATTCTGGCAACATCACAGACACCGATATTTTGTTCGAAAAGTTGAAATGATTAAACCGATTACCAGATTGCACCTGGTGAATGTTCCCATAGCTTCTTGGAATGTCGTTTCTCCAATTGTCCCGTAAAAGCAGCACTGCTCCACGACGTCTTGTGACGTCAGTCTCTCGCGACGCATCGCGCTCTCCGAATGCTGCTCTTTGAGCGCTCGCTAAAATTGGCTGTTTATAATGAAAAATATAGCTATTCATTCAAAATACAAATGTGAAATTATCATTAGCAAATATGGTTGATCGAACTTATCTTTGAACGTGAAAGGTATATTTCAATTTACGTTTCAGTATCCCTTCAACAGAAGCGGCAACGTGCCGAGTATGGCGTTTACTGAATGAATATATATGGACATTTATGCTTAGGTAGTTACCCGCCGTAGGGTTTGTCGCAATTTTATCGGCAGAATGTAACCTTCAGAGAAAACGAGCATTGCTATCACATGAAGCATCGCTGCACACACATACGCTGTACTGTAAAATAGTGGATTGCTGGTCTTGTTGGCGATTGATCGGCGTTACGAAAAAAGCACAAAATAGACGGGGCAATGTCTGAGCAACACACGGTGATAGCTGACCAAACCCTGAAGGTCGGATGAACTTGTTCGAGCTGTGCTAGCCGTACCTTAGTTCAGTTTTTCTTCGGTGCTGCCAGCCACTATTTTCCAGTCATTAGGTTTCATCATTTGTGCTATCCACGGTGAAGTCTGCAATTTGGTACATAAACTTTGTTGGTTTTATTTTTCCTGTCCAGGCTCCTCGACTATCTATTTCTCACTCGGTGGAGTACTTGGATTCTTGGTCCTGATTGGTTGCTGCGTGTGCATCTGCCGGATTTGCTGTGGGTGCTGCAGACGAGACACGCACGTCACGGTGGTGAATGCGGCGCCAACCTCGCAGCCGTGCATGCCAGTGATGATTGCCCCCACCATAGTGAACTCCGCTGCACCGGCCGCGGTGGGCCCTGCGGCGCCAGCTGCTCCCCCGCCATATGCCCCGGTGCCAATGTCCGACCCAGGTTTCACCAATTACACATACTGCCCCACTGCCCCGCCGCAGCCCATGCAACAGCCCATGCAGCAGCCCATGCAACAGCCCATGCAACAGCCCATGCAACAGCCCATGCAACAGCCACAGGCCCCATGGGTTCCCCCTCCTGGGTATGCGCAGTGATCCAGCCTTTATACCAGCATTTTACCAGACAAAATGAATGAAGTACACACTCCATTTCTCCAAGTCCGAGCGCAGCCGACGCTGTGTTCCCATGAAGCTAATCGAGCAGCACCAAAAGCGCATCGTAACGACGCTAGTCGCTTTTGTGCCTCTGCTATCGCTGACTGTCGTGCACAGTAAATGCACCACAATCCTGCGTTTCTTCTTCTTTTTTTTTTTTTTTTTTGTGCGCGATTAGTTTTGCTGGTAACCCACATAGACAACGAGAACTGTCACTGTGCATTTTTGGCTCTGCTTGACTGACTCTGTCAAGTCGTAGCGTCGGTTGCGGCCAGACTTAAAGTGAGACGAAATATAGTTGAGTCAATATGCAAAAATGCGAAAGCTTTTTTTCTTTTTCTTTTTTTATTTAAAGAGTTTTGATTAGTTGACTAGGCCTGGATGATCTGAAAATGTTGAGCTAGCGAATTAATATTAATTTCTGCCTAGTCGTCTGGTTTGTCTTCATGAGTTTGCGGGTCGTAGCCTGTCGTGGACTTTTCTACATTATGGCAGTCGCCCTTGGTTGCAAAAGGAGGAACTGTTTTGCCTCTGAAATGTGCCTTGTGAGTGTGGTGTTCTTCTGTAGCATAATGCTCCATATTATTTGTTTAATGTTACAAATTCAGCATATCTAGTAATATGTGGTGCATAGTTGACTTTTATTACTTTGTCAATGTGTAAATGACGCCAAATGTTGAGTGGTCTTGTCAAGTGTGGATGCAAGATGTCACTGCGTATTACGTTTACAAGTGTATGTGCCTATCAATTTATACTCTTTTGTATTGTGGACAATTTTCGGACATTGATCTGTTTCAAGAATTGAATCAACTTTTGTCATACTGTATGAGCATACTCAGTAAAAACAGTTTTCATATTCCTCTCATGCTTTACTCTTCAAGACCTTCGTAGTACATGTTCAGATCAATACAATGCAGAGATTCACCAGTCATTTTCAGACTACGACTACATGTCTGATGTAACCAACAAAGTGTTTACTTGGCCCACAAGGCTTCCAGTTTTCGAAGAGTGCAAGCATATCTTGCCAAGATATCTGTTTTAAGGGTCTTTTATCATTTGAAAAGCATTTTTCTGCAGCTACAGGAAAGGCTGTTCATGCTTTAAGCCCTTGGGTTCCTGTACAAGCCATGTAATTTTGAGGCCTGCTGAGAAAAACCTTTGTACTATATAAAAAAAATGTTACTTTTTCTTTATAAAGGGGCCCTGCAATCGTATTTAAGCGTCTACCATTTTTGCGCTTTCCACGTCTTGTGGTTCGGGCAACCCAGCGGGCACAAAGAGAGTAACTAAATATCAGTGCGTCATATTTTAACCGGACGACGCGGAAACTTCCTCCTCCTACAGGGGCACCCCGTGTTGTCGAACGCACGCGGCATGGTGAGGAAATCGTGACTTTGGTACTGGTCAGCCGAGGAGAGAGAGCTGCCCCGTTCATGGGCAGCTCTCTCTCCTCGGCCTCACCCCTTTTCTCAGTCTTCCCCTCTCTCCCCACATTCCTCAGTCACCGCGGTCCGGGCGCATAAAAAGCAGGACCGAGGACCAAGGACATCATGAAGGAGGTTATATTTGGCTTGTTTTTGTAATTTTAATATGCCTATAACTTATAAAATAAAGCAAATTTCGAGAAAAGAAAAAGTTCACCAAGTTCCCATATTCAGTGCGCTCGGGTTCGGTGCAAATTAAAAAACGGCCAAAAGTTGTTGCAGGGCCCCTTTACTCTGGTAGAAATAGTTTTGAGGTAATTTGAAAGAGTTGTTTGGTTCTACAGAAGAAAATAGTGCACAAAGAAAGCACAATCTCCTATGGATATGTCCTCGACCATAATGAGTGAAGTTGTTTGAGATTCCGTGCAAAAACACAAGCATGAAACGTAACTATGTATACCGAAATTTTGAACCCATTCAAGTCTTCGAGCATGTAGTGAAAATAAGGGCAGTAAATTATAACTTAATCAGCAGCCCGCATGTAGCAGATGTTTCAAAATGGGAACCCGGCGTCAACAATCGGTGAACACAGACCCTGGTCATAACCACCAACAAAACATCATTTGTCATGAATCTCCCAGTACCTTTCCTTTTATGAAAATAAATTATCTGAAATTATTATTATGAAAATTAAAAAGATGAAAGTGCAGTTTATCTGTAAAAAAATCAAGACCGAGGGACACAAGATGGCAAGAAATAGTCCACAAATGTTTCTCCACATTCTCATGCCTTTCATTCTCAAGTGGGGATGCAAAAAAATATTTTTTTGGGGTTGAATGCAAAGATAGTTGCATTCTTTGAAGTGAAAGCTTTCTGGGGAGACCGATATATTAAAAAGGGACTTGTCACTTTCCCTACTGCGAATTACTTTTGCGATAAGGTGAAGCGAGTACACTTTTCCTGTAAACAGGATTATTGTCAATTTTGTGACTGCCACTTGTGAATCAAAATGATCAGGCTATTATGATGTTATTTAGACCCGTTCAAGAAGCCTCTTGTACCTGCCAATGCAAGTAAACAATTGTAATGGGCTGTCACGGTAGACTCTTAAAAACTTCGGAGCGTCCCCTCAAAGTTCTGAAAACGCTAGTGACTGAACAGCCAGTATACAGAACTGCATAACTGTATAATTGCTTGGTAGTGAACATTATAGAGGCTGTTATTTCTATTTTGAAACAGATTTTTTTAAAGAGGAGTCTTTACTGCTACATGAGTGCCGTCTTCACTATGCTTTTGAGGTCAGCAGACATTTGAGGGGCAAACAATTGCAAGTCTGGTAAGTAACTGAAATTCGGTAACTTTTTAATTAATATAGACACGATTCCAATTAGAAACTTGCTGAGCATCATTTAAAACCACTAAATCAGTAATTTTCAGAAAGACGGCACATGAGAAGCGCAGTAGTGTGCTAAAGTTACCACTCGTGGAGCGAGTACTAGGCTAAGGCTCTGACAAGACAGAAAAATTATGCGGGCGCCTTACCGCACCGTTGGCTTTGTAACTGTTGCACGAGCGGCAACTTTAGCGCACTACTGCACTCGCGCGCTCGAAGACAATCTGAAAATTACTGATTTAGTGGTTTTAAATGACACTCAGCAAATTTCTAATTGAAACCATGCATCTATTTTTACTAATCAAAAAGTTAATTAACGAATTTTAGTTAATTATTCGCCAGATTGCTTGCCCCTCAAATGTCCGCCAAGCTCAAGAAACCTATAGTGAAGGCGGCATTCACGTAGCACCGACGCCTTGTAAAAAAAATGACCGCATCTCCACCTGGTGAATGTTGTTGATTGGGGCAAAGCTCTGGTGGTGCTGATGATACTGATTTTGTTCATGGGTAGTGCTGATGGTGCTGATTTTTTTTTTATTGCTCATAAGTAGTGCTGAGTTCCGGGTTGCGTTTCGATTTCATTATTACTGCTTTATGGTCGGTAAAATGCAGAGCCAGTGGTTCTTCTAGCGGATCAGCTTGGATCCGCTAGAAACCGTGGGAACGCATCTCCACCGCTTAAGTAAACGGTCCATGTCGGAAAGGGAATGTGTGGTATGGAACGTGGTTACATACACATTTGAGCCTTTGACCGCAGCGCCCCCTCCTGTATAGATGTTGAGCGGCTACATGCAACGTTTCATCCATGACATCCCCAGCTCTCAAGTTACTACCACATGTCGGAGCCCCCTACTCGTCCCGCAGTCGTGGCCGAGTGGTTAAGGCGATGGACTAGAAATCCATTGGGGTCTCCCCGCACAGGCTCAAATCCTGTCGACTGCGCAAACATTTTTACTTTTTTTAAGAAGACAGATGGGATGACAACTGATGTGAGCACGGACGCCAGACAAGGCTAGACTTTAAGGAGCTTCGCCCCTAAAAAATCTGTTTCAGATAAAAATAGCATCCAGTATAATAGACTTTTTGCAAAGCGTGCGGCGCCATCTAAGCCACTTAAAGGAATGCTGGAAATGCTAGTCACACTCTGTTGTAGCAGATGACACAAGTGACCTTGGAGGTCACGGCAAAGGCCAAGTGCAGGCAAGCAACTGCACTACCCACTCGCTGCAGCGTCACATGGTAGATGCTGCAAGGGAAAAGAGGAGCGCACTAACTTCGTGTACGGCATTTTGCGATTTTTGCAAGAGTTCCTATTGGTGGGCCTGTCAGCCCTATGCTGTCTTTTGCACATACCACTGTGCAGCATTTTCGGTTCCACCAAGAGGGCGCATAATTTCGAAAGGGGTTTCTAGTTTCTACTGGCAGTTCTTTCAACACATGGAAAGTATTTGTGACTGTTTTTGGAAGATACCAGAGGGCCTACAATTGGCCTAGATTAATCAAGTGAAGCCACCACTTCAACCTCTGCCCTTGCAACATTTAGTGGGTCCAACATGTTGGAACTTTACCTGGATGAGCAGCACAGGGCTATACATGGGCCGCATGCGACATCATTACATCACGTTGGTGATCATTCCTTTGTGTACTCGCTGAGGAGGAGAAATTGGGCTGTTTGAAGCGTATGGTGTAGACAGTGGCAGCTGATGGTATGTTGGTGAAAATGTCTTGCAGTTATTGAGAGAATGACTGCCAAGTCAAGAAGGGCATACAGACGTAACACCCAAGTATCAAGGCCCGTTCACACTCTTGCGACCGAGTAAGACCGAGAGAGACCAGACCGGTTTTTAAGCTTCTTGCGACCTCTTAGGACCAGCTCCGATGCCGCGCATCCGGTCCTAAGAAGTCGCAAAAGGCTTAAAAACCGGTCTGGTCTCTCTCGGTCTTACTCGGTCGCAAGAGTGTGAACAGGCCTTTATTCTGTCATGCTTGTAGGCCTGGGAAAACCAGCTAGATGGACAGAGGTAAGTAATTTCATTCTAGTACTTCAGCAGGCTCATTCAATTTACCTGCACCTTCTGCACTGGGGCAGAAAAGTGTAGGGCAGTGTGGTGTAAACCTCAGCTTGTGGGAACCTTTCCTTATTTTCATTACTACTATTCCCCTCCTTCCTCCTCTCCTCCCCCCCTTTCCACGAATAGGCTGTTCATCCATGGTTCAGCATAAGAGCGTATCACACACTTGCTTGGTCGGGCCCTTTGTGTGGACGTGAAACACAGTAATTAATTTTCGCGTAGAGTGATTTGATAAAACGGCATTCGACGAAATGTCGGGTACCAGTAGCCACGGCCATCTGAGAACATGATGTTATTTTTTTTTCTGGGAAGGGAGACGATAAATCAGTCGTGGAAAAATTAATGAGTTATGTACAAGACCAAAGGATAGACCATGAACGAACATTTTAGTTAAACGTCTCGTCCCCAACACCTTAGAACTATAAATATCTTTTACTCGGGAAATGATAAACGTAGAAAAAGGTCACGACAGCAGCAGCGGCTTCATTATACACAAAATAAGTAACTTTAAGCGCAAGTTCAGTTAATTTTCAACGATCACGGCCCCGCACTAATCTGATAAGCATTAACCGATTGGGGACACTGAAGATAAGAAAATCAAGTGGCGTACATCAGCATACTGCAGCACTCGGAAATGCAGCAGACGTTTTCTGCAAGGTGTACGGGTTGTAACTTGTAACCTGTCTCGGCATCACGAACGCAACCTTTTGACGCTAACACTGTCCACTGCACAGCCCGCGGCTTAGTCCATCAACTTTCCGAATTAAGGGTAATTTTATCACGGTCATTATTGTGGCGGAGGTTTAACTGGCCCAACTTCAAATTAAAAAAGACGGGCAGCGAGCATCCGACGCCTGTCGCTAGGGCGCTAGGGGCTAGGGGTCAGAAAACACGAAGTGACGTATTTTACGTCACCGAGGAAGGGCATCCGGGTAACTCACTACCACAATGGCGACAATGAATCAGGCATTTGGGGGCTGCGATTCCACAACGTCGTTTTCACAACAATCGAGTGATCGCCTCAAGTTGTTGTACCCAACAGTTAATGAAGAAGAAACTCCGCTTCCACGTTCTTGGAGCCCAAAGGACAAATTTACCTACATAGGTTTGTCACAAAACAATCTCCGAGTGCATTATAAAGGTTAGTCTCTTGCAGTCATTACGCAAACTGTTCGTTTCATTTTGTTTACGTAAGCTAAACTTGTACGAGCACGGATCCCCTTCGTGGTAGCTATTACGACCATGAGACTTCGAAAGTTAAAGGAGAAAAAAAAAATCGATACGAAGCAGAATTTTGGTTGCTGAACAAGGCGACCATGACGCACATTAGAGGAACGCTCTCTCAGCTGTTCACAACAGAAAGTGAAGCGATCGGCACGATAGTGAGCAGTGTGCGTGCATCGCCCTTTCGCTGATTTCTGCCGTTATGGTTCAGGGTGTCACGCTTGCTGGCTGGACAACAGTACGATTAGCCGTCGCGAATAGTTACTATCTGGCTTATTGTAGTCATTATTTCTTTTGAGTAGCATTCGTTTCAGTTCACTAGTACACCATGATGTCGTAGTCCCACGACTGATCTGTCCTTTGGCTCTCACAATCGCGATAATGAGATGGTGTCGTCGTGTCGTCCATGGACGTCAGCGGTCGATAATGGACAAATTCGTTTTGGTGTTGAACCTCAGCTGCACTAGGCCTACCTAAAGTGTATCTGACGGCCACCTGACTCAGTTTCATTGCTGTGTTTTTTTTTGTTTTGTTTTATCGTGTTTGCTCAACTCTTTCGCAGGCGAAGTCAGGTGCTGCCGAGTAACGTTAACGTGCACATAAGAGCAGCGTCCGTCGTGTTAGCTGACTTCGCCATTGTGAACTTGAAAGCATATATATATATATTCAGCTTTTAATCTAATTAGTAAAGTGCAAGGAGTGATACACTCGCGGTAAAAGTATTAAAATACGGATTTTAGATGTTTGTTCTGCTGGTTTCACGCATGGTGCCGTTTGAGCTTGAAAATACCACGAATTGTTTTGATATTGACTTTCATTCATATTTTTTGTTGTGCTCGAAATCTTATGTACATGCACTCATCAGCAGACTCAATAATGCTAACTAATTCATGGAAAGCCACACTGTTTTACACACCGGCCTTAAGTTTCTGAGTAAGAAAAGCTATATTCTAAGGTTCATCAATACTCAGTAGCCAAAGAAGACATTGCATCACTTACAGCATGTTAAAGCTGCACCAATATAGTAGCATGCAAGAGCAGTTTTGTTTTAATTGCAATAACATCTTCTGTTGCATGTGATGTCTTTGTGTTACATGTTCAATACAAGATATGGGTGGTCCAGCCTTTATTGTTTCTCGTGTTGATGTGTACACTATTGCAAGCAAAGAAGTGTTACCATTGTGCTGCTGGCATTGACCTGTCACCTATAAATGTCCTGATTGGAAAGTATAGGATACCCCTAGAGCTCAACCTGAGGTTTTGCCTTTAGGTGGGCATTAAGTGGTGTGACTGTTCAATTGCTGCTCTGTCGGATCATGCTTGAATGGTGGTCTGATTATGCAATCTTGAGAATCTCGGGTCCTGCAAAAATCATTTGAGGGGAAAGGGAAGCCTCCTGGATTATTGAAGTTGTCACAAATGTTTCAGTGGCATTGTGAAAGAGGTGTAAAGTCTTGCAATCAATTGCCAAGATTGATTCTACGAATCGCCAAGACTTGACTTATGTTCACTGTAGCATTTTCAAGTTATTGCTTGTACAAGTTTGAATTGGTCAGAAAATTTAACCTTTGCAATTCACAATTTGGTTGCAGTTTGTTAAAAACAGAATGAGCAATATTATCTTCAAAACACAACTACCGTATTTACTCGCATATTGGTCGATACGTCGTATAGGTCGACCCCCTAACTTCGGGACCCCCGAAAAAAAAAAAAAAGTTGAAAAATATAATACCGGGATTCGCGTATTGGTCGACCCCCCAGTTTTGATGAGGCGATTTTTGAAAAACAGGTCGACCTATACGCGAGTAAATACGGTAGATTTCTAAATAAGCTGAAGGTACAGTGTGTTTATATTAATGTCTCACTTCTGGGAATCAATTATCTATTAGATTTTGCCAGAGTTCTTTTTTCTTTTTTTTTATAAGAAACTCCCAATTGACATCTGGACGAAATTTTGTAGGATTCCCGTATCATTTAAGCCCATTATCTAAAACATTATGCATAGAATTCATGCCTGAAATTGAGCGATTTCTGAGTTCCCCAAATGGGCGTCCATGGTACGTAGTATGATCATGTTGCACGCATGCATTTGTACATGAGCCCCTCATTGAGTTGGGGGGTTGCACTTATAGTTGTTACTCATGTTCTTTACTGATGGGTATGAGCCAATGGTCCTATAATGGTACCATTGCTGCTGTTTCTTTCTTGCTAAAGGACTCCACCTCTGTGGTGTGCATCCCAAAAAAGATAATCTTCTACTACTCACACTTCCTGGCAGCCTAGTTTTCTAATAATTAATGTTGCAGTGCATTTGCACGTGATTGATTGTCTTTGGGACTTGCAGGCATCGGCAAGAACCACAAAGATGCAGCCAGCGTCCGGGCAACGCACCCCATCCCGGCCGCCTGTGGGCTTTATTACTTTGAGGTCAAGATTGTGAGCAAGGGCAGAGATGGCTACATGGGAGTTGGCCTCTCTGCTCAGGGTGTCAACATGAACAGGCTGCCCGGTCAGTAGGCTCATCGAGCTCATTACTGCTATCTACGTGGTCGCTCTCTCAGGTGCCCCCCTACCGTCACACTGACAGTTCTCTGAACCTTCATCTGATTGTCGGTATTAGGTGCAGCACGTTTAGTTTGTTGGTGGACAGCCTTCTTCATACTTGCATAAGAAGCCTAGTTTTAGTTTTGGAAGCTGTAAAAAATTAAGTGGGTTGTCTGCAGTAATTCATCAAGCTGGATAACTGCAATGTGAGCATGTATCATGTGAAGTTTTCAGTAGTTGATCACACCTCACATAAAATTCTGTTTACGTAACTATTGTAGCACTCATGCTGTGAAGAATAAAGTGCCTTGGATTTGTGATTGCAACAGCTTTATTTTAAAAGAATGCTGAAACATAAGCCAACATTTCGGTGTGTATCCTTGATTAGTTAGTGACAGATCTTTCGATAGAAGGCTTAGTGAACTATGGGCAGTGTAAAAGGTCATACATTGAATTTCCATTATGTGGTCACAGTCTTAACAGCTTCTACTGGCGTGCACTAACTTCTAAAACATATTGCATTGCTTACCTGACAGTGTCGCAGTTCCTTTGCTGTACTTCATTTTCTAGGGGCAAATAACATGGCTACAAGTCGAAGTGCATGTGTTTGGCAGGTTCTTCCGATGGGAGGGACTCCCTCTGCAGCGGAAGCACCTATCAAAGACATTGCTTTTTGCATGCATAGTTGAGTTAAACTAGAGTCATGCGAGAGCTTTGCTCGCATGGATATCCTTATCATCCCGCGTCTAACACTTCTGCGACAGTCATTCATCTTTTCACGTCCCCCGGCATTTGTTAATGTGCCAACAGCTTGTGCAGGCTTCTGTTTTGTTGCAGATATTTTTATGAATGCTGTTGGTGACAGGCATACTTCAGAAATGCAACTTTTGCATTTCACAACTAACATGTGGGTGACTCTAGTGATAACGGTCTGCTCTCGTGGTATTGAGAAGCCAAATGAAAAGTGCCGCCAGCATGTTTTGTAATCAAACAGAGGACAGCTGGTAACACTGATTCTCACTGGTCTTGCTGTCTCAGTGGCCTTGCTCCTTAGTATTGCTTAGTTAGTGGCCCTAGGTATAACACTTGGTACACTGGTGGGCCACTAATTTGTTAGGAAGGGGCAATAAAATAATGATACTGAATGGAGTGTCATGCTGACTATTATGACCCTCTGTGGTAAAAAGGGCTGACCTTTTCCTGCTCTGCATAATTAACCAGTAGAATTCAGGCAAATTTTGTGCACAAGGTTGGTTAGGATACTTGGATAATAGTTCTTTAAAAATGTTTCATGTCAGCTTTGTCTATTGTGCCTTGTATGCTTTGTTTGTGGGCCATATATTTAAGCTTTGAGGGTATCTAAAAAGGTAAGTTGAGTTTTTTTAATAAAACAAAAATTGTAAGATGTACTCATGTCTTGTATGTTCATTTAAAAAAACAACTTTCATTGATTTTTTTTTTTTTTACATAATTATTTAAGGATTGTAAGCATTTATCGGAACAAGGGATTAGTTTCTCGATAACCGTACAGAAAAGGTTCCCCGTAGTTTCCACTGAGCTTGTTTCTTTGCTGTACCAAACAAATGCTAGTTGCACGGGGATAAGTCCGGGTTGTACGCTGAATATTGCCACACCTCCCGCTTGAATTCCTTTTGAAAACTTTTTCTGAACTGGTTGCACAAAATTGGAGGTGGCTTTTTCTGTACAGGTTTGTAGAAGCTCATCCCATTCCCAAAAGGGTTTACAGTCCTTGAGTGACTATGCCAGAAAAAAGAATAAGGATTGTATCTTTAACCCTTTGACGGTCTTTGCCGTATATGTACGGCAGTGATTACACATTTGAAGATGCCCACCTAAATGCAAAACTGCGTGCACCGCGGGAGGTGTTGCTATTGGTTGTCTTTGGGGAACTATAAATGTTATATTCGCACAGTGTTTTGCCTTGGTGAGCTATTTATAATTTTCAAATTAGGCGCTCTGCACACATGGTGCTCACTTCGTATACTGGCCACTCTGGCACGAGTGGCATTGGGAGCACTGTCTCTTCCGATTCAGACTTCCTACGATTATCAGAATTAAATTTGGAGGATGAGAGCTCATCATCTGACGGATTTGCTCTGTAAAGTACCTGCGGTTAGGAATCTGGAGCCGCTGGAATGTCGCGGAAGCGGGCGCGCCAAAATGTAACCGAACGGAAGAAAGGTGACAACTTTTCGCTGCCAATATTTTCATTTGATGCTATTAAAGGCCCATTCACACACCTGCGTTTTGACTACGACCGAGTGAGAGACAAGACCAGTTTTTAAGCCTCTTAGGACTGCTTACGACCAACTGCGCTGCTGCAGAGCCGATCGCAAGCCGTCGCCAGAGGCTTAAAAATCACTTTTGTCCGAGTCAGTCGTAATCAAATGCAAGTTTGTGAACGATGAGCCCTAAACCTAAACAGCTTGCAAGCACTGTATCTGCTCCGCTAGATAATTCTCAAAAAAACAACCACTCAGTGATGCGATTGCTGCGCCAATTGCGCCAAACTGTGCCAAGGGGCTAACCCTGCTACATCCCGCTACATTTTGCCAGAATATGGGTAATCTGCGCCAAACCTGCGCAATAAAAACAGTTTCGGTCACCTTTCAAAACCGAAATAAACTGAGTACCGTAATTGAGCACGCGTGGGTTATGTGGCGCAAGCGGCCGCCCGACACAAAGTACCCTGCATCAATTGTCCATCCGGTCTTGCATGGTTTTCCCGCCGTCTCGCGTTCTCGTCTTTTCCAGTCTCGTCTCGCATCTTTTTTTTTTTTTTTTAATATTTTCAGCGATAGACGCGGGTGTGTGCGGACGCTCCGACGCTAGCGTGTCGGGTACCAGCCATGCCGTCATGCTGTAAAACAAAACCACGGTTTTGCGCAGCGGGAGTTACATTGTGAGCTGAAGCACTCGCTCCTAAAAGCAACGACCGTGGGAAATCTATATTTGGTCGCTGCCTTCCTTTCACTGTGGTCGCGCGATGTTGGGTCTTGCCGTCCCCACATCGCTGCAGATATGCTAAGTGCCACCGCATGTTCATCAACATTCCTTTTCTTGTTTTAATCATACGTTACTAAAAAAAGCCTTATTAACTCAAAGACCGTTGTATAGAAGTATTGATAACCTAGGTTTCTCTCGGTGGGCTTTCTTTCAAGAGGTACCCCGGTACGTGAAAAATCTGCCGCGAAAGAAAGTTGAAGAGAAGTGAGCTAAAGCAAAGAAGTCAATGTCTGCACGTTGAACCCGCACAGTGTGCTTGTTTGTCTGAAGTTCTGTCATTGCACAAAGTGCTCCAAGAAGATTTTGGGCGTGGCTCGCGATGTCTTGCATCAATGCGCTCAGGTTCTTCTTTTTCGTGTGTGTTTAGCTTATACTACCTTGTGTGCCGGCCTGGCAAGCACGCGTCGCTGGACTGTTTTTTGTCATTTGCTCGACGGTTGCATCTTGCATACAAATTTGGGAATCAACGACAAAGCGGAGTAGCATGGTTTCGGTTTCAATTGAACAGCCGTTGTCTCCACTCGCGCGACGAAGCACGCACAACTGCAAGCCTACCGAAGTTGCCCTCACGTGCATGCGAACATGATTGCGCGACAAAGGCACCAGCTGGGACGCTTGCAATGCATTGTATTATGTTTGCTTAGATTTGACGAAAATCTGGCACGTCAGGAACCAGTAAAACGGTGGCAAGCGGTTTTTCGGAATTGCTCGGCAATGCCTACAGCACTGGACACTTGTGGGATGTCTCAGCAGTAAAAACACAAGCAGCGAGTTCCGTCGTGACATCAGAGCACAACACAACACAAAGTGCCCTTTGTACAGCACTTAAATATTTTTATTTTTCTAAGAATATCTGCTCCAAAAGCCACTTTTGCTGCTCCGAAACACTGTCTTGGCTGCTCCAAAACACTGTTTTGGTTGCTCCAAAGGCCACATTTGCTGCTCCAGAACACTGTTTTGGCTGCTCCGAAAGGTGCTCCAAAATGGCTTAGGCCAATCACATCACTGAACAACTGTGCACTGACCTATTCTTTATACTATTCCTTTGGAAACAAAACCCAGTCACTGGAAAACATATGGGAAAAAAACTATGTCAAAGGGTTTAATGAACATACATGGTGTGAGTGTATATCTATATTGTTGTGTTATATGAACAAGTGTAACTTACTTTATGATATGCTCTCATACATGCGGCATGCGATTAGCTTGTTAGAAGGCGCAAGCAAATGTATGATGAGCTTCTTTATTTTTATTTTTCACCCTCGTGTTGTTGCCTTTTCACGTCTGGCTTAAGAGCTCAGTATATGGCAGGCGACTGTAAAAAAGGCATGTGGACTTTGGTTAGCCAGTGAAGGCTGGCAAGTGCTCCACTAAGCAGCACTGTGCATAAAACATTGCAGGATGGGACAAGCACTCCTACGGCTACCATGGAGATGATGGCCACAGCTTTTGCTCGAGTGGGACAGGCCAACCCTATGGGCCCACGTTCACAACGGGTGATGTTATTGGCTGTGGAGTTAATCTGATTGACAACCTGTGCTTTTACACAAAGAATGGCCACAATCTTGGAGTTGCCTTTACAGATTTACCAGTAAGTGCAACTAAAGTGTAGTGTAGTGATTTGGTTGTTTCCTTGCTCATATTCAGAAGTGTCCTTCAGCTGCATTTGAAAAGTAGGTGTTTCTATAATGTCACCCTCTAAAGCACCGTTCACACACTTACAACCGAGTAGGACGGAGAGGGACAAGACCGGTTTTAAGCCTCTTGCGACGTCTTTGTATGTCCAAAGTCGTCGCAAGAGGCTTAAAAACCGGTCTTGTCTCTCTCTGTCTGTCTTGCTCGGTTGCAAGTTTGGGAACAGGCCTTTAAGGTTTCAAAAAGCAAGCTATGGGCTCATTAAAAGAATACTACAACAAAATTTCGGCACTTATTTTTTGGTCTCTACATCCGACACACCAATATCTTCTTTAAAAAAAAAAAAGACATGAAAAGGAATTTTAAAACAAATTAAACAATTAGCAAAGAGCACCTGGTGGATGTCGCTAAAGCCTCATTTGTAATGCCTGTCTAGGCACCTTGACAGGTAGTGACGATAACTGTCTCGCCTAGAACTATACATGCTTTGAGCCTGATGTCATCGCGACAGCTCTACGGCCAGCACAAGAGAAGAGAGGAGGGAGGAACTCCTCACTCAACACGGGACTCTCTTTTGTGTTTCCGAGACGTCACTATTCTTCCTCCACAAGATTATAGAAGATTAACCCATCGCTCAAAATTCACGCAAAAGCAGCTTTGCAGTTAGTTGCGGTGGCCCGATCGCTGGTATGCTTCGATCACTTCGGTGCCTGGAACGGCTAGGGCATCCTGACGACGTCAGCCTCACCGCAGCTGTCCTCATCCCGAGACGAACTACGTCACGATTGCGCCGGATGTGACATGCACTCTGCTGGTTGCTCTCTGAGCACTTGCCAGAGTGGCCTGTTTTTAACGAAAAATACAGCCATTAGGCTCAAAATATAAACGTGCAATTGTCATTTGGGGATATTGTGGATCATATTCAGTCTATTTCTGAACATGAAGAGTATATTTCAAGTTTCGTTGAGGTACCCCTTAAAATTGTCCAAGTGATAGCCAGTATTTTCCTGTGCAAGCAAAAGATAATTTTCTGTGACAGTGTCTGAGCTATTTTTGTTTACTGAACCAAACTGCAAACAGGGATACTGCCACAGAAGTGTGCATGCTAGAACATACTGGTCTGATTCATGTTAATGGTGAAGCTTCAAATCTAATGAACTATTGCTTTGTGGTGAGTTTGCACTGTCTGGTTTGTGTTGGAATGACTAGAAACACCCTGAATTTAGTTGTGGTCGTCACTACTGTCTCGAGTAGTTTTATACTCTTCAACTGAAATAATAGACTTAAGCAGTTGATCCTTTTTTTACACTGCCATAATTGCACAATTTTAACATTCCTCCTCCTTTCCCTTTTTTGTCATGTCTTTTTTTAAATTTTTTGTTTCATGATTGTTATTAGTGAATCTAGGTGCTTATATTTGCCTTTCAAGTTTTTGTTTTCTCCTAAATCTTCTCAGAACAGGAAACTGCTTACCATCCCAATAAGCTTAGTCCTTCGAAAATGTCCAATGCATATTTTGTCAGTGTTGCTAAACGGACCGGACACGTTGTATCTGTCTCGTCCTAAACATGATGTGTAACAATTTATGCTTTGGTCCTTTCAGCCAAACTTGTACCCCACAGTGGGCCTTCAAACTCCAGGGGAGGTGGTGGATGCAAATTTCGGACAGTCTCCTTTCGTCTTTGACATTGAGGACATGATGAAGGTGTGTTTGGTGTTTCTGCTTTGCTCGAGTCTGCCTGCGAAATAATGCTAAGCTGCCTGATTTCAACTTGCGACATGATCCGATTCCACAGGAGTTGAGAATGCGAACCAGGACCACAATAGAGAGGTTTCCTGTCAACGACAAACAGGGTGAATGGCAGACTACATTACACAGGTATATCATTTGCATCTCATCATGCTACCATTTTTCAGGGTACCATTTCTTAGAATACAGTATGTTAAGAGAGGTCTGCAGTGTATGTTCAGCAAAAATATTTTAATGCGAAAGCATTAACTGGGGGGGGGGGGGGGGTCCCATGGAGCGAACCGGCATTATTAGCTCTTGAAGCCATGCCGAACGGCACATAAACTCCCCTGTCCCAATGGAGCCATGCCTGTCGTCCATAGCAGCACTCTGATGGATAGGCCCCCATTGGTTGGCGCACATCATAGTTTCAAGGAACGAGGCTCTTATTGGCTGCCGCTCGGCGTAGTTCAAGGACCGCCTCTAGAGAAGCCCTCACCATGGCGACGCGGCCGCTGGTAAGATGGAGCCGCAGAGCCAGCAGAGCCCGCACGGGCAGACTCCGGAGAGGCTGCACGGCCGAGCTCAGCATGGCGCAGCCACCACGAGAGCTCTTGGCCGTCGGCCGCGTGGACAGCTCGTGGCCGTCCACGCGGCCGTGGCCATCCACGCCAGTACGCCGCAGACGAACTAAGGAAGTGGAAGAACGACATTCATGCTTTTGTATACACGGCTCATAAGAAGTGCTTGGGCGTCTTTGTAGTTTTTTTTTGTTGTCAGTCGTGTGATTCTTGTGCGACAATTTTCTGGAATTGCAACAGACTGGTCTGTCTTTCAGGATTGTGCAAACTTACTTGGTCCACCATGGTTACTGTGCTACAGCTGAAGCATTTGCCCTGAGCACTGGTCAATCATTTGATGAGGACCTCTCATCCATCAAAAATAGACAAAGTATGTTTCTCAAATTTCTTTCCCTTATGTCTTTTTTTGTTTTATATCAAAGGTATTGCTGGCCTTTGGTATTTATGGGTTGCAGTGTGAGTGTAGTTTACGATTATCGGTTAAGCATATTCGCAGAAGAGCAATGAAATTCCAGTAAGTTATTTTAGTTCATCTATCTCTAGCATGGACTATCCACTATTATCCAGTGAATCAAGCTATGGGGCTGGCTTGCTCAAAATAAACCCAAATAAAATCTTACCTGAGGTGCTGGGAAAGAAAGTATTGCCTAGGCCTGTGAACGAGTAGAATATAATGTGGAGAGGAGCATTCGTGCACTTGTGTGCTAACCTTGGCAGTGTTTCCTTAATTAGTCTCTGGCAAGATTTTGTATCTGTTCATTTCGAGTAAGCCAGCAGATGGCATTGGTACCTGGAGGGGGTCGTCCTATTACAGCCTTCAGCTTCGTAGCTCATTCATGCTATGGGGCTGGTAGGAAATGTTTTGACATGATAGTGCATCATGTTCAGCAATGCTAAAATCAGCAGAACTTTGGCTTCAAACTAAACCATGTTGGGTACAGCCATAATTGGGTGACCATGATTAATATGTGCAATCATTACACTACTAGAAATTCAAGCATTCGGGCATCTTTTCTTTTAAACAATGTAATGAAGCGTGAAATTTTTGCATATTTCTTGCACAAGCCGATCTCTGGGTCTGTTTTGCATGATGCAGTCTTATATTATGTATGTGGGCCCATATCTGGGAGATGTATAGTAATAAACGAATGGGAGCACCAGCCAGGCTGCTCCGGGGCATAACTCGGAGGTGGCATGTTGCTTGCTCTTGCAGGGATTCAGAAGCTGGTCCTGGCGGGCCGCATGGGCGAGGCCATTGAGACGACGCAGAAGCTGTACCCGGGTCTGCTCGAGGGCAACCCAAACCTGCTGTTCCTGCTGCGCTGCCGCCAGTTTGTTGAGATGGTGAACGGCACAGACGGGGAAGCGCGTCCTGCCCGCCGCTCGCCAGGAGCCAGCCCTCGTCTGCTGCTTCTTAGCTCGTCACCCAAGGCGTCACCCGATGTGGCGTCGAATGGCGTGGCACCGGACGACCAGAGCACAGCCAACGGCGACGCCTCGCTCAATGGCAACCACGGCACGGACGAGGACTGCATGGCTGACATGGTGGTGGAAGGGGGGGAGGGGCGGACAGTGGTGTCCAACGGGGTGGACTTGGACAGCCGGCAGCACAACGGGCACCTGCACCGGCTGGAGCCCTGTGGCACCGAGGCCGACATGGGTGAGGGCAGGCACGCCTTCGCAGGACGTGCTCTCTCGCCCCGGGTCGTGCATGTGCACGCTAGTGTGGGGCTCCAACTTGTGTTCTGCTGGGGATCGGTCACAATTTGGGACCCCGGTTGGAGCCTTCTTTCGTTAGGCGAAAGGAGCGAGGTGACTTCTCTTTCAGAGTAATGTCGTCTGAGAATGCATTTAGTAGGGGAGGGTTTTTGTACAATTATAGGTACAGCCTCTGCGCACCGCCGTTGTGAGGTTTGTTTGGGTGAATCTTTTCACCTTTGCTACTCCGAAAAGCCAAGCTGGTGGGTGCATAAGGTCTTGGTTGGAGGGTGTCTCTCATTTACAGCACCCATTCACACTTGCAAATGCAGGATCATGTGTGAATTGTGTCACAGCACATGTAGAGGTATTGGAATATGTGTACAAATGTCTCACTAGAACAGCAATTTACAAGGACAGATGGACTTCAGAACTACAGATCATTGATGGTCTGTTTATCTACCGTAAGTTTCTCCCTAAAATAACTTGGAGTACCAATGAGTACCCATGGCAGTTTTTTCTTTAGTGTACTAGTGCATTTCGAGTGATACTGAAATGACGACAGACATGTGCAACATATTTGAAATTAGGTTACATATGATTATCATAATCCTAAATGATAATGGTACGCTTGTTTGGGAGGGGGGGGGGGATTGCTATATTTTTTTTTTGTATGTGCCCTCCCCTGGCAGATTTTCCATTAACGACCACAGAAATGTGAGATGCATCTTGCCTCCCCCCCGCAAGATATTGAGACAACTTTCACGAGAGGGTATTGACAGCGTGGGTAGACGAGAGAGCGTTTCATGGTGGCTTAGGACACCACATTTGTCTGCACAAGGACCCCACTATTATCTGCACGAGGAGTTCTGGAGATTTCTGCTGTTGGTGGGCCAGAAGTGAGGCTGAGTGGTGGTGAACGTGTGCAGAGGTGGACCCTCCCAAGCGCCAGCTGTGTGGAGGCAGCCAGGCTGCAATGGAGCGCATGCTGCAGTTCGGCAGGGAGCTGCACGTCATGAGCATCCAGCTCAAGCACGAGTATGGCACCAACAAAAACAACCGCAAAATGATCCAGGCAAGTGACCCCCTCTGGTGCCCTCGGATACTCTGACTGACATTGGGCACGTTAAGTCCGTGCTCCGGGGCGCAAGAGTTTGGTGCTCCTTTCACTAAACGGACAGGAGTGCCACCGGAGACTGACACTCGAGCACGCTCTTCGTCCACCGAAAATTTCTCGGAGCGCGAGTGACTTCTTTGCTGTCCGTGACGTCACGTAAACAAACAAGATGGCTGCGCCGCTTTTGAGACCGTCGAGACTATAGTCGGATGCAACCCGAGAACAATCTTTTAGCTCCACCCACAAGCGCATTGCGCCCATCTGAAGTGCCTCCGCCGCCGAGAAAGTAGTTCGCTAGCAACGTTGCTTTTTCTTCCTCCAGGAAACGTGTCTTAAAGGGACAATGAAGACGATTTTATTTAATTTTTTTAAATGGTGTTTTAATGCTTCTTGGGAACATAGCATGCCGCCCAATTTTTTGTAGACATTTATGACGCGTATTTATGTGCCGACGAAAGAAGTAAAGAAACCGAAACTGAACCATCTTCAGTCTCGTTTCTGGGCCTCCGAAAACGGAGGTGACGTAGGGAGTGACGTCAAGTGTGAATAGTCGGTATCGGTAGTATTTAGGAGATCGAGACTCTGGTTACCGCGGTGGGTTATAGCAGCGCGGTGGCGCGGTCGTTGCGCCGACTCTGTCAACATGGACGAATGCCGCTCTCGCGAGCGAGTTCGAGCTTCCGTTCAGTGACCGAACACCAACGGAACGGGAGTATGTGTGTGGCGGCCACTGCCATCACCCGACGGAGACCGCTCAGCCGGCAACGAGCGGCCCGCATGCCGAAGGACGGACGCGGGGGAGATGCCGAAGGGAAAGCGGCAGGGATCCCGCCGTTTCGGGATCCGGTTCCTCCGCGGACGTCCTCTTTTCGTAGTCAAAGGACACAAACAGCTACCCACACGTGAAAACTAGCGTCGCCCGAACGAATACTGGCCTTCAGTCGGCCGTTAGAACAGCCATCTACAGCTACCATTTTGCAAAATCTTTCGAGTACCGTGTTCTTTTTTAATTTTATTTTGTTGGCCCATAGTTGCTCCTCGCCGGTTTCGCGTCCAGCGTAGCAAAGAAAAAAACAATGATGCTGTTTTATTTACGGTTTAGTAATCATTTCCAATTCGATTTATACTTTTGATGGTTATTCAAGCGGAAATTAGAACAGTATTTCTTAAAATCGCGAACTAAAACGTGACCGAGGGCACGTTTCTCGTTTCGACCAATCGCTGACGCGTCTCTTGTGACGTCGCGCTCCTTGGCCCCGCATCGGTCACGTGAGCTCCGCTTCTCCTGGCTTCTCCCGCAACTCTTGGGGCGTCGCCCCAGTCGATCCCGGTATGATTATTACCGCGACTGTTTAATAGATTTGCGCGGCACACAAGCGCCGGTTTCGGCTGAAATTTGGGCAACGTGGCCTGAGACGTACCTGGAACCCAGTTCAATCGCCAAAAAGATCTCCGAAATTGCCTTCATTGTCCCTTTAAACTACTACAATATTTATTTAATTCATTCAGGACATTTAAATAAGTTAGAATTCGTTTTTGTCAACGAAATAGCTGTTTAGTAAAGAAAGAAAGTCATGTTCAACGTACCGTCTTCCCAATTCATTTTCTGTCCAAGATACTGTCTAACATACCGTCTTCCAGCGCCTTTGATTGAAGGAAAGCGAAGCACATATATTTCCTGCGAATAATAAATATTTAGTGATTTACTTAGTTTTATGGGCTTTGCGCACGAAATGTGTGCCTTTATTTTGTTGGATGAATAGAAAACAAGAATAATTATACTTTTCGGGTTTTGACAAATCGGCACCCTCTCAAGTCGACACCACCACCGCGCCCCGCTCTCTTTGTCTTCCGTCATGGATCCCACTAGGTGACATCAGAAAGCGATTCCCCTGATTCTTCTTGGACGAGACAGCCTGGTGCAGCCTTACCGGCGACACAAAAGCGGTTCTTCAAGAAGCACAATCCAACGAAGCAGACGACGTCTGGCGTAGCTTCTCACCTTTCAGCAGCGCTAAGCCTCGCGCCCGCTTCGAAATTTTCGTTGGTGATAGCGTTGCTGGATTCTCACGTTGTTGCGCAAAAACTGCTGCAAACATAAGCCGATACCATTAAGATTTCGTGGCGTAACCTCGGGCACGTAAAACATGGTGCAAAAAAGCAGAATGTCACGAGAAACTAGCGTCGCGTTGCTAAGGCCAGCAGCCATGTTGAGCTTTTTTTTTTTTTTTTCAAAAGGATCGCGATTGGTCCACGGAATTGTGGCGTCATGAAAACGATTGGCTGGCGTTTCTTGGCGTAGGATTACATTTTCCTCTGAGAGGCATTTCCGGTTTTTTCTTAGCTTGCAACCGACTATAGAGGCGTAGCCAGATTGCTGCCCCTTTTCAGTTGATTAGTGCTTAATCCAGCAGGTTAAAACGATTTGATTTGAAAGCCAAGACAGCAATTAGCGTTCCGAAAAAGGTTTGTTCGTGCATCTCGCCTAAAAAAAGAAATTCATTTGTCAAACGGTAGCGTGCCGATAGCACAGCGACAGAAAAGTTGTCGAGATGAGGAGATTCGGACCGCTCTGTCCCTTTTATAATGCTTAGCCCAGCGAATAAAGATACTTCGATTTGAAAGCCGAAACATCAGTGAGCGTTGAGGAAAAGGTTTGTTCGTGCGTCTTGCCTGAAAACAAATTGATCTATCGAACGAGGTGCCGGTAGCTCGGCGACAGAACAGTTGTGATGAAAAGACAATCAGACCGCTGCCCTGCTTAGAATGCGTAGCCTAGCCGCAGCAAATAAAGATACTAGATTGGAAAGCCGAAACACTAGTTAGCATTGCAGTAAAGGTTTGTTCATGCATACCGCCTAAAAACAAATTGACGTGCTATCGAACGACCGTGTGCCGGTATCGGCGTGGCTTCCGTCTCGCTGCAAGATGGAACCAGGGAATCTCTGACAAATTTGGGGGTTTCCTGCGTCGACGAGCGGGTTCAAGAATGTTGTCGTTAATTTAAATCGTAACAGCATGCATGGTCAATAAATAGATCGGCCAATGAACCTTCCAGATATGTGCACGAAACAAGCCTTCAAACCTTTCAGGAATATTAAAACGTTCGCAGAAACTTCATAACGTCGCAGTCTCTTTTGCTTTAGAGTCTGCTGCTCCATATGGGCCTAATTATTTATCTTCGAAATATTTTCGGCTTCTGCCACCCGTATTTACGGTCGGACGGAGCTCGCATGGTGTGGCCGGTGTGGCTCGTTGACAGTTTCTGGCCGTGTTCTTACTCTATCTAACTCTAGGGTAAAGGTGGTTATTGAAAACCTACCCACGTCCAGCGTTTCTCTATTTTTGTTGTCACGTGACATAATCCGCCAGGATAACTCGGATCCATTCGAGTAGGTTTGGAACGCAGCCTCGGTGTGTCGCGCTCTTGTACGTTATGCGCCGTTTAGTTGCTGCGCTCGGAGTATGAAACTCGGAGCTTCAGAGTAGGGGTAAAGGAGCGCCAACTTAACGCGCCCAACGAGACTAAGCTGTGGGCTCTGGTTCGAGTGCCTTGCTTTGACCTGTCTTTGGTGCGGAGCCCTCTTGCCAAGCTGTCTTTATGGAAGAGATACCTTTTAATTGTTCAGATTGAGCATTGCACAAAATCTGTAATCTTTGCATTTTAGTTTTTGTGGCTTTCACAATTGGACTAAAAAATACTGTAGAGAGGATACTACAGTGACGTACCGTAAACAACTTTTTTGCGAATTGCCTATGATTCGCAAAAAGGACCCACAAATATGTTTCTCTACGGTAGCAGATACATCGCATACTACCCCAATTCGTGAAATTTAGAGCCCGGAAAATATTCTTAAATACCAGTCTTAGCCGAATTCGCAAAATATTGAGCCCGCAAGAACAAAGTCGTTTACGGTAATTTGTTAGTAGGAAAAAAAAAAACATGCATGAAAGAATGAAAAGGAATATGTTCCAATAACACTGAATGCACAAATGTGTAAACAAGCAGGGTAAAATTCAGCTTACAAGGACACTGAACTTTCTTTTTATCTTAGCAAGGTCCAGAGAAAAGTTAAAGGGTAGTTTAGTGCCTTATACTACTGGTAACAGCCAAGGAAACTTTCTGTTACAAGTTTAGTTTATTGCAGAAATGACAACATTCTTTAAAAAGGTTAGGTTTTTCCAATGTCACTTAGCTCTCATTTTATGTTCAGCATAACAAGATTTGCCCCCCTTGGCATTTTTTAAAATTTATTTGAGCATGTTGCAGTCTCTTTTGTGAAGATAAACACATCTGCAATAAGGCTAACATCAGATCAGCACTAAACATTTGCAAAACAAGCTAAAGTATGATACCAGGAAAGTGCACAAGTCATGTTGGAGACCATGTCCTGCAGCATGTAGGACCCTCTTAAAATGTTTGTTCTAACGTGTCCAGCTTGATGTGGAGTGCACAGGTCCAAGTGCCGGTGTCTGCTTTATTGTTTTCTGATGTTCAAGACCCATTAAATATCCGATTGTTGCCATTAACTACCTGAATGTGGCTGCTAGTGGTGCTTGCTCATGGCCTGTACCTTTCGATTGGCTAATTGCCTGAAGGTTGTGCCCCTGCCTGTCTTTCGGTCAACTCAGGATGCCTTCAGCCTATTGGCCTATGCGGACCCCTGGACCAGCCCAGTAGGGTTCCAGCTGGACCCCGTCCAGCGAGAGCCTGTGTGTGCGGCGCTCAACAGTGCAATCTTAGGTGGGAATTTTGCGAGCCTGCTGTGGCTTGCCTGTCCCAATTCTAGCTCAGATTGGGGTCCCAAAGTATTGTGAAGTTGTGTGTGGCTCAGGTGGCCTGTCGTTTCCTGCTGTGTTGTCTCGGTAAGGTGGGGCCTGATCCACTGCCGATGGTCCTTGCAGAATCTCAGAAGCTGCCCCGACGCCCTCCCTTGGAGCTTGCAGTGGCTCACTCGCGGGAGCTGCTCAAACTCATGTCCAAGGCGGGACTGGGATCGTGCGCCTTTGCCAACATCGACTCGCTGCTGCAGTGATTGTGGTACTGTCTCGGTCCCCTGCCATGTAATTATATCTGGAAGCGTCTTTTTTACAAGCCAGCTCGTTGGTTTGACAGCGGACTGTGTGGTGTCCGAGCTCTCCCAGATCACTGGAGGCGCACCGCCCCTGGTCCGAGCTGAGAACTGTTTTTGAGCCTAGTGCAGAAGGGCACGGGCCAAACATATATGCATATATATTATTAAAGAAAGCAAGAACTTTGAGTGGACTGCATTGACTGAGTGCTGCTGTAGTTAAATCTTGCTGTGGTTTAATAAATAAGTTGACACCATTCTGGGGGTTACCGTGTGCAGCGTGGCCATGGTGCAACGCACACATTGCTCCGCATCTCTCGACGTCCAGGCACGGAAGTTTTGTGCATCTGCTTGTGGCAGCCGTCTAGGAATTTGTGGAACCTGCGGTGTGTGCTTTGAAGTAAACTGCCCCTGTCGAACATTGTGCGTGGGGACTCCACTGTCTAAAGGGTAGACATTTTGTTAAGAGTGCCTGTAATGTCTTGCTTACCAGGGAACAAGGCAAGTGATGTTTTAATTACAATTCCCGACTGGAAGCTGCAAAGTTTGACAGATTTCCAACGTTTTTGCTGGGTTCCTGAACTTCAAAATATGAAGTGATTTGCCTGTGTAATTTGGAACTCCCGCCGAATTTGACGACCGGTTGCTGACAACTGCCGCAACATTTTATATCCAGTGTTGAAGCAGCACGCATGTTTGCACACCAAGAACTGTGATTGTGCATTGATTTGCAACCTGGAGTCATTGTTCATTTTGTACATGTATATAACTTTGCATACTTAGCCATGTTAGTGATATGTTTGAACAAAGCTAATGCAGAGAATCCGGTTTTGCCACACTGTTGCAACGGTCTGATGCGAATTTGCTGGCTTGTGTGGCTTCAGTTGGTTCATTTGGAGAAGTTATATACTTACAAAATTACATTATATGTTATGTACTATGATTTGAATGCCTTTTTAAAGCCCATTTTTAGCAACTCCTCATGCATATTTTGTGCAGCGGTCAAACGGACTCCAGAAACGCATCTTCAATGTATCGCCCACTCCTTTCTAGCTGAAATATAGATTTCTAAAAAAATTAATAAAACGGCGAAACATTGTCTGCCCATTAAACGTTGCCATGACATACTGCCTCGAGTCCAAATACCTTGCATGATATGAAAACAAAACTGGTTCTAAGAAGTTCATAAATAAATTTACAAAAATATACCTGAATTTGTACTGTGTCAAAGGAGTTGGGCATTTTACGTGGTATCTGGACAGCCCTGTGGGAAAAAAAAGTTGAAATCTTAATATGTAATAGAAGAAATCCCGAATTTACCAAGAATCTGGCTGAATGAAGTGGGGTAAAAATAAGGTAGATTTTGAGGCCGAATTGAATATGCATGAATGAGCAGCTCTGTTTATATTGTGCAGCGATCATGAGGACAATGGAGCACAAAACGTCTTCTAAAAAGGTGTCTAGAAAAGTAGTTCCTCTCTACTCAACATATTGCTAGTTTCGAATGTACACGTCCTCACCTAGCCCAGGAGATAACCAGCATAAACCTCTGAATCCAAAAAGATTTTTTTTTTTCTTAAGATTGAGAGAAGCTTGCAAATTCTTAAGTTTCTTAAAAATATATATATATATATATACGCCTCGCAAGTGAGCTCATTTTCGTCTTCTGCCAACGTTACTAAAACACTCGGTTGGGAAACTCGCCGTCGAAACCTAGGCCGCTGGCGTCCACCGAGACGGAGCTAAATGCGACAACAACGCCACTCTTTTTCGTTTGTCTGTACTATGGTCACCTCGAGCTTTTTGAAAGCCTGTATTACGTAAAAACAAACGGAAAAGACTCTTTTTGTATGAAATTTATTGGAGTTTAGTACCAAATGATGGGCGCGTGATGTTTTTATCATCTTTAGTTCGCAAGGTTTTGCGGAACAATTAATATTGTTTTCATACAGCCATGCCTCAGCGGGCCTTTCAGGTCCTGACCTAGGTGCATTTTAACGTCGGTGCTTGAACGCGGCGCGTCCGCCGGGGAGACGGGGGTGGCACCCCTGTAACCTCTACCGTTGTACCTGTTCTTAAAGCCAAAATAGAAGTCACGTGCAGTTCTTCGAGAGGCCGCTGCGGGAGAAATGGTGGCGTTGTGTTCGTCATTAGCTCGGTGCTCGGAGACAGGTTGGGGTCACTTTTTCAAAGCTGTCTCTATGGGAGTTTCCCAACTGAGTGTTTTAGTAACGTTGTCTTCTGCGCATGAGAAAGGAAGTAGCGGTGACGTCAGAACGCCGAGCCCTGATTGGCTGATCGCGACCCCTTATCTGAGCGTCGTCTGCGTCTGTCTTACCTTTCCTGCGACGTTTGGAAGTCGAGCGAGCTCGACTTCGCCTTTCAGAGAGGGCAGACGAAATAACTCGAGCGGTACGTTTTTTTTGTATAACAACTAGCAGACGCGCATCAAGGAGGGAAGTTAAAGGACTCACTGGTGACGTGTCCCGAGGCACCGAGGTTTGTTTGCTAAGAACCAAGAATGAGCGTGTTAGTGTCAGCAAATTCCCTCCCAAATACTTTTTCCCCCCTTTCGTGTGCGGCGAGACTCCTCACTCTTTAAAGGGATACTTCAACGAAATTTGAAATATTCCCGTCGTGTTCAAAGATAGGTTGAATATGATCCACAATATCCGTAAATGACAATTGCACGTTTGTATTTTGAGCCTGGTGGCTGTATTTTTCGTTATAAACTGCCCACTCTGGCAAGCGCTCGGAGAAGGCCCAGCGGAGACCACGTGACATCCAACGGAATCGTGACGTAGGTCGTCTCAAGACTAGCAAAGCTACGGCGAGGCTGACGTCGAGAGGATGGCCTAGTCGTTCCAGCCACCGAAGCGGCTTCTTTTCTACAAATTTTGAGTGACGGGTTAATCTTCTATAATCTTGTAGGGGAACAATAGCGACTTCTGTGACACACAGAAGCCATTCTCGGGAAGAGGGGAGTTCCTCTTGCCCCTCTTCTCTCGTCGTGGCCAGAGGCGAGACAACCTCCGTCACTAGCTGCCAAGGTTGCTAGACGGGCATTAGAAGCTAGGCGTTAGCGACATCCACCAGGTGCTCTTTGCTAATCGTTTAATTCGTTTTAAAATTCCTTTTCGTGACTTTTTTAACAAGATATTGGTATGTTCGATTTGATGGTGCTTTTTTGAACACATATAGACCAAAAAATGAGCGCCGAAATTTCGTTGTAGTATCCCTTTAACGGCGTCACTTGGTCGTCGGTGGAATCGTGGCCGTTGAAGCTTTTCCCGGGTGTTTGTGGATCCAGCGTTCTTGTTCGTCGTGGTCTGTTTCAAGTGCTTCTTTTTTCTTGCTGCTTGAAGTTGGGACGCGTGAGAAGCGCACGTAGAAAAATAAACGTCCGTTGGTCGTCGCGACCGCGACGCTGTCTGCCATGCTAATTTGATCGTAAGAAGTGCGTTAGACAGCTTCGGAGCTCTCGTAGGATTTCGTCGTAACCTGTGCAAATCTTACGAAAATTTTGTTTCGTGAATACGAATTTGTTCCCAAGTTTTGTCTTGCACATATTTTTGGCGTAAGACCGTTTTGTGAACCTGGCCTCTGGCCTTTGCACTTTCGAAAGTTGCAGGAAAGGTCAGACAGACGCAGACGACGTTGCGAGCAGACGACGTTGCAAAGGAGCAGACGACGCTCAGATAGGGTGTCGCGATCAGCCAATCAGGGCTCGGCGTTCTGACGTCACCGCTACCCCCTGCGCAAGGAGCAGACGAACTTGCCCTCCGTGAGAAAACTGCGTCCGCTAAAACGTCGTTCAGCCAAATGAGTGCCACCCGTGAGCGCTATTACCAATTTTTGGAAAAACCTGTGTTCATCTCGCCAACGATTTAAATCGCATTCCTCGGTCATTTCGTATCAGATTAAACTTATCCCCTACGTACCATAGGCGTAGGTTGTGTTGTGTTCGTCCCCTTCTGTGTTCCTGAGTCTCGGGTTTTATTACCATGAACCATAGGCCCTACGCCAAGTCTCCAGGAAGTTCGTGCAATCAACATTTTTTTGGTACAAAGTGTCATCATTTTGGAAGTCCGAAATTGCTTGACGTGCCCCTAAAATTGTCTTCACCTGTATTAAAACTACCCCTTTACCGGGATTTTAGCTTTCTGCAATGTAAGGGCACCAATCAGCAATCTGCACTCTGGTGCTCTGCATATTGGTGCTCATAAGGTTCTATCCCCAAAACTTTATTTAAGATTAGTTCGAAGACTCGAATATCTGAATTCATCCACTGATCTCTATGATAATTTGCTGGATCGCGCCTAGAGATCAGCTGCCCATTTGGTGCCATAGGTCGCTGCAGCCGCAAGTGCGTTCACCGGACGGCCATCTTGCATGTTGATAAATCGCCTTTTTGGAGCTTTGCAGAGGCTGGCGGCAGAAACACGGCTTCTACTCGTTCGTCGTCATTCGCCGAATAAGATTTTTTCAAACTTTGTGTAAACGCTGAGACTTTTGAAAACACCTGAAACTTTTTACAAAGCGCAGGGCTGTAAGAAAAAGCACAACTCGTCGAAAGCAAGTTTCGCGCGGCGTGATCAAAACTCCCTTGACACGCCGAAGTGCTGAGTGTCTGTGCGGCATTCGCGCAAACAGTCTGATGCAGCTTCTTACAGGAAAAACACTTCTGTGCTAGCTTCTGCGCTGTGAAAGAGCCGGTCGTCTTGGCTTTGCTGTCAAGGCTATGAATGACGCAGCGCTTTTTTATTCGAACCACTATTCGCACAACCCTAGAAAAAGCTAATCCGAGCTGTTGATGAAACGATTTGTCGATGGAGCATCGTGTGTCGAGGGTCCCTATCGTTTCGTGGACAACTTTTGATGGTCACACATTTCGTCGACAATAACATATCTGCAATAATACTTAAAAAAACAAGCGAGCTGGTGATAATTCATGGTAATAAAACCCGAGACTCAGGAACACAGAAGGGGACTAACACAACACAACGTCTCAAACACAGCTGAAGGTTTATTTGTCAGACACTCGTTTAAAAAGGCGAGCTCCCCCGGTGCCCCAACCGACATCCACAGTCCAGAAGGTCAAGCCGCTTCCTCCCGTCCAGTCCACGTCAGCAGCCCTCCTCGCACACACAGCCCAGAGTCCATGAGAACGTCCACGGAGTTGACGTTCTCATGCTCTTAGCAGTGGTGGCAGTGGAGGGTGATAGGCGCTAGGCGCCACAGCTAGGGTCCATGAGAACGTCCACGGAGTTGACGTTAATTCTCATGCTCTTAGCAGTGGTGGCAGGGGAGGGTGACAAATAAACCTTCAGTTGTGTTCGTCCCCTTCTGTGTAGGGAGATTTTGTCGAGCGCGTATCACTGGGATGCGTGAAGCGTTGGTTAACCCATCCGGTGCTGGCCCTGTGTTGGCCTCCGGCCACCCCGTTGCCCCGTTTACGCCGCTTCGCCACTTCGCGGCGACAGTGGCGACAGCGCAACAGTCGGCGGCGGCTTAAAGCACCGGATATACAAAAATCCAGTGCTTTACGGCGGCTCATTACAAAACATGTTAGCCCACCTGACCGACCTGACCTAAAGCACTGGAAATATTATTCAGTGCTTTAACCTGACCCACCCGCACACGCCGCTTCGCGGCGACGGTCTGATGCAGCGTATTACAAATAAAAGCTAATTAAAGCTGTCGATTAAACGATTTGTCGATGAAACAATCTGTCGATGCAACATTGCGACTCGATGAAACGATCTGTCGATGAAACGTCGTTTGATGTACGGATTTCCACCGGTTCATTGCATCAGCAACCCGATTCATCAGTCTGGGGTAACTGCACGCCTTTTCCATTGTGCTTTGTTTCTTGGGTGAACACTTTAGTCGTTAGTATCTTCATCATTCGCGAGGACGACCTTCCACGAAGTGTGCGGGTGTGCGCGCGATCATTGTACTCTGCATAGAGTTATTATAATGTACAGGGTGTCACAAAAGAAAATTTACACGGTCTTTTTTACCACAAAAATAAACTAAGCATCGCCCAACGCTCATTTTCCGCCCAAAGGTAGAGCTAGAGGTCACAAACAGATGCCAAAGTTTCAGCCCGATCCAATAACTTAATCAAAAGTTATAAGTGATTTTCTGAAAATTTCAATGGGAAAATGGCGGCCGACGGAGTTTTCAAACACATGGGGCTCTATGGCACCGGAAACCGAAAACGGGCAAAATTGGGCTCCATTTTCCCATTGAAATTTTCAGAAAATCACTTATAACTTTTGATTAAGTTATCGGATCGGGCTGAAACTTTGGCATCTGGTTGTGACCTTTAGCTCTACCTTTGGGCAGAGAATGAGCGTTCGGCGATGCCTAGTTTATTTTTGCGGTGAAAAAGACCGTGTAAATTTACATTATAATAACTCTATGGTACACGGAACAGCGAAACTGGCGAAACACTCAGAATACGACAAAGTTAACATAAACGCGATCCTCGGTCTTTTTTTTTTTAATTTTTATGCAGGACGCTAGTTGAAGCTTGAAACATTTTTTGTTTGCGACTTACCGTTCGAGGAAAATGAGAGAACGCGCGGGCGCGCGGGTGCTACGTCAGCTACGTCGTCTGCGTTCCCGTCGATGCGCTGTTGTACCACTCTAGTCCAATTGCTAGCAACATCACTCATGGCTACCTTTTCCATGTGACCGAAGTTCGGTTTCATGATATATTTTAGCAAGGTGTATTCTCGTGAATAGTGAAATGACGGCTTTAACAACACTTCTCAGAGGCGTACGCACCTTAGGGGTTCATCTTCAACCAGCATTTATCCGGCAACCAGTACTGAGCCGGGGTCTTCGAGGTGCTCCTCCCGAGAGTGCAAAAACCTTAGAAGACAAACTCAGAGGTTGGTTTCTTACTCTCTGGCTTATTTGTACGGTGTAAACGTAATCCCAGCTGTTCGTGTGCCCTGTAAAACATATGTTAACTAACCCCATCTTTCTGCGTACTATTGTTTGCACCTGCTTGAGATCCAATCGCACCTGCGATTGGATCTCATTTTTTGCCTTGGTTGGTTTTGTGGGGTTATATTTGCTTTTATTCTCAGAATTGTCTGCTGCTGATCCAGTAGAAGCAAGAGTTGATATTGGATTTCGGCAGTCAGCAATCAAGAACAAAGCACTCCTGAAAGCCCGATACCAACTCTGGAAGGAAAACAAGGATGACTTGGATCTGGCTGAGAGGTCACGGAGCGGAACATGTAATCTCCTAAAAATTTCGATTTCCACCGGTATTCGTTAATCCCCCATATGAGGTGACATTTTCTTTCTCCCCTTTTCAAGTAAAAATATCCTACGAAGAGGCAAGACAAAATTGGCTAGCTGATGAGGCACCCAACCACGTGAAGGAAATTGCCGACCACTACGGCATTTTCAAAGACCTCTATGCATATGGATATTTTCACCCTATTATGTACCTGAACGTTTATTATGAGCATGATGCGGAACATGTGATGCCGGTGTACCATGGAAATCACATCCTTCCATCAGAGGTGAGAATCTTTTGCTTTGGTGCAGTGCATAGTAGGTTTGCTGTAGTGATGTTTATACAGCTGCTTCACTATAAGTGTAATGTGTGTTGTGCAGTCGCAATCCATTATGGGAATCAGTTTGATGGGAACAGTTAACACCGGCCTAAATTGTAGTTACACTCCCTCTCACAAGTCGTGTGCATCTCTATCAAAGGTACTATCAAGATGCAATAAAATAAAAACAATGGAGCGTGTGGTTTTAGGTACATGCTGTGCAACCTAGACACAACTAGGAACTCGTAAAACTGCAGAGTGGAGAGGGGCTATGAGGGTGTGCACATCAGAGTAGGCGCACCATCACAACCCCCTTTCCTCTTGTAGTTTTATTAATTCATAGTTGCCTCTAGGTAATAATAATAATTATTATTATTATTATTATTTAGGCTCTTTACAGTCGTGACACCACAGAAATGCTAGAGGCCCATAGCTAAGAGGTCTGCAGTGATGCAAAATACTAAGGTGATAATGGGATGAATGTATACAGATGGTAAAGTTGTATGACAATGATTACAATGGAGCTTGCACTTGAAAATGAGCAAAGAGAGTAGCATTAAATTATAAAGTTATTAATGAAAGCAGTGAGGCCAAGACACTAATGCTTGAATCCCACTAGAGCGACAAAAAAAAAAAAAAAAAAGAAACCGACACAGACAAGCCTTTAACACATGCAGCGTGCTCGCGATGGTGCCTTTGGCATGCGTTTAGTCGTTCGGTGCTCGTGAAGTAAGCACGAGTGATTGCAAGCCTGCCAAAAATACCCTCACGGGCATGATGCTTGTGTTTGAGCATAGCCTCCTTTATTCTACAATGCCTGTCAAATCCCAAAAGAATCTGGTTTGAGGCTTGTCGCTTTCGGCTGTTTCTGTTTGTGTCACTCTAGTGGCACTTGGGCATAAGAGATTTCTTGTCACAATACCAGCCGACAAAGGGTTGGAATCTCCTCAGGGTCGGTGGGTATTGTGCAGGTCAGCTCGGGGGGCAGTAAGCTCCAAATCTTGAGTGCGCGCATTAAGCAAGTCTCTTGATGACGTAGAGTTCTTGCTAGAAGCGGCTGTAGTCTTTCGGTGCAGGAATTGAGGTGGGGGGCTTCTGATGGCTTCATTGAAATCCCATGAGATTGCACAAGAGGCGGATGGAAGCTGTTACTCGTTGGTGGGCCTGACAGCACCATTTTGCACCTTTGAGTAGAGTCAATCTAGATGTGTCTCTGTAGGTGGATAGCGTAGGTTGGGGGATGCTTCTCCTATGCAGTGTGTAAGCAACCCTCCGCTGCACACCCTCGAGGGATTCTTGAAGCGACTTCTGATAAGGACTCCACACAGGGGAGCAAAACTTGGAGGCATTCCGTGCGTTATTGTTGTTACGAAGCCCAGTGTCCGCCGCCTCTTTTTTACTATGGTACCTGCGTGATTAGCAAAGCTCAGGCGGTTGTTAAAGCTTACTCCCAGAAGTTTGGTGAAAAGACCTGTCTGGAGGGAGACTACCCACGACGAGGGGCTGATTAGGTAGGTTTTTAGCACCAGTGGTGATTGTGATCGTCACGCTCTTTGTAGCATTTAGTGGTAGTAGGTGGTTTAGAGACCACTGGTGGCACGTATCTCTAGGTGGGCTTGAAACTCCAAGTATGAGCGCGGGGAGCTGAGGGGCTTGATTTGGGTCAAGTCGTTAGCATACAAAATGGCCGTAGGACGCAGGTTTTTATTGGTTCCATCAATGTAAATCGAGGAGAGTGGGGTCAACTATACTACCCTGAGGCAGCCCTGAGAGAAGGTCGCGGGATGATGTTGAACCGTGAAACAGTATGCGCTGCATCCTCGCAGTGACCAGGCTGTGCAGCCATTGGAGTAAAGAGCCCTGGATACCTGCTTTACTGAGTTTCATAAAAAGGACATGATGATCAATCCAATCAAATGTCTTTGCTAAGTCAAGTTGTACCAGCTCACGTGGCAGCCGGTTGTCAAGGGACGTACTGAATGTGTGGATTACGACCCCCAGTGCTGTTTCACAGCACCGTCTGGGACAAAACCCATGTTGAGTGTTGGAGAGCACATTGTTTTCTGTGAGGTGGCAGAGTAACTTTTTGTTGATGATACGCTCTGAAGTCCTGCAAACAACAAATGTGGAGGCGATTGGGCGATAAGACTCTATGAGATCAGTGCACATTCCCCCTCCCTTGTAGATCGGGGTGACAGGGGCCTTTTTCCACGACGAAGGCACGGAGGCAGAATCGACAATCCGTTGGGACGGCTTTGTTAAAACTTGGTGAATGTTGTGACATGAAAGTTTAAAGAGTGAAGAATGCACAGCATCCGGGCCGGGACTCTGGAAAGGGCGGAGCCTGGAGAGAGCATCTTTTAAGTCGTCTTCTGCTATGGTGATGGGGGGAAAAAAAACGGTGCTAGTACTTGGGGGTGCAGTGAGAGCATTCTCTGCAGGCATTGGAGTGGTCAGGGGAGTGCTGCTGTGGGACCAGATTGAGATGAAATGAGAGCTGGAAAGTTCAGCTATTTCTGTTGGTAAAGTAACCGGCTTCTTGTTGTGGAGAAAACGGGGGCTCACCGATGTTTTTCGCTGGTGTTTGACGTAAGCCCAGAAGCGCTCGAGTTCTTTCGTTACCAAGGCCACTATGTCCATTGCATACTTGAAGTGGGCTGTATAGGCTTGCTTTTCTATTTCCCTCTGGAGAGATTTGGCCTCTGCTAAGCAAGACGAATAGTTCTTCCGCTTGGCCTTTGGCAGTGCAACATGTATCATAGGCCGCGTGCTCCGCTGTTCACATTTTACTGCATCTTGATAATACAGGTGCAAGAGAGTAGCCTTGACTCTCCCCTGACGATTATATATTCCCCATAATTTTCTACAAAAAAGGTAGTCAACTATCAGTAACTTGTTTTTTTTTAATCTTCATTAGAGCTTTGTACTAACATATCTGGTCATCAGTAGAAGGGTTGAAAGTTGGTCTTGAATCATGATATGTAAAAAGAGTGCATAAAAGAAGGACAGAATAGAAACACATACGACAGGCAAGCGTTTCAGTATTCGCCGTTATAAAAATTCGTCCACTGCCTGTTATGGCTGGGAAAGGTTTTTTAGCTACAGCTTGTGGACTTTCTTATTGGCTAAGTTTGCAAGCTTTTCTTTGTGCACTTTGATAACTGTTCCCAGGCACTCTTACTGATTTTGAATGGTGATTTAATGGCTAAAGACCGAAGTTTCCACCTCTCAGTTTGACGAGGGTTTGCTAATAAACTGCTCTGTGTCATTGCAGTAGTGCAGGTGTCCTGCCTTTATATTTCCTATCGTTTACAGTTGTGCTCATTGTTAGCAACCATATTTCAAGCAATGGCAATGAATTCTAGCACGTTTGCCCTCCGCTTAATTTTTTTCTGTGCAATTTCAGGCATCCCAGGCTCCGTCAGTTTCTTTTGACTCCGAGCCTGACGCGCTTTGGTCACTTGTCTTGACAAGCCTGGATGGCCATCTGCTTGATAATGACAAGGAATATTTGCACTGGTTTGTGTAAGTATCGCTATTTGATTGGCAATATAGTCTTTAATCTATACTTCGAACAGTCTGGCAGTTGCTTGTGATACTTCCTGGAACATGATGTAATCATGCCAGTGAACCCTCTCTTACTCATTGGTAGAGACAAGTTTCTGCATAGATATCTTGTGCTCATGACTGGGCGTTGCATGCATATTACTGTAAAATACAGAGGAAGCACCACATTTGTGCAAGTGGCCACTGTCGGCTTTTACAGACTTGAAAAGTGTAAAGTACATACCAGGTGCCTGTCCAAAAGAGTTGTCATTGGCCAAAATAATACCGAATTTACTTAAACAAGCAAATAAAAACAAGAAAAACCAGCTACTCGTTTCTTTCATGGGCAATCTGCTAAGGGCATAGAACACTCCTCAACTGGGAAGAAAACTAAAACAGCCTTGACGTGCGTTGCACGACTGCTGAGCACGTAAAGTCATTTCAGTATTCTTGGTAGGCAGCTTTTTTCTTTGGGTAGTTCCTTTTATTTTTGTTCACATTCATGTTTTTGAGATGAATGTTCGAGGAACATAAATCACTTAAAAGGATTGAATTTGTACCTTGAAAAAGCTTTCTTAGAGTTTACGGGGTATTGCTCTAAATGCCACAGTTTGTCGGTGTTTGCAATCTGGTAGAAGTTTCATTATTGACTGATATCTTTCTTTTTGGTGCACCAACCAAACAAATGCTCATGCCTTTGTTTCACTCGATTTCCTCCAAAATTTAGGGTGAGTGCTTCTTTGGTATCTCACAGTATATGCTTTTTGTCCCACAACTGAAAGTAAAAGCAAAATTTTATTATTCACCATAAATGGCAAGCACAGTTAGTTTAGGAACATTGTGATGTGCAATTGAGAGATTCTGCTTTTTCCCTCTCCATCAGGGGTAATATCAAGGGAGGCAATGTCGCAAACGGTGAAGTAGTCTGCGACTACATGCAGCCATTTTTGCCTCGAGGCACAGGGTATCATCGGTATGTCTTTGTTCTGTACAAGCAAGAAGGTCTCATTGACTACTCAAAGTTCAAGTTGCCCCCAAAATGGTAAGAATGCTTTTTCAGAAATGTTTGTGCAGTATTACCTATATCAGCTTTTGGGTGAAAAGTTCCTGGGTCAGCTATCTTTTGGAGGGACAAGCTTCTTGCAAAGTGTACCAATCTGAAAAAAATTAAGCCTGCTTTTTTTTTGTTTTTTTACTCAAAGTATGTTGATTTGCTTCAGTCACATTATGGTGGCAGGATTGCCACCAACCAGCAATCACAAGATTGTCACATGGCACATGTCAATCAGACGTCGGCCCTCTTTTTCTGTTTCAGTTTTCTACTTTGTGAAACTAAGTATTGCCATAGCCTGTAGCATGGTTTTCTAGAATATTACCTTAATATCATGAGTCATCGCCCACCTTACTTTTTTTGGCGAATATTGATTTCCAAAAAAACACCGATTGGAGGACGTCCATGACAAAGTAAAATGAAGGAAGGAAAGGCACTTCACTTTGTTCACGCATTTCCTCCCCGATTTTCACGACCTTGAAGTACATCCGTGCAAAAGGAAAACTGGAAATGTTAAACTTTGTTTTGCCTACAAAAAAATTTAATTGCACACAAAAAAAAAAAAAAATTGGAAAGATAACATGGCAGTAACCCATTCAGGGATTACGAGGTCAGCGAACGCCCCATATCCTAGAATGTAACCGTGGAGTTTGTCTGCACCAAAGTAAGGTCACCGCGAATACTTAGCCATTCTTCTAAAACTTCGCGACCGCGGTTGGTATGGTTGTGCAATGCTTGAGACAAAGCCAACGGGAAAATATAGATTTGCTGGAACGCCGCACACAGACAGACGTTCGTAAAGCAGCCCATTTTGAGCTCCGTGTTCGTGGTGCCGTCGACGCCACGCAGCAACACTGCTTCAAACTGCATTGATAGCATGCCGCACATGGACGCACAGATGTATGCACCAAACCAGAAAGTCACAAGAACCTGCTCCTATGATTGACAAGGTGCCCGACGCCAAAGTATTTCTTAACGCAATTGCCGGCTTTCCTGCTTCCCCAGCATTGCTCTTCGTCGCTGCTTTTGCTCTCTCATTGCGCCTGGTTGGCTTTTCTATTTTCTTGTTGGCTCCTCTCTTACATTTAACACATAAAATGCTTTCACGGAACAAACGTTTGCCCTGTTTGCAGTTTTCATCGTGCATGTGCAAGCAACAGACTTTGCGATAGTAAAGCATTTTTTCATGAGCATTTCTTGTATAAAACAATGAAACTAATTCGAGTGAGTTTAATGTACCTCCTGTGCAGCTGTGTTGGATGCGTACAGGAAAATGGGTGTTTTTGTTTTTTACTTTTTCCAAAAGTTTGTGCTTACCTACCGAGACATGGCCCACCCGTCTTTTTTATGAATTTCAGGTGGCGGGGGGGGGGGGGGGGGGGGGGTGTGCTTGGGATATTACAATAGGTGTGTCTGCATGTCTAGGCAGGAAATCTTCGCTCTTGTTAACTACCAACGATTAGTCATGATTGAGGATGTTTAGGATATTCTGGCAATCTAGGTAAGTGTGTCCTTGGACACTCAAGTTATGTGCAGAACCCTTACTTGCATCTCATTTTCCAGCACCAGCCTGGAACAGAGGACATTCAAAACACACAACTTCTATGAGGAGCACGAGAAAGTTTTGACCCCAGCTGGACTGGCATTTTTCCAGTGCACTTGGGAGGACAGCCTCATGGACTTCTTCCACAACACTCTGAGTGAGCCAGGCATTGGCATTGAACTGCGTCCGATATTGCCTTGATGGCAGATATTTAATGAGCAAACATAACTTTGATTCGTCCCTAGATGGCAAAAGTGACCCACATCATATATTTGACTCAGACCTTGCCCTTAGATATCTCTGGTCTGGAGAATTTTCTGTCATGATATGGGAGACCCTTCCCTAGGGGCAAACACAACCACTGGAGGTGTCCTTTCGGCTCCACAAAGCAACCAATCGCATCAGGCGAAGAGCTTATGAGGTGGATCAATGGCCTGTATACCCCACCTCAAGATCTCTCGTGAGCGTTTGCAAAAGCTTCACTGCTTTTGCAGCATTTCAAGAGAGGTTTTCAATAGCTGGCACCCACACCAGTGTTTTCCCAGAGATGCATTTGAAACTACCAACATGCATGAGGTGCAGCGGCTGAATGCTGCCATGAAGAAAGTTTCGCCAGGCAGTGACTTTTTTCATTTCATGGAACATCCATGGGAAAGCAGGTGCCGCCAGGTGCTGCGATCCTGAATGCACGGCTACGGAGTCGTCTATCACAGCAATTTATAACTATAGTAATATAGAAAATGCTTTCTGCCCAAATGCAAGTTCTACCTCGAGGACTACCGTAAAATCCCGAGCAAGCGCCCGCTTAAAATTTTGAGATGATGCAAAAGTGGAGAATGGGTGCTGCTTAAGTCAACAATATGTAAAGATATGTCTTTTGTTTATTTTCCAAATGTTAAAAAATTGAGGGGTGGGCGCTTATTGTGGGTGTGGCAGATGGTTGGTATTTTACGGTATTTTGTTTCTCTTAAAGGGACATTAAAGACGTTTCTGAGATTGTCTGTTCTTGGTGATAACGTATCTTGCGGTCTCCAAGCATCCTAGAAATCTAAAAATTATGCTTGTGTGACGTCTATTTCCCTACTAAAAATGTGATTGAAGTGGAGCGGAGGTGGTGGCACCGCCCCGCTTCCGGTAGCAGAGGCATTGCCCCGGCAGCGGAGGCGGTGCCTCCGCTGCCCGCGCCTTTGTTTGCAATTGGCTGATGCGCGCTTGTCATCACGTTGCCGGCGCCTCCACTGAAATCTTTGCTCCTGCTTTTTCTGCTCAGAAAGGGGCGTGGCACAATCTTCGATCCCCTTTTCAGTAGGAAAATGGAGGTTGCACGAGCATATTTTTCGACTTCTGGGTTACTAATATCCCATAGAATGAGTTAACACCAAGAACAGACAATCTAAGAAACGTCTTTAGTGCACCTTTAAGCTTTATACGGTCTCAAGCACCCGTTTGAAACGATGGTGACATATATCGGGGAACAAACCAACTTAAGTAGAAATTGGCAGTTACCAGACCAGGGGCATACCAACAATTCTGGTCATAATTTAGGCTGCCTGGTCTTTTGGAATTTACCAAAAAATAATGAGACATGCATGCCCTGTTTTTTTTTTTGCCAAATTGATGAAAATGGATGGCCACCAATGATCTATTTGGTTTTGGTTGCTTCTGTTCCTGGCACTTCCTTTGTAGGGAAGGGTTGCAGTTCTTTACATATCCAATAAGACAGGCTTTTCCTTGCTCTGCTGCTGCGTCTTGGCACTTTGTGTGTAAATTTTTAACAAATTTTAATGTGCTGGAGTTTTTCCGGTGCAGAATGAGTACAGATCAATAATTTTTGTGCTTTACTAAATTTTGAGATACCCTGCTGATACTGCCATAAATGACAACATAAACCAGAAGCTCTAATCATAAGCTTTGCCACACTGCTGAAAAAATTGTGAATGCTGCGATAGATGGGACCTTCAACAATTGGTGTAAACTAATGACAGATGTGGAGATAAGCAATATGTCAAATACCGGCTGGAACAGGCACATGAAAGGGTGTTATTCAGGAAATCATGTTACTAATGACTAGTAACTTGCAAGCAGTTATGATCACAAGCTAAGACTGTTTTGATGGCTGACTAAATTGCAGAAATGAGGGCACCAACCTTCGAATATGTGCAGCCACCAGAGTATATCCCCAAGCAGGTCACGTACCCACACAAGGAACCTTTCAACATGTAAGTGGTTTGCAACATCTTTCTCAAGTTTTTATGGCAGAGATTGAAGGGCTCGCTGCACAGGTGAACCGAGTCAGCTCATGTTGACTACGACGTGCCTCAAGATTGACATTCAACTTCCGCATCATTTGTACATTAATCTGGCAAATCTGCTTGAGCCACCGGTGGTGCAGGAGTTAAACGTCAGTGCCGGGAGCACCGTGGTCTATGCTTCTTTGGGGAGAATGACAGGTCGGCTTTGAGATCCTCCCAGGAAGCCCTTCGGTCCACGTGTGCCTGGGAGCCCCCCCCCCCCCCGACTTCTAGGCCCTTCGAAACGACCGACCTTTGTGCGATTGAGACTGTGTGTGCACAGATACCTGGACAAGTACCGAGACCCACGTGACCTGAGGGAAGAGGTGTGCCTCAAACGGCTAAGGAAGCTGAACCCACTTGAGGAAGAGCCGCCCATGCCGAAATACCCCAACATCTACAAGGTGCCGCAGGGAACTCCGAGCTGGCTTGTGGATGAAATGCGAAAGGAGCGTTTCCGGATAGGCAAGTTCGTTGGTTTGGTCTGTTGTACAAGTTTGTGCTTATCGTATCATGTTTTTATAGGCAAATACCGAGACCTACGGCCATTCTCGCTCTATCCCGAGGCTGAGTACGAGGACCCCAAGGAGAAGGCGCTGAGGGAGCAAGAGCAGCTGGAACGCGAGTGGGCAGAAGGAAAGAGAAAGAAGCCCGAAAAATCACCTTAGGTCAGGAGCAGTAGAGTCCCAACTGCTATTGTTGAGGTGTGTGTTGTTTCTTTACTTTCTGTGTAGTAGAAAAGTCCCAAACTAAATGACGGATGTGTAATTTAGAAAAAAAAATCGGCTGGTGGAATTAAATTGACCCCATGAGAAAAATGTTTGAAAACACATTTAGCTTTTAATGTAGAGTGGCATGCCTATATTTAATGCACATCTGTAAACGACCTACATCGTAATCCTACAGCCACCAGCAGCATGCCAGTGTCACAACCTGTGGAATCGTGAGAAAAACCCGAGCATAATGAGCGGGAAATGTTTGAACTCGCTCTACAGTTCAACTGTATCCAATCATGTAATAATAATAATCCCATAATCGTGTGTTCTATTTTGGTTGCATTTAATTAGTTGTATTTGTTTTGGAGACCTTCGACACGTTTCGCTCTTGTCGCAGCAAGGAAAGGATTTGTGCAGATGGCAAATTTGTTTGGTGTGGCCTTTCTCCAGGTTACTGTGTGTCAAGTAGTCAGCTACTGCATTGCAATTGATACCGTTTGAGCATATGTATTCTTATGCCTCATTTGCTACATCTATGGGTTTTGAACACACTTCCATTGAATCACACTTTGTCTTTTACGAGAAATGCAGTAATCACAAAATACAGAGAAAATGTTTTATTGCATGGCAGTAATGGCATGCATTTTTGTACAATTCAGACTTAATCCACTGTGTAGAATTCTAACAGCACTTTTTTTCTTTTGCAGGAACCAAATGCTGGAGGCCTCTTCTTTGGTGCATAGCATTAAACATGATTTAATTTATCATCTTGTCAGCACCTTCAGAGCCCATGGGGGCTCTACACGAACCATTCCTGCTACTTTGCTCTTAAAGCAGGAAATGGATCCTTCAACTTCTTTATAAATTTGTAATGTAGTTTTGAACATTTTACATGTCGATATGGTTCATGATCAGTAATTTTTTTGCAGTTAAGTGTCAACAATTCCTACAAGGAAGAAAAAGCTATTGAAAAAGTTGCGTTCCAAATAGCGTCATCACTTAAAGGGGGGGGGAATTGAAACTTAAAATATATGCGAAACGTTCAGAAATAAGCCAAATAGAATCAATAGTACCTGCAAATGATAATTGCACGCTTCTATTTTTAGCGGATGGCTATATTTTTCGTTCTTAATGCCGGATTTTGGCGAGCACAGTGTGGCCCGGGAGATCCGTCGTGCCCGTGATGTCATCGTGTCTGGCAGGGCCAAGCATACTGTAGTTGTGAGCTTTGCCACTTCGTAGCGTCGACGCGTTACTACCTCGCTTTGTCGAGGTAGCCGAGGACTGAACGACTAGATGACCGCACCATCTCCAATGCATTCACAGAGTGCTTGCGCTGCAGGCTGCCTGAGGTTGTGTGTGTAGAATACCACATCAACACGAAGATCATCCTCTACAGTGACGACATCAGTCGGCTGCTCCGGCTCGCTTGCAGTGAGATCACAGCCAAGCAATGCGGTTATTCGTTGAAGCCATGCTGGTGTTTGGTCCACATACTACTTTAGCGCTTTTGTGCTCCTTTCGTAGTAAAGCCTTTACTACAAAAATGATTGCTGCACAAGCTTGGGATACGACGGACAAACGGCACAGACAGCTTCCGTAGTTCCTCCCGTTTACGAACTGGTGGGTCAGTGCACCGGCCTCTCATGATAGTCAATACACTATACTGCTGCTCAATCCCTCTGCTGCATAATAGCACGGCATCCGGCTGTTTACAGACAATGATCGTAAACATTTGATCTGTCCAACGAAGCAACGAATCTTTTTGAAGGGGATGGTTGCTTGGCTGTCAACACAAAAATGGCCCTACGAAGTTTGCTGACCAATCGCGCTCGTGTACAGGCTAGATTCTAATACACTAGTACGCCATACTCTCATAGTGCAGTGCTGCTCTTACGGGTTCAATAACAAGAGAACCCTTCACTGAAGCTTCAGGAGTATCGACTAGGTGAAATTTGTGGATCGTTAATTTCGCTTTAAATTATCTTTTCTCACATTTCCGAACCAACGACTGGTGTTTTAGGTTATTGTATTCGATGGGCCATAATTAGGCAAAGTACTAAAATTTTGTTTCCATACCCTTTTCAGGTGGTCATGCAATTGCCTCTTTAGGCCTAGTATTTCCTATTCAGCACATACTAATTTAGATTAGGTTGCTTTGTCGAAAGACCAAGTTTGTGCGTTTCTGTTCTTGCCATAATGGACATGTGAGAAACTTGGGGCACTTTGCAATAAATGAATTAGATCACAATTTTTGCGTACTGGAGCAAATACGACAAGTATGAGCTTGAAGCAGAGGTGCACACATTGAGGGACTGCTTTTCCAAATTCTCAAGCAAGCAGCTTGTGCTTACGGTTTCCTTAAAGGGGCCCTGCAATCATATTTAAGCGTCTACCTTTTTAGCGGTTTCCACGTCTCTTTGGGTCCGGGCAAGCCAGCGGGCACGGAGAGAGTAACTAAATATTAGTGCGTCATATTTTAACCGGACAGCATGGAAACCTCCTCCAGTTACAAGGGCGACCCGCGGTGCCGAAAGTGCGCGATATGCAATGTTTTTGGTCCTTGGCTTACTACTGGTCAGAGCCGCTAAAAGCTTCTTTTTAGTCGAAATACAAAATATAAGTGGCGCGAATCGTTTCAATTATTTATAAAAGTAGTTTTTGTTCAGTATTTTAGATCAGGAAAGAAAAAAAATGGTTTAGAAGGTATGAAAACAAGAAATGACCCGTCGACATACCCGCCACCAAGTGGTGGAAAAGGCGACGCATACTAGAAAGGTGTAGTGGGATCAGACACCAACGAGCGTAGAAAGGTCCCAGATGTACGCGTCTGCGCTGCAGTAGTATGGACTGGAGGATCCGACTGGTTCCGAGTGCTCCGAAGGCCTTCGGTGAGCAGCTTTGGCCTGCAGTTGGGGCGTTTTGCGAAGTGGCTCCCGTTCTGAACTGATCTTTACCCCGTGTTTGCTGTCGTTTGTGGCCAGTAAAGTGTCATGCCGAATTAGTGTTTAACCGCACAGCAAATGCAATGCGAGCCGCCCTGGCTGCCCGCTTCATACAGGCTATCCAGAACATGCTTTAGTGGCGCCCTGTCGAGCCGTCAACACGGAGTGCGGCAGCCGTGAGCGCTCGCCGAGCTCACTACCCCTCCTCTCGATCACGGCCACTCAAGCGACCAAAGATGTCATGAAGGAAGTTATTTTTTGCTTGTTTTTGTAATTTTAATTTGCCTATAACTTTTAAAATAAAACGAAATTCGAGAAAAGAAAAGTTCCATTATGTTCCATTATGTTATTTATGTTCAGTGCACTCAGGTTCGGTGTAAATTAAAAACCAGTAAAAAAGTCCTTGCAGGGCCCCTTTAAGTCTGGGGAATAAACAGTATGAGAGTGCACTTCTTTCAGTTCCCCTTCACGTGCTACCGAAAAGTACATTCGCGGTTGATATGAAGAAGCCCAGGCGAGCGCACGGCTTGGAAGGCCTGCAGCCCTATCTATCGGAGGAAATCTCAAGCATTATCGGACTTCAGTGGCTGTTAAATTTTTGTCATCACTCTCCACTTGACGTCTGTCGCTGAGTTTATGCTGATGTCAACGCTAAGTGTCAAAAAGTCTAGCAAAAAAAAAAAAAAAAAGGCGAGATCAAACGAGGTTGAAATTACCAAGTGGCAAGTTGAGAAATCAGTTAAAAAGTGTTTGATATTCAGATCACTGAATAAAAGAACGGGAGTAAGAAAAAAAATTGAATAGCCACTAAAATGCCGGTTGTGCACAGGTCTTTGGAGCCGCACGATCGCCTGGGCCTTTCATGTCATCCGCATTTACATGCAAAAAGCATAATGTTTTCCCCTGACAACCAAAACTTTTTTTTTTTTTTTCTCAAGGTAACAGCAAGAGGAAATGTAGTTTTTAAATTGCACTTTAAAACAAAACTGTTTACTATATATATATTCTCCGCATCCAGGGCAAGTATGTTAGTTTTTGGTTTTCAATGATTAGTGAGCACTATATATACTCCATATCACCTTATGATGTACCGCAGAAAAGGCTACAAGCGCAAGCTCCTTGGTCTAGTGCACATCTCGGCGGCACAAGCTTTCGTGCATTAAAGGGATACTTCAACGAAATTTTAAATATTCCCGTCGTGTTCAAAAATAGGTTGAATATGATCCACAATATCCGTAAAAGACAATCACACATTTGTATTTTGAGCCTGGTGGCTGTATTTTTCGTTATAAAAGGCCCACTCCGGCAAGCACTCGGAGAAGGCCCAGCGGAGACCACGTGACATCCAACGCAATCGTGACGTAGGTCGTCTCGGGACAAGCAAAGCTATGGCGAGGCTGACGTCGAGAGGATGGCCTAGTCGTTCCAGCCATTGAAGCGGCTGCTTTTGTACGAATGTTGAGTGACGGGTTAATCTTCTATAATCTTGTAGAGGGACAATAGCAACTTTTGCGACACACAAAAGGCATTCTCGGGAAGAGGGGAGTTCCTCCTTCCCCTCTTCTTTCGTCGTGGCCGGAGGCGAGACAACCTCCGTCACAAGCTGTCAAGGTTCCTAGATGAGCATTACAAACGTGGCGTTAGCGACATCCACCAGGTGCTCTTCGCTAATCGTTTAATTCGTTTTAAAATTCCTTTTTGAGACTTTTTTTAACAAGATATTGGTATGTTCGATGTGATACTGCACCTTTGAACACATATAGACCAAAAAATGAGCGCCTAAATTTCGTTGTAGTATCCCTTTAAGGGCGGCTGCCAACGCTATGAGCTCGCGCTTCTAGCCTTTGCTGCGGTACAACATAAGCTGAAACAGGGTATAGTCTTAACAAACTAGACTGCCTTGCACAGCCATCCACGTGCCTAAATATACAGCTGCGAAAGAAAAAATGGATAAAATGGAATTGGACAGCAACAAGAGTAATTCAGGTTTCATGATACTGATAATCAGCTGCTAAGGAATCGCAGTTGTGAGAGACGTATTCCAGGATAAGGGCTTCAGCCTCGTTTAACAGTTTTGAACCAAGCAAGCTTTCGAAGTCTTCACTCAGTCCAAGAGCTTTTAGGCTACTGCCGTGAAAAAGCAGCAACTTCTGAAAAAGGGAGACAAGAAAGCATTTGCACCGTTGCAGTTCTATTTTTGAATTCCCACTTTCGGCATCCTATCAAAATGCTAATGTTTTTCTTCAGCCTTTTTGTCCTTAATTTTTTTCATAAATTAATATGAATGTAGGTATTCATTCCAGCCCAAGATTAGTGAGCACGATGAACTGAAATGCAACCTAAAAATATCAGACTTTTCCTGCCAGGTGTGCTGCTCACAACCTAATAACTACAAGCAACGCTATTAGAACTAACTCAGTTCTGGAACTCCGCTCCGGAGGGGGGTCCATTTGTGTGGCGCGCGCTCCGCATTAATACTCACTATCATCATTGACGGCGCGCTTGTGGCCGTTGCCATAGAGATCGTACATGGCCGTTGCATCTGGCCTACTGAGCTTGCGGATGTTCGTGGCGCTTTTTCTGACAGTAGCAGACGACTTTCAAATTGTTTCTGCTGCAGTTGGTAGTCATCGGCACGTCTACTATTACAGTATGTACAAACTTACCCTGATTGTAGCCACCAGATTGTGGCGCTGACGAATTTGGGTTGTTCGAAACGCTTCGCACTGTCAGCACAGCTAAGGCAGCATCATTTTACAATAATGCAAAGCGTATGCCAAACGGTCGTAGCGCTTTTCGTGCTCAAATTTTAATTTTTACTGGCGAAAGGGCAAAAATTAACCAAAAACCATGCTGAACCTCGAGAGGAATCGGGACTCGCAAGCAGCCGCGGAGCAGTAGCAGACGAAAACGCGTGGAATAATGCGCCGGCAGTGCCACCTAGCTGCAAAAAAATCGGACACGGTTTCGGAACCCCTCAAATGTACAGCGTCTATGGGAAGTTCCATAACTGGGCTGATCTAGTAACAATGACTACAAGCCTATTGTAGACTATGATTGTAGATGACGACTGCTTGTTTGTAAAAAATGTAAAATGGGAGTGTGATTTAGGATGATGCAGTATTGCATGGAGATGGCACAAAAACATGACACCTGAAATGCACAAAGAAACCAGTAAAGCCTTTGCAACTCAATGCTGTAACTGGCAAAGGGGGTCTGGTGGTACAGGGTACAGCGCATACCCTATGGCACATTGACCTTTACTAAACCGCATAAATTAGTTTCTAAACGGATTGCGATATAATTTAGCACGGGGGTGTAAATAGATGTGCGGCTTTTAGTAAACATGGGATGAGCTCATTTTAGTATAAAGAAAATTACAAACACCCCTTTTCTATGGGCTAAGCTTTACTCCTGTGGATCCACCAAATGACATGGCGGACCACTTTGGCATACATTTTGGGAAATAAAGGGGATAAGATGTAAAGCAATTTTATTCAATTTACCTTACACCAGACTTTGTCATAACAAAGGCCACAATGCCATTTGATGAGTTTGCACAACAAAGCAGCTGGACGTTTGCACATAGAAAAAAAAATATTACTTTTTTTTTTTTTTAGTTGGTTAACTTGTAGGTTTGTACTTCATGCAAAAGATTGTGATGTGCCATACAAAATGGAATGGAATGTTCCATTTGTCTGAAGTGACAAAAATGAATGCCCACCTTTTCACTTGCCCTGTTGTTCTGATTGGGTAGCTTTTCTATCATTGCAGTGCTATCAATTGCTCGTCCCACTGTCCACAACTGCAAGTGGTATCATAGGTATACATGATCAAAAAATAAACTGCAAGTAATATCAGGTACATATGATGAAAAAAAATAAAGACTAGATTTGTCACTTCTGCTAAACAATGTGCAGTATTTACGGTGTGACACAATTAGCTCGAGTGCAACTTTCTTTTTTTTTTTTTTTTTTACTTTTTGCATTTTGCTTTTGAATGTTAGCCTCGAATTCTAAAGTTGGTACAAGTTATGCACACATTCCACCACACTGGCAGTTCCACCGGCAAATTTTTAACAAAAAAAAACATTACATTTGGGCCAAGTACGCCACAGATTGTGCACCAAGGAACATTTTGAAACGCAGTGTAACTTATAAATGTCGCTTACCTTAGAAAAGTGGTAAGGCTTTGAACGTACTTTGTGACCCTTTGGAAGGTATACTTCAAAGTAAACTCTGTCGACTAGAGGGATGCTCTTTTCTCCTGCAGCATGCATTTTCATTCTCATCAACTTGACTTTCTGTGCTGTTGGAGAGATGTTTGCTCTGGCTGATGCAGGCTTCTCACTGGGTTTCTTTGCTTCTGAAACAATTTAAATGAGCAATCAGTTAGGGCACTGCTTTCTCTTTTTTTTTTTTTTCTTCCTTTGTTTTTTAACAAATGTGGAATGATGTCTTGTGCTGTGTGCGTGCCAAGTTTCCTGTAAAGTACACTGTTGATACTTGGAAAACAAGGTAGCTGGTTGCTACTCATAATTAAAGACACACCTGAAATAGAGGAACACATAGAAGAGGTTTTTGTAATTACGAGCAATACTCTGTGGGGATTGTACTCTCCAAAGTGTTTGGTGCCAGGGAAAAAGTAAATACAAGTATAGACACTCCTTGTGGCACAACTTGCTACATCATGGCAGCAGTTCTCATGACTTCGACGCCACGACTGCTACCGTATTAACGTTGCCACCAGTAGACTCCTCCCTTCCAAAGCCACATATAGTGTGAAAGTTCATGGCTCTGCTGCAACATCACACCAGTCGCTAATCATACAGAAAACAGGTTAAAAATGGCAATGGCCTGCTATCCCTCGACTACACGTGTGCCTTACTGTGATCTAGAATTGTTTACCTAGTATTTTTTGCACCACTTGGGTGGTAAGTGGCATGTGCTCCGACGGAGACGCGAGGTACTTGCACTTGTGATCCTGCGCATGGCGATGGTGCACACAAAAGTTGTCACTGCAGAGGGTACACACAACGGGCATTAGCTCCTTCTGTTTGCAGTCACCAAAAGTGCAGCCGAAGAGTGTGCCAGTCTTGCTGTTCTTTGCTTGGCTGTCGGTGAGCACATGCGTCTGAAACACGCCCAAATAATTTATGTTGTACCCATGGGTTTAGTTCTCAACTTCGCCGCTATACTCCGTGTCACTAGTAGTTGCGTGCCGTACAGGCGAAGGCAATGCCAGGTGAGGGGAGAAAGGGCAAGCACTAGAAAGGCTGGGGCAGAAGAGAGGAACCTCCTCTCCTCTCTAATGTCCTAGTGCTCTCCCTTCCTCCCCTCGCCCTCCAGTGCCTTCCTCTCCCATTCGGCCTTCCTCTCTTCACCTGGCGTTGCCTTGGCCTGCACTGCACACAACTAGTGACACGGAGTATAGGGGTGCGATGAATGGATCTACAACCCCAAAGGGGTCTCAGATTTCCCCCTTCTTTCCCTCCCTTCCCTCCTCCTCCTCCTCCTCCTCCTCCTCCTCCCTCGCTCTCCCTCCCTCCCTCCCCCCCCTCCCTCCCTCCTCTCCTCCCCCCCCCCCCCCTTCGTTGAAATCCTTGGGGGGGGGGGGGGTCTTAGATCCCCCGAGACCCCACTGACTTTAAGCAATGTACATGCTGATGGGACCAATCAGACAACATCAAAAGTGCATTATCATTGTGTTCCTCATGTTTATGTGTGTGGTCTATCATCGCTGGACCAATCATGTGGAGGGAAGGCTTAGTGACCTGCACTTTTGACACTGATTGGTTCCATTAGCTCGTAGCATCCGAACTTAAAACAAAGTATAGCGCTCACCTCTATTTGGTCGCAAACGTGGGCGTCGGATGTCCTGTGGTCGTTGCTGTTGAAGGAAAGCAACCATTATGAACACTGAATTCAGTCGTTAGTTTCACTGGAGCTGTGCTAAATGCTTAGCTACAGGTCCCCAAAAAGGGCGAAAATTGGCCTCATCTTCCCATTGAAATTTTCAGAAAATAACATAGCTTTCAAATAAGATTACGGCTCATGCTGCAACTTTGGCATCTGGCTCGGACCGCTAGCGCTACATTTGGGCGGAGAATGAGCGTTAGGCACTGCAGTTTATGTTTGCTGTAAATAAAAAATAAATAAAAAGTGACGCATATTATTATTATTTTTTTCTTCTTTTTAGAGAGGGAGGGGGGGGGGGGGGGGGGGGGAAGGGACACTGCAGTAGTTCAGACTTCGTTGTACTTTTGCTCGGTCCCTATCTCGTGGAAACTACACTATTCTCTAAAAACGATCACAATTTTTTTTTTTTTTTTTCATAGGAATATATAGCCGATACGTGGGTGTGCTTACCAAAATATTTTCTTGCAATGTGCGCACTCGAAAGGCAGGAAATCTGAAATGAAACTAGAAGTTGTAGTTCAAAGGGACGGATGAAGAAAGCCTGTTGGATTGCGGCCTCGAAAGTACTTGTCTTTATGACTGGCACAGATGGAACGAACTAATTGGGATGACGTGCAGAATGGGGCACGGATCGAGTTCAAGTTCTCGGATATTCGTAATAAGGTTGTCTCGCCACATTTAAGCATTATTACTGGCTTTGAAGACCCTATATTTAGCTTAAAATAAATAGAAAAGAATGCTCACAATACCTAAACGATTGCACGACTCCACGTGACAATGTTTACCCAGCTGCGGCAGTTCAGCCATAGTTTATCGTTGGCACACGGTGACGACGGTGACTCGCCAGCTATGCGCTATGGACGCTATGTTACAAATGCAACTCTGATGCAACAGCGATTATAAACTGCAGCTCAAAGCGCTGTACACAAATGCAGAGCAGGGATTGTTGGTTCTCTAGCTCATTTCACCTGTTTTGTCACGACCACGGTGGTCACGACAGAAACCCTACGACCCTACTAGCGCCACTGGCGCACCCACCAACCGCAGTGGCGCACCTGTTCGTTGAACGTCTTCCAAAATGCGTTTCAGTGTAGATTTTTTTAATCTGGGCTGTCGCGTGCAATTTTAAAAATTTCTTCGCAAGGACATTTTTAATAATTTATCTATGTAGATCTTTATGTTAACTTCTCTCAGATAAACGAAAACAAAATTTGTGCGTCTGTGCCGTTTCTGCTTGCTTGTCGTCTCCGCCAGGTCTCCGCTGTCCGCTCCACAGTTCCGTAGAGTATGCGAACGCACCACCAGGCCAACCAGGCTGCGGCAGCTGAGACGCTGAGACCGCGTGTGCGTATCCCTCAAATCTAGAACTGTTGAAAAAAAAATCAAAATCGCGATGAATTTCGTGCCTTGTCTAACCTGGGTGAAAAGGGGTGTGTCCAAATCCAATCCCGAGAAGGTGAGGTTACTGAAGGATCAGCTGAAAGAACTCATCGAGGCCGACAGCGCGGCCACCGGCAACCCGGACGACAAGCAGGACGAGGAACATGGAACGGTCGCAGATGCGGACGACATTACGGCTAAATACGGCCTGGACACATACGATGATGAAGATGATGCTCCAACAGCGATGAGCAGCCTCGCTGGTCTGGCCATGTACGCGAGCAATGCCGACGACCCGTACCTCGAGCAGGGTGACGACGAAGAAAGCGAGGAAGAAGTGGACGACTTCACCATTCGCCCCACCGACAACTTGATCACAGTGGCACGTGTTGACGAACAGTCATGCGCAACAGTAGAAGTGTACGTAAATAACCATCACGAGGACCACTTGTACGTCCACCACGACATCATACTCCCGGCGTACCCCCTCTGCATCGAGTGGTTGAGTTTCGACCCGGCGGAAGAGTCGGGTGCAGGTAACTTCGTGGCCATCGGCGATATGCACCCAATTATCAACGTCTGGGACCTTGACATTGTTGATACCCTGGAGCCCGCGTACAAACTTGGCAAGAAGACCAAGAAGAAAAAAGCCAAGAAGGTGGTTGCCATGAAACAGCACGAAGACGCCGTCCTCAGCCTGTCCTGGAACAAGCAGGCGAAGAACCTGCTTGTCAGTGGATCGGCCGATTACAAGGCCCTCGTCTGGGATCTCAGCAGCGGAGTGCCCACAAGTTGCATCTCGGCGCACCGAGAGAAGGTCCAGTCAGTCATGTGGCATCCTTTTGAGGCGTACACGCTGTTGACGGGCGGCTGCGATAACGCGGTCAAGCTCTGGGACAGTCGGAACATCAGTGCCGGTTGCAAGACGTGGACGCTGGATGGAGAGGTTGAGAAGGTGTTATGGAACCATTTCGACCCTTTCTACTTCTATGCGAGCACCGATGCCGGACGGGTGTACGGTTTCGATGCGCGCATGGATCAGCCTGCCTTCACCCTTTCTGCACATACCAAGGCAGTTTCCGGAATGGTACTTAGCGCGCATTGCCCTGGCTGCCTAATCACGGCCTCGGAAGACAAGTCACTCAAGGTATGGGACGTCCTCGATCACAAGCCTACGTTTGTCTTCGAGAAGGAGAACCTGAAGGTTGGCTCAGTGCTGGCCCTGGCAAACAGCCCCGATGAGCCATTCGTGGTGGCTGTCGGAGGAGACGATAAAGCACATGGCTTCGCCGTAGTTGACCTGAAAGATTGGACTTCCCTGAGTCGGTTTGAAGGGCGCAAATTGTTGAGTGCAGACCTTGGTCCAAGCTTGGGAGACACCCCTATGGAGATGGATGCCCCTGCAGGAGCACTGACCGAGCTTTCGCTGGAAGACGCCGAAGGAAACCAGTGAAACTTCTCAAACATGGCCCATTGCACCAACAGTCCCGTTCTCCTGGTTAGTGGGGCTACGTGAAATTGTTGGCAAGGGCTGTTGCCGAAACTCCCATGTCTGATCAAGGAATGACAGAGCACAAAATGAGAACTTAAATAAAGGTGGTTCTTTATTGAACAAACTGTACAGACTAAGGCTCTGCAGAATGTCACATTTTTATATGGGTAACTTTGTTGCAGTCACAAAATCTTTCTTTCTTTGCGAAGAAGACATATTGCTTCCAACAATACTTCCTTGCTGGTAACAGTTTCAACTCCAATGGCTTCAATGTCCTCTTGGTTCAAAGTCACAAATGCATCCAAGTTGACCTGCATTCACGGGACAACCTCTAGTATATCTGGTTGCCATACATGCGCATGTAGAACACTCGCCAGCTCTTGTACAGTACACTTCCGTGAAAAGAGCCGCATTTGTCGGCCCAGGCAAATGAACTATGCATCACAGAAAGCTCAAACTTCGTGAGAATGTGATGCTAGCAGTTGAGATAGAACACCAAAGTTGGAGAACATGACATTACTTGGATCAAAAGATAATTGAGAAAGACTAAATTTCTCTAAGAGTTGCAAGTCCAGCTAAGTCTAATGTCATCAAAACAAGAAGCTTTCTGCAATGCATAGTTTATTTACCCGGGTCGAAAAACACTGTTTTTTTTTTCCCCTCAGGAATGCCCTGTACTTTGTGTCGCCTTAAGAAACCACAAAAAAAAAAAAAAGTTTTTTTTTTTTTTAAACAGTCTGGTAGGGACACATGTCAAAAAATTAATTTTACTCAAAAAAAAAAAAAAAAAAAGAATATAAATTTTGGAGAAATATTGACGAGAGGTTTATTTTGAAATTCTGAGCGCAAAGTCCATGACGTCGCTGAATGGCCATACACTCTTTCCACCTCAACGAAATGGTCACACACGCACTCCACCTCAACGTGATGGCCAAGCCGATCCACCTCTCCTCCACACGGCCGAAATGCCGAGAGGAAACAAGTGGAAAGGAGGTGACTTCTGACTAAATCGCATCTTGCGCAGTCAATATTGCTAAAAAAAAAAGAAAAGAAAACTGCATAAAATTTATTTTTTGACACTCATCTCCCAAAAAAACTGTTTGAAAAAATAACTTTTTTTCTTTTCAGTGGTTTTTTATTTGATGTGGATCATACTGAAGGCTACTAAAGTAAGCTCTTAGCTTGCTTCTTCTAAAGGCAATAAGTGTGCCTGTGTAAATGCTTGTGCAGTGAGAGAACTAACAAATGCTACTCTTCACACCTATATTATTTGCCACTGTCTATAGAAAGGAGATATAGCAATACACACTTCTCCAGTTAAGGCCCCTACGTACATTTGTGTCTGAGCACTTCTGCCAAGCTTGTACACACAGCTGCATTGACACGCAGTCAACCGCAGTCAAGAGCCAATAAGAATGCGCTATCATCTCCAGCGGCTCACCAATATTAAACGAAATCCATGGCAACATGGCGGCACCCGGCGACAGCGTCGAAATGTTCGATCTTGGGACAATCCAGCTGGCTTCCCAGGCATTCTGTCAAGCTTAAACCATCGTAGCCTTGGAAAAAAGCAGTCCCCACTGCTCCCCAAAACGAAAAAGCCAAGTCCTGCAAGCGGAGAACTGGATACGCCTCGCCGAGTGGTGCGAGCAAACACGTAACCCTCCTTTCCTTTCTTGGCTTCCAATTGGTCTAACACAACCCGCTGCCGCTACTGCTCCATCTAAGGTTGAGCCGGTCTCTGCTCTCTTCCGGTGCACATCGTACCCCTCAAGCAAGCGTTTTTGACTGCAAAGATGCTGCTTCGCATTCAAATGCGAATGTGTGTATAGGCCTTTAGGACCATGATATATACACGTTTGCAAGTCCGGCTTTAGGGCACTGCCATCTTGCTCAGCTGGGCCGCGCCCAAGCACACCCCACTGTGCAAGATGACGATGCCCCGAGACCGGACTTGCAAATGTGTATAGGAATAGGATGGTGGAGCACTAAAGTTTTTTTACAACTTTTTTTTAATCTTCAACCAAGGGTCAATTTAAGTTTGTTACTGAAAAAAATGAGCTTTACTTCGTTTCATTTTAAGTGCAAGTGTAGCAGAAGCTATAAGGGCGAGCTCCAGGAATTCAGCGCTCCTGCCAAGCATGCACGCTTGTGCAGTGCAGTCATCGTTTGTGGCAACAAACTTGTGCTTGTAGCTTTGGCTTTGCTATCACAAAGTGAAAGATCTGTTTGTTGTACGTCTTCGTTGCGGTCACCATAAAATGGTGTTCATGGGCAAATTTGAGGCACTTCTCCACAGGTAGTATTAAGTTGCAACCCATTTCCGAGAAAAGTAGCACTAATATCGTCACTGCAAAACAAGTATGATCCTTTCCATTGCTTGCTTCTAAGTTTTAATAGACATTTATTGCGTGTCTACCCAATTTTTTTTAATATGGCACTGCACTTGCTAACATTGATGCCCAAGACTGCCGCAGGATTTACTAGGTACGACTGATTTATTAACAAAATGCTTGCGAGATGTTTCGGTAAAAAGTAATACATGCCTCATTTTCTTCAAAGTTGCTTGCATATCTCTCGAGGTGTAGCTCTTTCAAGAGATCACGAAGAGTGCCTGAAGAATGCTTTCAACAATGTCATGTCCTGTCAGTTATGATTTGATGACTGCCTTACCACAGAAGGATATAGTAGCACTAGAAGATGATATAGGAGCTGATTGGCAATCAGACAGCTGTTGGAAAAAAAAGAAAAGCTAAGCTGCAGTAAAACAAAATTTGTAATTTGTCGTGGCAGTTCTGTTAATTTTTTTTAATTCCATGCAGTACCATATTTACTCGAGTGATAGCCGCACTGTTTATGAAGAAATCCGAGCGTTCGCTTTTCCGCACAGCACGCAGATCGCCAAACACCGCGACCGACAGCATGACTCCAGCTGTTTACAGGACAAAGATAACGTCTTCGTGCAAAGATACGATCTGTGAAGATTGCATTTGTTTGGAGAATCATGTTCTCGATCTGGTTATTCGCTGTGTTATTTATGCGCAACGCAATGACTGGAAAGTAGACGCAAGGGCTTTGTTTATAAATACTGCGGCTATTACTCGAGTAAATACGGTATGTAGGCAACCTTTATAAAGAGCTATGAAGGGCACGGCACTTACACTAGTTTCCACAAAGGATGAGAACAGACGGAGAAAAAGTAATAAATTTAGGGAAAAACATTAAAATTCTCATTCAAGGGCGTTTACCTTGTTGGTATCGGGGTAGCTGGAGCAATTCAGGACGGATGTGCTTTGTCCACAGCAAGAGGAGATAAAAATAGGAAGATTGTGTTATTGAATTGACGACCTCACAAGCTGGCTATTACAAAAAAAAAAAAAAAAAAAAATAGCAAAGCGGAAGCAAAAAGGTTGAAGTAATAATCTTACCCTTTCTTTAACAAGGTGGACGTTGCTTGTTTATGCACTGTAGAGATCCACGTGATTTGTGATACTATGAAAAAGTCGTACAAGATATACAGAGAATTCAACTCCATACTGTTAAAAGCTTCATACTGAAGACTTACAGAGATATGCTGCACAATGGATACCTGGAAGTTACTACAGACTAAAAAAAAGCTTGCTGCTTCAACATACCTTGGCCAAGATTGGATCTCATGAGAGGATGAATGAGGTGTTTTGGTTCCCAGAGTTTTTGTGTAACCTGCAGGACCAGAATTATGTGTTTTGACACAGAATGTAATGCCACATTTTTCATCAAAGTCAAAGAGAAGGTTCGTGGTTCCGAGTCATATCAGAAAGCCCGATGAAGTAATTGTTCTTTAGACGACATCTTCTCTTACATATCCTTACCCAGTCCGAATGGCACGCTGGTGCTGATGACATTATTGGCGAGAAGGCGGTCTTTTTTTCCAAGAGGTCCTGAAGCACAACTGGAGCAAGAGTACTTGTTTGGAAAGAAGACTGGAATATACCAGCAGATAATGATTGGCACAATTACCAAATCTTAAGGGAAAAAAAAAAAAAGAAGAAAGTTCACATTTGTGGTTTAAAATTAAAATCAATTGTATCAATACATATGATAGTTTTCTTACAGCAGGGGCTGCTGCAAAGCAGATGTTCAGAACTGGTATTGCACAGGGCCTGATTGGTGACAGGCTTAGCGATTGCAGATTTGGAGTTACAGGGATTGTAGACGGCACTGCCATGCCCGGTGTTGAGGGCCCCGACTGCTTGACTGTGAGTTGAGTAAGCTTTTGTGTTACCTGTCCAATCCAACCCTATAATGGAAGATGGAAGAATAAGATACAGGATAACCTTTCAACTACACTAGTATATTTGCACAGGTTAGGTTGACAGAAATAAATGCCATTCATTGTTTAACCAACCTTCAGTCCTTTGGGTGGCTGCAATTCAAGAGGCTCTCTGAAAGCAGAGGATTAAAGGATGGCTAATGGTGTTACGAGCTGCGACTTCATTTGTAATTTTCACTGAACATGACATGCCAAAATTTACTGTCTTCAGAAAAAAAAAAACTTTTGGATAGCAAGTAAGGTCTGGTTCAACTTTGTGCACCCACTTGGTGTGCCCTGGGTCGGTAGGTACCATCACCGCTGGTTCTCGAGGCAAGCTTTGCCCCACAGCTTTGTCAGTCAATATTTGCCTAATTCTGGCATCCATGTTTTCTAGAAATGAAAAAAAATTAGCTACATAAGTACCATGGTGTCTATCCAGAGGGTGAGGGATCACCGACTAACCATTGTAACAAGCGATGTCAAGAGCGGTTGCACCATTGCAAGCCAGAGCGTCAACACTGGCTCCCACAGTGACGAGATAACGGACAATGCTTGTCTGCCTGTTTAAGTGGACAATGTAGACATCACTGCTGGTTACCACTTGAGTTGCTATCCTCTACAATTCTCTTGTACTCACAATCTATTTTAGTGAGATATCAAGGCAAGTTTCTTGGATTTATTGGTGAAGGGCTGGCCTGGCATCGTTCGAAAGACAAAGTACAGAGAAAAGATACCATTGTCTGCTCTCTTCTCCACAATGTTAAACAAGGATTAAGTTATATTCTGTTGCCGAGCTTACCCGGATACTCTAAAAACATGCGAATTAACATCTAAACACTGCTGATTATTTCTGAAAATCTGAAAACCGCTATACTGAGGCTCAAACATACTATCTTCATGCAGTCTCAACTTGACACCTTGCTTATTATCTCTCACAATGCCCGAAAAGGCAACCCACCCATGAAATACAGCATGCATCAGAGCCGTCCACCCAGAAGAATAGTCCTGTAGCTCGATGTCTGCACTGTTGTGAACCAAGAGTGCAGCTATGTCCAGGTGACCCAACTCTGCTGCATACATTAGGGGAGTGGTTCCCTTGATAGGATGAGTCCAGTTGGCACTCGAAGGGTACTCCTTGAGCATTTCGTTAATCCACTTCAAGTCAGCTTTAAAAAAAATATGTTTCCATTCACTGTATGTGTCACATCAAGCATCAGAAAGTTCAATGCACTGCTTACTTTTTCCAATGGCATCAAGCATGTCGTTGATGGTTGGGTTTTGTTCTGACAGAACCAAGAAAAACAAATCAAAATCAAATCAGAACCAGGAGGCAGGGAATGTCACATTTTGTTGACACCTCAAATTTGTCCTTTTTTAATGAGACAGTCAGAGTTTTTAATTTACATTCGAGCTAGCCTATTCTATTCTCACGTAGTTCAGTATCTGCACACTGCCAATAAGTGAACATAGTCGAGAGACCTTTCTTAGGTCGACTTTAACGTCCAAAACTTGTGCACCTGGCTTTCTACATAACATGCCAGAAACCAGCAAAGACCTTAGCAAAATAACAATCTAAGTAGTGTAATGCAATCTACATTGCTTGTTAGACAATTCTATTTCGCCATGCTCACTGAGGAAATAGGTACCACAGTTTTAGAGTCAGTAATATTGCATTTGTCTCATTCTCAGCCTGTTACTCACTGCAACTATTTCACAAAAAAAAAAATTGTGAACCACAGTTTCACCACCCCTGACGTTTTATGCCTTCACCACAAAGGGCCAATTTCGCTAGCGCACTTACAGAGAGTTTTATAATGCATGCTAGAGGTTCAACTGGTGCTAGTGTCTATGCGACTTCCGGGATGCAAATCGAAGCAAATAGCAACCGTCTACTTTTGTGATACTCCTGTGCATTCCCAAGGGAAACATGCAAGCATTTTGCCTCTTTGCTGGAAAATAACATGGAACACTTTTGTTATTTGGGTCGTACCAAATAGTATGTAACTTTATTAACATTGTAAAAGTGCTTTAGTTAGTGCATTTTTCTTCATCAGTAAACAATGTTTAACTTTGCTATATTTCAGGCCCAAACCTGTGTTCCACAGCAGGTGCATAAAAACAAGCGACAATTCTAAGCAAAATAACAATCGAAAGAAATATAGAGTGTGTTCAAGGTTCGCCAGCATTCCGGTGACACTTAATTGCTAATATGCCAGTCCTGTCACTATATAAAAATGACCCCATCTTGCATCTTTACGAGCAGTAAAAAATTCAAAACGTAAAGTATAAAGTATGTGGGCTATGAAAGGTGTCTCTTTTTTATTATTTTCTATGCCGGGCAAATTTACCAGGCACTCGTTCTCGAAAAGATTTCGAGCGTGCGGATGATGCTTTGAACATAGAAGAAGCATCTTTGCATAGAGCAGAAAGAATAAAGCAGTACTTACTTATCAAAAATCTGACTATATTACGTGGCCAATTTATTTTGATTGTATATGCACAGGGAGTTACTGATCCAGTGTTACTTAAAGTGCCTACATGTGTCCACAGCTACACTGTTTAGGGTGGCGGCAACCTTTGTGATAGCTGTTGCCGACGAACCTGTGTTGCCTACCTCGTTACCATGGCAACCCCCGCTGTTTTCGTGGACCATTTTGTCACACTTGCACTACGCTAATCCTCATTAGGGCTAGGGAGCGCTCACTCCTCTCATTCGGACGGTGAGGTTTCGGCGTGCAATGCGGTCTGTTGCGTTCCGTTTTGTCGCGGGAACTCCAGAGATGGCGGAGTGTTGTATTCGCGACTCCAGCAAAACGAACGCCGCCAAGTGGGAAAACCGGGAACCAGCCGGACCAGGTCACTCCGCTTTTTCTCCGCGTGTCTGGTGGCTTTCGCGGACACGTGTTTTTCGCGCGGTGGTGAACAATGTAATTTGACGAAGGTACGAAAAATTTTTTAAGTTTGCCTGAGTGTTCATTAGTGTGGTGAAGCCTCAGTAGATTGTTTCTTTCCATCAAGTGTTTGAAAGCTCGTTTACTCCACAACACACGGTCGCATGCTTTCAATTTCTTGGATGGGGAGGAATCACGGAAAAAAATGTTTTGATTTCTTGTCTGTCTTGATTCACATTCAAAGTGACGACTACTTCGTAACTGATAAGTGGTTTCTTTATAAGGATGTAGAACAGTGGACTGAGGTCGACAGAAGAAGTGTGTCACTGGAGGGAACACCAATGTTGCAGTCAAATGAATGGGAAGGTTCGATAGCTGCTTTTCTTGAGTATGGTTGTGCTCGATTAGCTTCAAGTTTGAGCCACTCACGCTGGCCGGTGCATTGGCTATTCATCTTGGCTGCTTTTCGCCAAAAAAGCCTCTGGACCACACTGAAGAAGTTGGGCTGATTTCGCAATTATTTGATTCAGAAAAACCTGCTCGCTCAATATGATTAATGAGGGAAATTATCTGCTTTCAAAAAGTGGGGGACGCGTCTCGCAAACTGGAAGCTGTCACGGCATTAGGATCTATCGAGCCTCCAATATTCATATTATACCCCGTCGAAGCCAGCAGTAATATACGTCTACATTGCTCATGTTGTCCGGCCACAAAAAATACTCATTTTATCCGTTCAGGATTCGAAGTCAAGCTCAATGCAGAAAGGTCTGAGTGAATCTCCGATAGAGACTCCCCTCAGTTTGTCCGCATTCGTCTCCGTTCTACCGGCTAGAACCATTTGGCTAAGTTTAAGTAGTATCTCTCTGTCTGTCAAATATACTTTTATTCAGCAGTTCACCTAATAGCTAGTCAACTAAGTTCATATTTCAACCAGAAGAATATACTAATTTTGCTTTAGTGGGACATAGAGGTAATATAATACAAAACCCGCTCGTCAAAATGACTTCTCGATTGCTACTAAAACCTGAATTTAAATATGAGTATCAGCTGCTTAGTGAAGCGCCAGTGGGTTAACATGCTCCTTGGCTCAAGAAGCGCTTACTTAATTTTCGCAATTTTCCTGCAGCCTGTGTTCTTGACCGAGCAGACGACTGGAGCTGTTTCTTAAACGCGGATACGCACAAAAGCTCGATTTCTCGGACAGATAAGTCGCATGGTCGAGGCATGCGAGTTAGCTAAAAATTACTCTTGGTGGAACAATTCTGTAGCCATTGCCGCTTTCCTTTGCTGATCAAAACTAATTAAAGTCTATTACCGTTTTTCCGGAGTCCATAGTTTCGGTTTTGAACGAAGTCTCCGAAACGAAAGTTTGACAAGAAAATAACAAAAAACACCGCCCAACCAAAACTATGCTCGGCAAGTTTATGCGCACCGGCTACACTTAACCGTCTCAGTTCAAATATTCATAAATTTGGGCATTAAACAAAAGAAAACTTGTTTAATTGAATGCGCCACCCGTTCAGGCGGCCCGGCCGAGCCGACGCGACCTGGACCCAGCCGCCATGTTTGCTTGGTGGTGGCGCCCCCCCATAGGTCGCTAGAGTCGCGAATAGATTCCCCAGCAAGCAGGAAAGAAGGATGGCGTGGTTGTCTGTTATCAGGCGACAGGCAGCGACAGGCACCACGACCGCCAACCCGCTGAGCCTCGGACTCGTCCTATGAACGGAAACGAAAGTGGCCTCACAGTGTTGCCGGATCTTCGATACTACAGAAGCTCAATGTTGATTCCGTTTAGCGAAATAAGTGGTGGCAAAAAATGGCGGTGGGAGAGGATCTGGAACAGGGTAACAAGAAGTTGGCGCCACCCTAAAACGTAGTGGAAACATGTAGGCACCCTAGTGTTACTGTGTAGCTCTTGCTGTCTCTCTTGGCTTTCCATATGTCCTCCGTTCATTTAGCATGCATATCTCCCATGCTGAGAAGCGCCGACGTCGTGTTCGCGCTAACAGTGTCTGACAGTGCACACAAATAGATGTACGAAGCCATTTTAGCACCGTTCGTAATGCAATAGATTTGAAAAAAAAAAACGCCGTAACTGACTAATTATTCTGTCTGCCTGACTGAAAAATGTTCCAAGCTACCTAGTATGTACGAATTATTAATGTGAAAGCAGTAAATGTCGCATGAAGCGAAGCCGGCGAAAAACGGCACCTAAATTCCCATTGGCTGAGCGAAACGGCACCTAAATTCCCATTGGCTGAGAGAAGCGGCACCTAAGTTCCCATTGGCAAATGCCCAATAAAACACAAAGAAAAGCACAGCAACGCAGATGCCTCGTCACGGAAGCCAGCGGGTTTCAGAAATAAAACACAAAGAAAAGCACAGCAACGCAGATGCCTCGTCAAAGAAGCAGGAGGATTTCAGAAATAAAAAAAACAAAGAAAAGCACAGCAACGCAATGGTTAGTCACGGAAGCCGTCATGAAGCTGGCAGGGTTCGCCGCGCCTTTGCAGTGGGGGAGTGTGATGTCACCGCTGGAGCACCGTGTGCGATAGGAAGACGTGGCGCACTGCTTGTAGGAATGTGCTGAGTGTAGGAATGCTTTCATATTCCTACACGTCGTCAGTTTTAAGTGTCTCTGCCGAATTTTCTGGGGATATTCACTCTTACAATTGAGTGCAGGGAGAAAATGCACTCAATTTTTCCACATAAATGCATTATCGGAAGTCAATTATTGAGTGGTTGCTGTCTGCTTCAATTTGTGACAGCACACTAGCGCCAGTTAAACCTCTAGTGAACATTATAACTCTATGTGCACTCCGAGTGATAGCCTTAGGTCTTTAACATGTTTCACCTGGCACTACTTGCAGCTCATTTTCTCAGCAATAGCCACATACCTGGGCTATGTGCCACCTGTGTCTTGGTACGAAGGAATTCAGCTACCTCCATTTTTGTACAGGCCACCGCAATATCAAGGGCAGTCTTGCCGCACATATCCTTGAGGTCTGGGTCGGCGCCGTGTTCAACCAGGGCCTGAGCTGCCTGGAGATGTCCACCAGCCGCACACAGCATGAGGGCAGTCGTGCCTATACAGTGCCATCAATATGCTTCAAGGAGAGTAGTAGTTATTACAGGCATATCTGAAGGCTCCATCACGACCATGTCAGTGATTTTAGTGTCAAGTCATTACTCAAAGGAAGGACTCAAGGCCACTCTGAAATGAATGCCCAGATAACCATGTTTAAAACTGTAGGCCATTGAGCCATCCTTCAAACAATAAAGATATTCAATCAATAAGATCTGAGCAATGTAAGAACCAAGATTTTCTAATTTGGAAAATCAACACCGGGGAGAGGGGAGAAATGTCTTGAGCTGAAAGAGGTCTATTAGCCGGTTGAAACATAAGATCTGCAGTAGAAGCTTTGCCTCCAGTACAAGCATTCTGCCTTTGATAGCACTTCGGTGTCTCATGAGCATGCGCAGCCTAAGCATGATGGAAGGCAATCAGCATGTGCTGAAGGCAGAGCTTCTCCTGCAGATCATATGCTGAAACATACTATAGCTTGTTCAGCACACCAAAAGCGGCCCCCAACGGTGCTCCCAATTCGTGGGAAGTGAAGGACGAACATACCAGTGGTGGGGTATGCCTGATTCACGGGACAGCCTTTCTGAAGAAGCAGCAAAATGATGGAGGCGTGGCCGTTGGTGGCGGCAGCTGTCAGGGGCATGGGATCAAAGGTGTGGTGGAATCTGCCCACGGCAATGTCTGCCCCAGCCTCTAAAAGGAGACGCACGGTGGAATGGTGACCGCCACCAGCTGCCAGTGTTAGGGCACCTGCACCTAGTGGTAAAGACATGCATACATTCCAATTTAGCATGAGCAAGCATTATATTGATACATATCCAGATGCAAAATGATGTAATAAGACAGAGTGCATTAGTAAGCTGCATTCTAAAAATAAAAATGCCCGCCCCCCTCCCCTCCTCCCCCCTCCCCTCCTCCTTTCCCCTCTTCCTCCCCCCCCCCCCCCCCAAAAAAAATGTCCCTTTACTTTGTCGTTTTTTTGTTTTTTTTGGGGGGGAAGGGGGGGGGGGGGGAGAGGGGGGGCGGGCATTTTTATTTTTAGAATGCAGCTTACTAATGCACTCTGTCTTATTAAATCATTTTGCATCTGGATATGTATCAATACTTTTAAGGTGCATTCAAGCCAACTAGTCATTTAATTTAAGTAAGCTACAGACTGATATTCATAAAATTTATAGTACTAACCCTTGAGAACGAGGAATAAAACAGCCCAACGACTCAAAATAATGTGGAGAAGACACACAAAACACGAGGTCAATGTGTTGTGTGTGTTCCCTATTCTAACTATAGTTACCAACAAGCTCTCAATATCAAGAAAATTGCGTTGCATCGTTGCCAGAAACTGCTCGCCAGGGTGCCATCAATAAAATTAAATCTGTGTTATTACCAGTAAGGTGCACACATATTACTGAAAAAGTAGCCCATCCTTCTGACATTGTTTGGCATTAGTGAATATTAGGCTGTTTGGATATAGCTAATAATTAGGAAATGAAACAAACCTAAGACATTTGTTGCATTGATGTTTGCACTGTGCCTGATCAGCAGCGACACCATGGACACCTGCCCATGCTGAGCTGCATGCATGAGTGGTGTCCAGCCACAGTTGTTTGCCACATCGATGTCTGCCCCTTCCTCAAGAAGGAGCTCTGCCAAACTGACGTGGCCATTTGCTGCTGCAACATGCAGGCCGGATATGCCTTCGACGTCTTGACCATTGATGGGAATTCCTAGAAGCACAGAAAAGAATGGACAAATCCGTGGCGTCACTCTTCAAATAACACCCATTATGATTATGGGGTACAGGGGAGATGAGGGGATGGTTTGGAGTTTCTACACTCTATATTATACGCTCCTCCGTCAGAATGAACATTGGCAACAAAATATATTTTCTGAACGGCAGTGACAAACTGTCTCGGGTCGTTTTCAAGAATAAACAGTCAACTTGCACCTTTGCATTTAATTGCATTATAATTACAGTTCACTTGTTTTAAAGTATTTCCGTTCTCCTTAATTTGCACGGTTAGTTCGTGGCCTTCTCCTTGAGGGCAAGGAAACACTCGAGAGCCGGCGACGCTCACCGTTTAACAGAAGATTCCGCGCTGCCGTTATGCTATTCGTGACGCATGCCGTTAGAAACTTTTCCATCTCGTCCATTGGATGGCTGTTGTCACTCTACCACAGGAGGCTTCGGTCGTGCATGTACCCGTAGCATTGATAGCGCTACAGCTGCTTCTGGACGCTACCTACTGCACAGTACACTATTTGAGAAATTGGAGCGTAATTAGAACTAAGGCAGAGCAAAAACTTTGCTGTCCGCGTCGCATTAAACTTTCAGTACAACTTCCTAAAATCGCGCCGCCGCGCGACACTGGCGACACTGCGTGATTGGATTGGATAGTGATGGCAGTGATGGCTTGCGGTTTGGCTGATTACGTAAATCGACGCTTGTGCTAAATGCGCTAAATGTAGCGAGTTCTGCGTTTTGTGTGGCGACACTGTGTGCCTTGACGAAAATTTAATCCAGTCCAATGCAATCCAATCCAGACTCCGCTTCGGTCGTGGTGTATTAGCGGTGGGGTGTGGGTGAGTGTTTTGCAGGGTTTTTATCGGTATTCGAGTCGCACGTTTTCGCAGATACTGTCAAAATACGAGTAAACCCTAGGGACCTTCAACGACTCTTTGACTCCTCTACCAAGACTTGTGATGGCTGTTGCTGTTGCTGTGATTGGAAAAGAGGTACATATGGCTTTCATGTTGAAACATCATCGACCAAAACACTAGTTTTGGCTAAGAAAACGATTTTGTTTAATACTGCCCTTAACCATCAAATGCTTTTCTTTTTCTTTTTTTTTTTTTTTTGTAAGCAAAACCTATCTATCAAGAACGCGGTGTGTTGAAGAAGAAATTGGATAGGGGTTTATTGAAGTACAGGGCGTTTCACTAATCGGGAGAAACTCCTCGCACCTCTCCACTGACCGAACGCTGGAGAGGAGGCGACCTCCTCTCCAGCGTTCGCTCTGCTAAAAGGGAAAGAGATGGAAGGAGTTCCCCCTGAACTCTTAACCTGTGGTTGCTTCTGAAGCACTGTCGTAGCCAGAAAATATTTTCGGGTGTGATTTCAAGGTGCTGGTGCAACCACACACACAATAAAAAAAAAGAAAATAAAATTACGGGGGGTGTTCTGATGTTCTGACACCTGACCCCCCCCCCCCCCCCGCCCCAAATAGAAAAATCGAACATAACCGTCCATAAGTGTTTTTCAGCTAGGTTGTTAATATCAGTTTCATTTATACTTTTGGGCTTCATTAAGGTTAAGAACCTGAGTAGCTCTGATATGCAACTATACTTTGCTTCAGCATAGCTTGGAAAATTGCAGAAGCAGCAACATAGAGCTCAATATAAGTATTTTTCATATTATTGTGAAACAGCATATAGCTCTGTGCAGTGAGCTATGTTCTATGGGCAAAGTAACTTAGGGGTATAGGTCAAAGACTGGGCTTGAGGATAGCTTACATAATAACTCATATACAAATGATAGGGAATCTATGAGCCACTGTATGCATAAAACCATCCAGATGGCACTTGTCTGCGCTTGGTTTACTCACAAATGCCATGTATCAGCTTCTTAAGTCTTTGGAGTCTTTGATCCTCAGTGATTGGAGTATGTCTATGGCTTGTTGCAGCAACAATGGTAGATACAGTGCAAGTCGAACGTATTCTTGACTGTTTGAAGGGTCCGCATAAATCGGTTTCTGAATGTGTTGAGCTAAGATTTTATACATAGGTGGCCGAAGAATATGCATTAAACGGATAATGCTTTTTTTATTTTTTGCCAGGCGATTCACAATGGTGTCAGAAGACTACCCAATCAATATTTTGCTACAGCGTCACATATATTTTTAATAAAGTAAAAAAATGCACCTTCTTGTAACCGTAACTGCCACTGGACTGGGGAGGAGGAAGATATATAGAGGAGGAGAGCATTGTCAGAAGTCACATGGCTGTGGAACTTTATTATTTTTTAATCAACGTATTTGCAGCTTTTTAGAAGCCACAAAAAATGGGTATGATATTTCTTTTTGTATTTTTGATTAGTCTATTCCTTCGATGACCCACGACTTTGATTATATTTGGTGGTTGTGTCTAAACCATAGAAAATGGCACGTGACCACGGAGAAGAGAGTGAGCGCGACTCAAACCGGCCAGTTCTCGATCGGTGGTTTTCAGGAAGAAAGAAAACAAATTTCGAGCCACAAATTGTGTTCTGGACTGTTGGGCTGTCATGTGGCTGGCATGTACAAATAAAAGTCTTGGCGATCATAAATACCCCGTCAGTGTCCCTTTAATTTTATAAAACTTTCACTGAACAAATTTACTCGAGTAAAAAGTTTGAAATCAAAATTCCGAGGACACCTACGCACTTCTTATGAGTTGTAAATGCGAAAGCATGAATGTCGTTCTTCCGCTCCCTCAGTTCGTCTGCGGTGTACTGGCGTGGACGGCCACTTTTCGCTACTGCCGAGGTTGTGGCTGCCGACGATATAGATACCTCAGGCGCCACAATGTTCATCGGCGCCGAGAGAAGCAGAAACCCCCCCCCCCCCTTCCTCTTTTGGCGTTGACTGACACGAGAGTGACGGCCAAGCGCGCTCCTTCCTGGCATGTGGGCCGGAGAGCCAGGAAGAGGGCCTCTCTGTGGGGTGGTGTTCTTTGGAAGTATGACGCATCCCAGTCAACGGCTATCTAGGAGCCGTTTCGCTGGAAATTTCTTTCATGTTTCTCCGTGGTTACTTCAGCGGTTGCAGACGCGGCCAGCTCCTGGGACTTTCTCGCATGTTTTGCGTGGTTACAGACGCTACCGGCTTCTTGCGTGCTTTTTGTGGTTACAGACGCTGCTGGCTCCGCTCCATGGGACAGTTAATGCTTTCTTATTAAAAACCTAGAATTCCTACCTACGCTGTCCGTCTACCAACGAAAGGCGTCCGTTGTGTCCGCCTGCAATCTCGGGTACTGCCATCTGTCGGATGTTGCGCCAATCTGACACCTTTCATTACCAGACGGACGTCTTAGGTAGGAATTTAAAGTTTTTTGTTTCTAACCTTTTATTCAGGTAAGCTTGTTCAGTGACATGTTTATGACCTTAATGCACAGTCTTTGGCCACCTCTGTACAAAAATCTTAGCTCGACAAGTTCAGAAACTGATATATGTGGTTCCTTCAAACAGCCAACGGTCCTTATGACTTGCGCTGCACGAAAGAACACTTCGATGAATGGATGATATGGCCGAACCCTTCAAGTGGGGCGGAGGCTTGCGCCACCTAGCCCTTGCTTTTAATTTTGACGGTTAATGCAAACCAAAAGTATAAAGCATTTTAAGAAGTATAATTTCTAAGGATTCAAATTGCTGCATCAAAAGCCTAACAAATCGGAGCTGAACTACATGCTGGAGTTGCTTCTCAGTTAAACTTTTCCTTTGGCAATGTTAGTGCAAATGTATCATGAGTAAACCAGTACAAAAGAAATTAACAAATGAATGCTCGATGCCTCAAATACCATAGGATACCACAAAGATGTCTGTCATTGGGACATGAAGCCTAAAAGTACCTATAGAATTTAAATTGATGGCACCAAAGGTGATTAAGCTACCTTTTAGGCATACTTGGGCATTTCTGAAATCTGTACAAAGTTTCTCCAGAGATATGTAGATAGATTGCAGTATTACATGTCTGTTATATTGTACATATATTGCTTACCTTCCAGAATTCTCCACTATTTGTGAAAACAGTTACACCATGCAATGAGCTGAAGTTTCTCTACACAATACACACATCATTGGATGTCGTTGAAGAGAAGATATCGCCTGGCAACAAGAGCTCTGGAGATGTTCGTGAGCTGTACTTAGGACTGTTATATCCCACAGAAGACTGCAAGGTGTATGGATACGTGACAAACACAAAAACAAAATTTATTGTCATAGTGGAGACCTCCCGTACGACTCTGCGTGACAACGAAATAAGACAGGCAAGTGTGATCCAGAGTTGTTGCCTTTCTCTTTTAATAGCATTATGACTTCCTGTTACAGATGTTTCACAAACTGCATACATCATATGCTGATGTCGTGTGCAATCCCTTCTATGTTCCTGGTGATCAGATAGTGTCCAAGTATGTTTAAACATATTTTTCTTTGTGATTTCTTTTTGTGATGCACTGGAAATATTGTTTTTGTGTCCTAATGAGTCAAATCTTAATTATCTGCAATGTGTTTTAGGGTGGTACAAAGCATGTGTCTTGTTACAGAACCTTTGACAGCACTGTCAGTGGAATAATGACAGGAGAGTAAATTCCGTGGCTGGGTGATGCAGTTTCGGCACTGACGAAGAAAGCTGAAGACGTCCATTTTCCAGCTTTTAAATGAAGGTACTATACAATGACGAGTAAAATTCTGTTCTACTGTGTTGTGAATGTATACATGATGAGATTCCTTTGCTTGAACAACTAATTTGTGTGGCTCTCTTGTGACATGTTTTTACATGAGCCTGTTGAATATAGCACTGCTCCAGTTGGAACTGGAGGTCTTGTGAATTGATGTGTGTGGCAGTATTGTGACAGTCACGTGGCCTGCCAGAGGTTCAGGCATGTTGCTCGGTGACAGCGTAATGCTGCGATCAGTCATTAGGAGTGTATTCTTCGACAGCACACCCCACTCGTGGCTGTTTATGCCACCAAAAATGTAGATGCAGGGACCTGAAACAAAGTTAATAACTTTTCTAATTGCAGTGCACATTTCTTTAGCGATATGACTAAAATAACTGACATGTTATTGGATGCATATTTTGTTCACTGAATTGCTCACCAATAGTTGCAATGGAAGCACTGTGCCTGGCAACCACTAGTTTACATGCCTTTTGCCATTCAGAGTTCCAAGAATTCTTGTCAACAGAGTTCATGCTGACGGGGCACTTATCTTTCTTGGCCATGTGGCAGCCTCCACAAAGCCAAATGTTTTCACCAATGGCAGCTGCCGATGCAAATGCCCGTGATGTTCTTAGAGGTGCACCCTGAGACCAGCTAAACAAGAGGGTAATTGATGCAGCAGTTTATTTGTACGTTGGCTCGGCCACATTTTATACATGCTCATTAGAGTACCAGGAAGTTTCTGAAATGTGTGTACTTAAGGAAGTAGTTATTGCCTGTCAAGTTTTGGAGAGTAGGTGAACACTTCTGACACTACTGGTGTGCAGCCTCTGTCTGACATTCCACCCATGAGCCAGACCAAGTCATTCTTGAAAGCGATGGCCATCCCCATTCGAGACTCGGGCATTGTGCTTCGGGGCTCCCATTTTTTTGTTCTGAAGTTGTACTCCTCTGTGGAGGACATCAACCTGCGTAACAAAGGGAGGTGCACAACGTCTTGGTGCTTTGCACATGACCTCGGTCAGCAGAAACACACCTGCCATCATGTCCTCTGCCGCCGAAGACAAAGACCCTTCCGGCAGCGGCAATCGATGCATGACAGGCCCTGGGAAAGATCATGTCTGGGAGCCTCTCCCATGCTCCTGTCTGGGTGCTCATGGCAAAGGTGGTTTTTGTGGCAACCATTTCCCCTGATTTCCTTAAATAGGCTGAATAGCCACCTGTTGGAGGCAGTTTCTAATTAAGAATAGGAAATCTACTTTCTACTTTGCTTCTGGAAAGAAAATATGTCACTTTTGTGAAGAACTTGTTTTTTGTAAAAACCTAATTTTATTTAAAAAAGAACAACTGCTAATTAGTGACCCCAAATGGTGAATAAGTAATGTATACACTTTGTTGCCACAAAACTATCTGAAACTCACATTCATTAAATTAACAACATCCTCTGGCCATCAGCATACAGTTGTTTCTGTATTTGGCATTTCATTTACTATTACCAACTGCTATAAAATCCTGAACATTTGCAGAAAGTTCTCAGTGCAGTAAAGGCAGATTTCTAATGTAGTGAAATAATAAATTTGTGTCTTGCACGGGGTGATAACAATGAAAATAAGAGTATAACTCTTGGTGAAGTGCAGACATTCCTTTAAAAGTTTTCTACACTGCGACGACCACCACCATCACCACATCTGCATGCAGACCCATCCTACTAAACACATGTCCAAGAGAGGCCTACCTAACATGCCCATCATTCATATAGGTAGTAATTGACATGTAATAAGGATTTTATATGCTCAAAAGCATCATTCACAGTATACGGGCCAGGCTGGCCTGGCCTAAGAGCCGCAAACAAAACCACGGAGCTTCTAAGAGCCGCGGGGGGGGGGGGGGGGGGGGGGGGGTGCAAACTTAACTTTTGTTCAGATTCTGACTGTACGTATGGGGGCACAAGGCTGTAAGACTGTACGTATGAGAGTACATGGGGCTGCCAAACCGGAAGCTGCGGTGTGCTTTATTCTGAAACCCTTTCTTTTTTTTTTTTCCTGGGGAAACGCGGAAAGGGGCGAAGGGGGGGGGGGGTCCCCTTAGGAGGAATCCGCGAGCCGCACTTGGACCAGCAAAGAGCCGCATGCGGCTCACGAGCCGCGGTTTGGCCACCCCTGGTATAGACGCTTTACACACGCGCCAAATTACAGCCGCCATTGCTGACCTTCTCTTGTCTTACCGAGATGCCGAGCAACTGAAACGGTAGTTGACGATCCTCTACAAAGGCCGATGCTTTAGAAAAGGACACAGTTGAATCTAATCTGGCAATAACCTGGCCTGCTAGGGTAAAGATGAAGTGAAATAAATGAAGTAAGAGGAAACAAAAACTGAAGGTCAGTTATGGCGGCGTCCATGCACAGCTGCTGCAAAGCGTCTATATAGGATATCTCATCTAATGAGTCATTCAATTGTTCGTTCAAATTGAATGTCCTGTTCAACACATTGAATTTGGGCTAACCTCTGAAAAATAGAAAGCTCAGGTTTGCCTTGCGGGACAATTCGGTGTGTCAGTAATCTATTCAGTAATCTTCTAATGTGGTGTAATATATATTTTGTTCATCTAGGTCAGGGGTTTCAAACACGCGGCCCGCGACTCTCTGGGACGCGGCCCGCAGGCAACCGGCTACGAGTCCCGGTTCCATCTCGTCGATTCATTTTCGCTCGAAAAGTAGCTCTGCTCTTTTAACGTATATTCACATAGTTTATACTTAATTGTGTTCATTTGCCCTTTGTTTCGTTTTATTTTTTGCTTCTCAGGTTTTTGTACAGTAGAACAATTCCGCTACTAGGCTGCAAGCGCGAGCTATTCGTTGAAGGATGTATCTCGGCTGTGCGAACCCTCGATCAGCAGGAGCAACTGCCAAAGATAGAGCTACGAGCTCGTGATTCTCGCCTTAAAATATATCACAATTAAAAGACATATTTGTTCAGAGTGTTGTAATAAAAATCGTCAGGGAAGCAAGAACTGCCAAATGAACCGATAGTTTTTAGAGGCATGTTGAGCTTGGTTAATTCCTGAGAGAATTGAGCAAGGGAAAGACGCTGTACTTGCTCTCTTGTTCCATTAAAAATGCCAGGACGTTGGCGGGGTGGCGTCATTTTAATTCTTGCTATTACATCAGGTCAGGGCCCAAAGTAATCATATAAACAAATCAAATCTAAAGATGTCACTGGCAAAACTGAGTTTACGAAAAGCACAATTCACAACGTCTCTTCTCTCTAAAATCGTTCGACCGCCCCCCCCCCCCCCTCTTTTTTTTTTTTTTTTTTTTTTTTTTTTACGTTGGCCTTTGATTTTTCCGGTGTGGGCTGCCTGGCCCCCACACTCCAATGAATCTGAGACCACTGATCTAGATCATATGTGATCGTTACTTGTCAACTCAGTTTTTCTTCTCGGTATGATGGAGACTTAAAAAAGTTACAGGAGGACTCGTAAAGGGCCCTTGAAAAGAAAGAAAAGTTTTTTTTTTTTTTTTTTTTTTAACAATCTGGTTGAGGCTTGCGTTTCAAAAAATAAATTTTACACGAAAAAAAAAATTAGAGCAATATTGACGACAAGACATTTGAAATTCTGGGCGCAAAGTCCATGACCATCTCGGGCATTCGCTCTTTCTTAGCCCTTTCCACCTCAACGTGAAGGCGAAGCCGATCCACCTCTCCTCCACGCGCCCGAAATGCCGAGAGAGAGAACAAATGGAAAGGAGGTGACTACCGACTAAATCGCGTCTCGCGCCGTCAATATTGCTCTAAAAATATATTTGTTTGTTTTTTCTCGCGTCAAATTAATTTTTTTTTCTTTGACATGCGTGTTCCAACCACTGATCAATGGTTCCAACCATACTATTAAAAAAAAAAAAAAAAAAACTTATTTTCAGGAGTTTTTTAAAAGGGACACTGACAGGGTATTTATGCTCGCTAAGGTTTTTATTTGTGCATAACATATGAGAGCATATATAAATAAACCCCCGATCGTTTCCAAGCCGTGCAAACGTGTCTGCGTGGCCTTTTCGGTAGCGTGTCTGGCTCGCAACCCAATGGTCGTGGATTGGAATCCCGCCTCCACCTAAAATTCTTCAAATTTTTTCTTTGAGGCAAATGAATTGCTTTATAAAGTGAAATAATTTGAGACATGCGGTGACCTGTAATCGCGCAGTACATGTCATGTTTTAATCACTTTCAATCCACGGGTGACGTCATGTTTGACGTGAGCGTTGTGGCTTGTCAGCGTTACTAGATTACCTCAGTTGTGGAACTCCCGCGGAAGGAAGTACCCCCCCTCACTCACTTCAGACCGCCTCCCGTCGTTCGAAGCGCCATCCAGATTTTCGTATGTGTTCCATAGAGTGCGGTAGAACGCCATCTAGACACTGCTTCGAAACTGTTTTAGCCTCAAGGGAAGTACTCAGTTCTGCAGCTTGCATGTTTATTCGATGATGCCAAGACTACAACAACCCCGTAGGCACACTCATGGCTGCTTTTATACTGATAGCAGCCGCGCTATCTATAGGTTAAAGAGTGACGTCACAGTTAACCGACACATGACATTAGATTCGGACATGATGACACAACATTCCTTCCCCTTTAGAAAGTTTGTGGAGTCTACGGCTTGTAGCGCTCTGGGGGTCGGCTTGGCCGTGTGCTGCGCCGAGGCAAGAGTGGAGAAGCCGGCGGAGCTTCCAGTCTGGAGGCCCGGTTGTCCGATGGTGGGGCATTGGGACCAACAGTCACAGCACTGGGCATGCTGCGGCCTGGGTCAGGTGCCCGTGGTGTCGCGGCTCCGTTCTCTGCTTGTGCCGGGTCATGGTCGTCAGGTGATTCATTGTCAGTTGTAGCCGTATCGGTCTCGATGTCCGAAAACTGCTCCAGTCGGTTAGGTGTCCTCAGGTCCGCCTGAAATGATCTTGGCCGCAGGTTGTCAGCATGAATGTACCGCTCTTCCCCCCCTGCAGTGCTGTTCCTGTTTGGCTCTTCCTGTTTGGCTCTTCCCCCCCAACCCAAACGTTCCTGTT